GCGGGGGGGGGGGCAACCAGGGTGCTTTTGGACACAAACCAGGAAACAACCGGAGAACACGGTTGCCTCCCCTGTGCAGGCGTACTGACATTTACCTCCACAATGAAACATCCAAAGAGCAAAGCTATGGCGACGCTATAACAACCCCCCCCACCACACACACACACACACACACACACACACACCAACAGAAAGTCAGATGATCTCTAATGTCTGCTGCTGACACCTGTACATAATGACATTTACAAACACAATTGCAGGAGAAGAATTGCACGAGGAGGAAATGAGACGTAGAGCGAGAGGGAGGCTTCTTCTTCTCTCGTCTGCCGGCGCCGGGAGTTCATTTGTGGACGCATCATTGTCTCTCCACAAATTCTTGGGACCGTGAGGAGGAAATGCAAATGCCCCTGTTCTGTTGCTGGCAGAAGCTACGCCAGCATGTGTGTGGCATATTGAATGATAATGACAAAGCGGGCTGCATCCCCTGTGAGCACGCCTGCGGAACAATGATTACAGATTGGCCGGTGTGTCCCTCAGCATCACAAGGGGCTCTGATTCTAATGCTAATCAGAGCTGCTGCCCATTGAAATATATCTGTACTCGCAGGGCGGGAAGGAGTAAGATCCCAGTTAGGCTGTAATTGTGCAGTGAAGTTCCTGTTTGATTCGGATATTTCAGCCCACAGTGGCTTAACCTATTGCACCACCTGCTGGCCTCCAGCTGGTACCAGAGCTTGTTGTTGTGGGTTTCTTTTTTTTCATCCTCTGGCACTTTGGGGCAATTATCCGCCGCCGGGCGTAAAATGTTGATGTATGAGCTTGACTGTATTCTGCGTTATTCAATTTGTTATTTGAGGTGGAGAGCCTGTTATCCTCCTAGTTAGCCGGATCATGCAGGCACGAGCTAATCCAGTCTCATCCAGTGGGATTCATCCCTTATTCAGGTTTTCACCCCCTCCTACCCCCCCCCAATCCTGCATCAGTCACACCATCTCCCCCGCCTCCTCCTCCTCCTCCTCCTCCTCCTCCTCTGCGAATGTACTTTATTTTCATTCCGAGGAGAGAAACAAGAAGGAGAGCCGAGGCAAAGTGATGCTCAGCTGCACACTCAATGTAGGTTAATGGAAGGGAGGAGAGTCTGAGCTCCGGCGGCCTCCGATTGGTTGGCCGGCGACGTGCAGCTTCTCCGCAGCACAACCTGTCACTGTTAATCAGGGGCCATCTCTTAACAGCCAGCCAGGGCTATCGGAGAGGTGAGCCCATTGCTATTCAGGACGAAACAGATGATAAATCATTTGTACATAATTAGTGCTCAGCAAGGTTACAACTGACACGTATTTTCATCTTAATTAGGAGGGAAATTTGTTCCATTAATTTAATTTGGTGCGCATGAGCGGCTCTGCACCTAACTAAGTTAATCTTACACCTGTCAGGGTGGGAATGGAGTTGGGCCTCGGATTACAGGGGGAAATGAGAAAGAGTCCTCTATCAGATTGTTTCCAGCACACACCTGCAAGACAATTGGACTGTAGAGAGGCAGCAGGGGCAAATACAACCGCAGCTCTGAGCCTCCACTGCTGATAGGGGGTATTTAACTCCCCTCTATCTGTTAGGAACTGACTCTGCATGATGATAAATACAGTAAGATAACATCTTCCAGCTTAATCACAGAGCAGGAACTGATCAGGGGACAGAAAACTCTCTAAATCAGTGTGAATCCCTGGTGGGGGGCAACAAGATATCTATAATAATCTTGGATGCCCCTATGGTAGACAAAACATGATCCCTCTCAGGTGCCCTTCCAGTGGATAAAACATGATTAAATACCCTCTCAGGTGCCCATTCTGATGGATAAAATCCAATAAAGTGCTGTTCTTCATACCAAATGTATAACTAAATAAATGTTTTATCATTGGTGACACCCGTGTTTACTTTACTATTTCCTGTCACAGCTGCTGTGAAAAAGGTCTGTTGCATCTATAATGCTTTGCAGCCGACCAATAAGGCCGGCATAAATGCTCCCTCATCCCAGAACAAATATTTAAGCGGATCTCACAAATGGGCATTATGGAGGAAAACATGTTCCATCACGGGGGCTGTGGGCCGTTCACACCCCCGGCGCTCTGATTTAGAGCCACAGCAGCCTTCATATATTTGAGTGAGAATCACTGTCTGATCCGGTTGCAGTCCAGCAGGCAGGACTAAGTCCAAGGACTAGGTCTCTTTTCATCGCTGAAAGCTGTATGAAGCTGTAGGTAATTGCCCCGAAGAGCTGGTTCGATAGAGAGGAAGGTGGAGAATGACTGATTTAGTAACTATAAGGTTTCTAATGGAATTCTCCGCTGCCTCTCGGGCACTCAAGCTGACAACCATTACCTGAACTGATGCATAGTCCATTACGGGATCCCACTCTTTAATAGAGTGTCTATCACGTGAAATACAGAGATGTCAGGTGCCAAAGGATGCACTCTCACCCATGTGTGAAGGTTTAACCCAACTGAAATGGCTTCTCTTTCAGACGCCGCACAGCCTCACAGATGTACTGAGGATCAACGGCGAAGGAGACGGGGGGAAGGGAGCGGAGCACAAGCTCGTAAAAACGCTGCCGTTGGATCCTGAAGAAGCTTTTTAATGATTTATTTTTATCCTGTTAAAAAAAAGGCCTCAAACATCAGGATGGTAATGTTTGACTGACAGCAGCATTAAACAGCAAGGCAGGAAAACCAGTTCATGTACTGGACTTAAAGGACCAGAGTTCAGGATTTAGTGACATCTAGTGGTGAAGCTGCAGATTGCAACCAACTGAACACCCCTCGCGTCTGTATTTGACGACCTGGGAATGAGGAGAAACTACAAAAACTGCAAAAGGCCGATTTCTACTTTATTGTTTTCACGTTAGACAAAAGTATTTTAACCATAAATGACAAAGTTCACATGAGCAAAAGTTAAACGGAAATGTGAATAAATATGTAAAAACATTTAAATAAATAATATATTTAATATAGCAGTGATTTAAAGAACTCGGTTATTCACATTTTACAGTATTTTTATGAGCTGGAAAACAACCAAAAATAATCCAAAAGAGCAAAAAACATCAGTGTAATATTTATATGAGATAATAAAGGAAAATACTTTATTGATCCCACAGTTATAGATAATAGAATACACATTAAATAAGAATAAAAAACTATATCTCCACTATAGACCTTTTATATACAGATGTTCTGTTATGGAGATAATTTTAACTGCACAAATTATTGAATACACACACAGAATGCATCATTATAATAAATTATATATATATATAACACATTATTTATATTATTTTATCGTATTTCCTTGTTAATTTCATTTTTATTGATTTTATTTGTTATTTTCACTTTCTATCTTTAATTTAACATCATTGTTTTACCTGTAAAATCTATTTTTTTGTAATTTTTATCTTTATATTTTATTTTTAAATCTCCCTTTATTTAGTTTTTATTTCTTTCTGTCTCATCAGTCGTCTGTGAAACACTTTGAACTGTATGAAAGAGGATATAAAAATACAGTTTGACTGATTGATTAAGGAAATATAGGACATATATAAAGATAATTGCCTGTATTAGTTTTTAGTATTAATTTAACACAACTGTTATACCTGTAAAATCATAATAATATATAATCTTACCTTAGCTTGTGTGTACATATCATGTATTATATAAAGAGTGTGTGTACAGATATAAATAGAATAAGAATATAAAACCTCGGAGGAGGTTTGATGTGAATTTAAGTTCCAGATTGATGTTTTTAAATGTTAAATTCCTCCTCAGAAACATCAGAGTTTCACAGAATAGATCTTAAATAACACTTTGAATAAAAAGCTAGAACCAGCCTTGAATGTGGGTAAAGATGCAGATGTTTCCCCACACAGCAGTGAACATTACTGGGCTGCAACCAGGGATTATTTCTAATAGAATTATTGATTAATGAACTGATTATTTTCTCCATTAATGGACTAAAATGTCAGAAAACAGAGAAAATCAGTTTCCTGAAGCCCAACATGAGTCCAGTTTCATCCACTCAACAGTAAAACAGAATCGTACATAAAGTTGGATTTATATATATATTTGTTATTGATTATGGTTTGTTTATTATGGGCTGTTCTGTTCCTGTGATATAAAAGCTTGTGTCTGACCCGTGCTGTTATTATTGCGCCCTCTAGTGACCGTCTCCCGTACAGCTTCATGTGCTCACAGCTGCTTTTTAAAGACATTTATTACTTTTTTATTACTTTAATTCTTCCATATTGTGTCTTTTTCTAGATAGATAGATACTTTATTTATCCCGAGGGAAATTCAAGTATCCAGTAGCAAACAAAATACAAAACATACATTAAACATACATTAGACTAAAATTAAAATCCCTAACCTAAACAGTAGAATTAAAAATAAAATAAAAAGATAAAATATAAAGCACTATTAACAGTGGCAAGTTTTTTTTATTTTCTATGTTTATATTCAGCATCTGACAAGATGCTTCCTGGATTTTTAAGATATTTTACTATCAAATGACTAAAGTCCGTCGACCATAACAAGAATTTAATATCTGGGAAGTTTAATTGTTACAAATATAACATGTTGACGCCAAAAACACCATTAATACTATAATATAAATTAATAATATATAAATTAGCACGATTATTCAATTACAGCCAGAATAATATTAATAATATTTGAAATTCTTTTGTAAAATGTTTGATGTCTTTATGTTCTATGGAAGTTAAAGTGTGTTTGAGAAGTTTTTTAATGAACTTTAATTAAAAAAATAAACGTGTAGAGTAAGAACTGTTGTTTGTTGTTATTGTTGTTGTTTACAATAGTGAGTCAGAAAATCATCAATCTTTGATTTTACAATATCTCAGCTTTTCTTACCCTCAGGTGTGCAAACGCTACAGGTCATAAACTTCTATTTAAATACAAACGTGTTAAATTATCAGTTATTTTATCGGCTGACAAATAATCCACATTGTAATAACTTTATTAAAAACCACAACAAACATGATTTTAATGGTTTTCTTCAGTGAAAATGAAAAATATGATGCAAAAATCATCATTCAATCATTTCAAATCTTAATGTCTGTCAAAATAAAAACAGATTTTAAATAGGGATGCAACATAAAAATGATGTCAATAATAATCATTTATTAACTATCAGCTGAAAAAAGAAAGTTCACACTTTGCATCACTAATAAAAAACCTCGACCACAACAAATGATTTTATTTTCAGTAAAAATGAAAATAAATTATTACTCTCAGTAACTTTGATTTCACAATAAATGTAAAAAAAAAGAATATTATTTTTACTATAATGCTGCAGCTTTAATGTCGTACACTAAAAATAAACAGTGTGATGCATCTAACTGAGGAAAATAACAAATATAACACTTTATGATGAAAATATAATAATATGATGCTTTAAGATCATTTATTTTACTGTATGTTGTAGTTATAATGTTGTACACTGTAAAAAATAACCATTAACAGTAAAATGCATCTTTAATTGATTTCACATTATTTGACTTTCTGTATTTGATTAAACAGATTTTAATATCAAATATATAAACATGAAAAAACTGTTTTTTAATCTTTTCTTTATAATAAAAGTACAAATCATATACATACGTATATTTATGTGATTCATTTACACTCAATAGATCTTAAACATTTACAACAGAAGAATCTGACTGGTTGCACATTAATTAGTTAATTGATTAATTACTGTAGGAAGTGAATCATTTGTTTTATTGTTTCAGTGTAACATTAACATTAATATTAACTAATAAATGATCTAATAAGTGTGAACGAATCACAGAAACTCATCACGACAACTTTTATATCAGAAATGTTCAGTTTGGGTCTCGAGCAGTTTCACACTGACAGATGTTAGCATCAACACTAGCACAATCAGCATTGATAATCAGCTTTATGGACAATATTCCAGCAGCTGATTGGTTGATTTGGACAATAAAGGAGGTTTTAGGGGTTAATGAGACATTTTCTAAAACACAAAATGTCTTTTTAAAGCAGAAGTGGTCACATTTAATCTCCCAGTGGGCTGATTCTGACTCACTTTGAGGTTATTTATACGATTAATACGACAACAAAACGCAGCACAGCAAAAAAAAACACCAAGAAAAATAAACACCATGAAATATTACGTTAAGATTTCTGGATTCTAACACGCAGGTTTTGTGTATTTAACACGTAAATAACCTCAAAACTGACGAAACATTCATTTAAATGTGTCCACATCTGTTTGAAGTCAGTTTAAAGTTTGAAAAATAGATTAATCTTCTTCAATAACCCCTAAAAGCATCAAACTGAAGCTCTGACACAAACAGAAGTATATTATTTGTGCTCTTATTGTGAAAGGATCTCTGAATGTCTCATCAGTAACTGATGATTTTACCCAGAATGCATTTCAGTCCCATGTTAATGTTTCTTTGTCAGCGAGTCCAAAGTAGTTTTCCCCCCCGCCCGCTTCCTGTCCTTCATCAGCTCCTCGCGCTGCATCGGCTCGATGATGGCGCCCATCCGGGTGACCACCCTCGGCTTCACGACCTTCTTCACGGTCCGCTCCGTGTTCCAGGTGCGGCCCAGCGGCGTGCGGACGGCGCTCTCGAACTGCGCCGGGTTGGCGAAGGGGAACGGCAGCGAGTTCACCTGGTGGCCGCTGATGGCGCTGTTCCTCTTCTCCGAGATGATGACGCTGGGCAGGTGCTGGTCCTTCCTGGGCGGAGGCGGCGCCGCTTTGACCCGGAACCGCCTGCGTTTGCCCCGGGACGGTTTGAGGCCGGTGCCGCCCCACTCGCCCCAGCCGGGCAGCGTCAGGTCGACCACCGCCGGCTTCCCCGAGTCCTCCTGCTTCCTCTTGTCCTTCAGGAAGTCGGAGACGACGTCGTCTCCGGCGAACGCCTCCCTGATGAGCCCCCGCTGCTCCTCGTCCTCCTCGCCGTCCTCCTCGCCGTCCTCCTCGCCGTCCTCCACGGTCGGCGCCAGCGGGACTTTGATGGCCTTCGTGTCTTTGGTGAGAACTTGTTTCAGTTCGATCCCTCGCTTCCTCTTTTTGGGTTTTCCCGTCTTTTCAGTCGCAGGAGGAGGCGGGTTCACTGCGGCGGAGGGTTGAGGAAGAGGAGGAGGAGGAGGAAGAGGAGGAGCTTCATCATCAGGAGCCTCCTGACTGAGGAGGTCCACGTCCTCCAGAGTCCTGATCCGGATCAGACCTTCCTGAAGGGGAGCCGCCGAGTCCGTGGCGACCTTCTCGGCGTCGGATATTCCTCGGAAGAGGGTCGTGAACTCCGAGAGCTCCTCTTCCTCTCTGTCTGAAGCAGCTTTCTCCTCCTCCTCCTCCTCTTCCTCTCTGTCTGAAGCAGCTCTCTCCTCCTCCTCCTCCTCCTCTTCCTCTCTGTCTGAAGCAGCTCTCTCCTCCTCCTCCTCTTCCTCCTCCACAGATATCACCGGCGCTGTCTCGGCCTCCTCAGCCTGACGCAGCTTCCTCCGGCTGTCGAACTCTCGGAGGAGAACTTCCTCCTCCGTTTCCTTCACCTCCTCCTCTTCCTCCTCCTCCTCCTCTTCCACTGTAAGATCCACAGTCTCCATCACCTCCTCCTCTTCCTCCTCCGCCTCCTTCCTCTCCTCGGACAGCTTCCCTCTCATCCAGGGATTCGAGGAATCAACTCCTCGCTCTGCATCGTTCACGAAACCCGGCAGCACCTCCTCCTCCTCCTCTTCCTCCTCCTCATTCAGGGAGGTGACGACCTTCTGCGTGAGCTCCTTGTTGACCTCCAGCTGCTGCTGCATGGCCCTACGCGCCCCCTCGTCGTACTTCGCCATGATGGCCTTGGACTTGGCCCACTTGCCGCTGTTCTGGTGCTTGAGGGACATCCGCTCCTTCATCCTCGCCACCTCCATCCGGTGGAGCTCCTCCAGGGCGCCGGCCGGGTCCGCCTCCACCATCTCCTCGAACTTCTTCAGGAACTCCTTCCGCTTGGCCTTGTTCTGCACCCTGTGGTACTTCTTGCTCTTGATCTTCCTCTCCCTCCGGGCCCGGGCCTCGTAGTAGGACTGCAGGGCCCGGGCCTTCTGGAGCTCGGCCCGGCGGACCTTCGCCTCCTCCAGGCTCATGGCCCGGACGGACGCCTCCTCCCTCGGGGTCAGCACCGGGTCGTGGATGGGCTGCTTGTTGGCGGAGAGCAAGGCGAAGACCTCCTCCTCCAGCGGGGTGCGAGCCCTCCAGCCCGACACCAGCCGCTCCACGGGTCCGGGTCCGGGTCCGGGCGGGTCCTGGTGCAGGGGGAACACCAGCTGCTCCGCCCTCTGGTTCTGCCTGATCACCTCCTTCCAGCGGCTCACCTCCGAGGCCGCCTTCTGGAAGGCCACGTCCCGCTGGATCCGGTCGCTCTCCCGCCGGCTGAGCGGGCTCTGGATGCTCTTCCTCACCCGCTGCAGGTTCTCGAGCTGCTTCCGGGTCTTGGCGGGAACCCGGTCCGCGGTTCCGATGAGGTCCGACAGCTGGACCTTGTCGCCCCCCCCCTCCGCGTTCACGGTGAACTCTGACATCAGCGCGGCCGCCTCCGACCTCTCGGCCTGACTCCTCTTCCTCCTCTTCCTCCTCCCGCCCAGAGAGCCGATGGCGTCCAGCAGCTTCTGGCGTTTACGTTCATCTTCCTCCTCCTCTTCATCACCCTCCTCTTCATCACCCTCACCGCGGAGCTCTCCGTCCTCCTCCTCTTCCTCTCCGTACCGGACCTCCTCCTCCTCCTCCTCGGAGCTCTTCTTCACGCTCTTCTTCTTCTCGGACACTTTCACCATGTTGGTAGTAAACACACGTGTGTGTGCCGCAAGCCGAGGCGTTGACGTAACTCAAACTGTCGCCGCAACGTGAGCAGCACTGTCGTAAAAAGACTCTTCTTCTTCTTCTTCTTAGATTCCGGCAGTGTAGAGGCTGTTACTGTGTTACTGCCCTCCACAGGTCAGATTCTCACATACAGTCCTGTATCATGCAGAAACTGCACCGGAGACCAGTTTGTGTTTCTCACTGTGTCCGAACAGAAAAAGCTTCAACTCCAACTCCTGTCAGTCTAACAAAGAAAACCTTTCTCTCTTCTCTTTACCTTCCACATTCCAGGAACACCTGCCCTACTGTTCCAACGATCCCACACTCACACACTCCAGAAACATGTCCTACAGAGAATCATTGAACCCACAATGACCCAACCTCAACCTACAGAGTTTCACTGAGAATCACATAAACATATTCTCCTAACTTTAGGTTGTATAGAACAGAAGTGTCTACCCCTGGCTTCCCTTTGCCATCCTCTCTGCCATTCTTTCAGCCCGCTGTCATTATTTCTCTTAATTCCACTCTCCCCATGGATAAATGAACGTCTACTTCTCTTCTTAAGCTTTCCTTTGCAGTGGTCCACCTGCTCATTCCCCCTAACCCCAGCGTGCCCCGAACCCAGCAAAAGTAACGCTGTCCTTCACAATGTCAGGACGAGCTGTAGTTTTTCCTGCTCTTAAGGTTTCCAGTGCAGCTGCAGAATCAGAGCAGATAGTGACTTCTTTAGGTCTGGCTTCCTCAATCCACCATAAAGCCCATAGAACTGCCATTAACTCAGTAGTGAAAACAGAGCTTCCATTAGAAATACATCGACCAATCTTCAACCCAATCTGCTCCACATACACCCCAAAACCAGCTCTCCCACTAACTGGATCTCTAGATCCATCTGCAAAAACAATTAAAGTACTCTCACTGATTGAACTAAGATGTTCCACTATTCTTGGAGTCACTTTCCTCTTATCTTTTTCCTGAAGAAAAGAAAGCTCAATATTCAATTCAGGCATCACCCAATAAGGCATAGGTAGCCATCTTGTGTGCTCTACATTACCTCCCTGTTCCAAGCCCAGCTTCTTAGCCCACTGGTTTACAGTGACAAAAAAAATATTATATTTATTATCTACTATCTCTTGTAACAGACACCTTGCTGCTTGCCCAGTACTGTAACCCTAACTTAATGCGCCTTAACCATGAGGGCATTTCTCCCATTTCAACAAGCAGGGCAGGGACTGGGGAAGTTCTAAAGGCCCCACAACAAAGCCTCAATGCCTTTGCATGCACCACATCTAACTTATCCAGAACAGTTTTAGAAGCAGATCCATACACAAAGCTCCCATAGTCAAGAGCAGATCTGATCGAGGCCTGAAAAACAACATCGTCTCCCTCTCAGCCCCCCACTCACACCCAACCAGACTTCTCATAACATTCAGAACTTTTCCACATTTCAGCACAATTTTATCTACATGCACAGCCCAAGTCAAACGCTCTTCAAACCATACACCCAAACATTTAAAAACCTTTACCTTCTCCAATAAAGACCCATACATATACAGCCCTATATTAGGTAACTTTCTTTTAAAACCAAATACAACATATTTAGTCTTAGATGCAGACATTGTGAATCCCCATGTGTTCCCCCATTCCTCTATAGACAATAATACTCTTTGAATCTGTTTTAAAACAAACTCTACATTACGCCCTCTTTTCCAGATGGCCCCCTCATCTGCAAATAGAGACAACCCAAATCCTCTCTCTATTTACCAAAGATATCATTAATCATTATATTAAATAAAACTGGACTGATAACACTTCCTTGCTACAGTCTTTGAACAGACACTACCAACCATTACTTGTATTGTTCTTTTCATTAAAAAATCCTTAATCCAATTAAACATTCGTCCCCTTACTCCCAAGTCAAAGATTTTAATCATTAATCCCTCCTTCCACAAAGAATCATATGCCTTCTCAATATCCAGGAATACACTCACTACTATTTCCTTATTGCTAAATGCACTTTTGATATCCTGATCCAAAACTAGCACTGATTCCATTGTCGACCTTCCCAAAGCCATTCTGGACAACAACAAAGAGTCCTCTAGTAATAATTTAGCACAGTAATAGAATTTTGACTGCTCCAAATCTCCACAGCTAAACACTCAAGATTGGAATTAATATCAATTCTCCTGTACTGCAGCCCAATCTTAACAAAGGTTGCACAACCCCCACCTGATCTATCAGACCTATCTACTCTCAAACATTCATACCCTGGAATTACAAAATCTAGAGAAGGCTTTAACCAAGTCTCTTGAATACATATCAATTCTGGAGCTTCTTTAAATTCATCAACAAACCTTTTTAACTCCTGACCATTTCCGATTAGACTCCTGGCGTTCCATTGAAGAATATGCCACATTAAGATGCTAATGAGGATCCACCTCATCCACTTCACCAACATCCTCCATACTGCTAACCCTCACCAACTGTGACCTATCCATAGGTTGACTCGCCTTCATGTGTTGATGTAGCTCTTCTGGCAACTGCGTTATACCGAGGAACCTTTCAGCTGCCCCCACCACTAACCTAATAATATCTGAGCGGTTAGCTGCTTTCTTAGCTCCTACCAACACATCAGACACAAAAGACAGAAATGACTCCTTTGTAAGATTCAACATATCAGAATGAAGGTCCGACTGCAAGTTTGGAGCATTGACCTGGCTTCCTGACACTGCTCTAGTACCAGATATCCCTTTTCCACATTCTCTATCCACTCTTTGAACTGCCTCTGCATACTGAACAAATCGCTCACACCTGTGAAACCCTGCCCCATGATCCCCCTCACAGTTAGGGCACTGAGGAGCCTCTGCCTTGCAACTTTGTATTATATGATCTCCACCGCACTTTGCACACCTTCTTTTACCCCGACAAGCCCCAGCAACATGTCCAAACCTCTGACAGTTACAGCAGTGCAATGGTGGTTTAATGTACTCTCTCACATAATACGCCATACTCCCAAGAAACTCTCTCTGTGGCAGTACACTATCTTTAAACGTCAACAGGACCGGCGGATCCCCTGCTCCATCCACACGCTTAAATCTGATCACATCAGTTACCTGGGCCCCCTTAATGTTTTCTAAGATTTCCTTCTCAGATAAGCCAGCAAACACTCCATACACCACTCCCTTGATTCCTTGCTGGCTTCCTCTAGGGATCAATGCCTCCACCTTGACCACCAGCTTCCCCACACCTCTAGCATCATTATACTGTTTCCTGTTTTTACAACAAACTCTTAACGTTCCATTAAACAATATCTTGGCCTGAAATTCTTTGCCTATCTGACTCTCCAAAGCACTGGTAACTTTTAATGGATTCACTGCTCTAAATCCTGCATCTCCTTGATTAGTTCCCTTAACTTTAAACAGCACGACAAACTCTTCAGTATTTCCAGTTGTCCTAACCTTATTTCCTTCATCTCCTGACATTTCAGGTCTTTCACTCGATGCCCCCCTCTTAGAGCCCCCCTTTCCCTTCACCACCCTCATCCCCCTTCCCTGAAGCCATGAGCCTCTTAAATCCCTCCTTCCCAACCCTAATCTAATTCTAATAATACTAGCCCTACTATTAATAAAAATAAAAAATAAAAAAAAGTAGAAGAAAGTGTCTTGAATTTGTTATGCTGCAGCAGAACACGAGCACGTGTGCCAACTCCGCTTCTCTCAGCGTCTCTCACAGTTCACCCGTCGTAAAAAGACTCTTATTCGTGTGTTTTGACTCAGTTTACAGGTTTTATTGATTTACATTATTGTGTCCTCTTTGTATCGATCCGTCTGTTTAATGTAGTACAGTATTTGTTTGTGTGATATTTGATCAATAAATCAATAAAAACAAACATATTAATCAATAATAATCAATAAACTAAATAAATGAGTAAATAAACAAAAACAAACACCTGATATTTACTAAACAAACACAGTGAGGCAGACACTATATAAACAATAATAATAATATAAAACATATAAATAATAATAATAATATAAAACATATAAATAATAATAATAATATAAAACATATAAATAATAATAATATAAAATATATAAACAATAATAATAATATAAAACATATAAATAATAATAATAATATAAAACATATAAATAATAATAATATAAAATATATAAACAATAATAATAATATAAAACATATAAACAATAATAATAATATAAAACATATAAATAATAATAATATAAAACATATAAATATAAATAATATAAATGATTATATTACAATATTTAACACAATATATAGAAAATATTAAAACTAGGAAATGTACATTTTATATAGATATAATAAACAAAGAGACACTATAATACAATAAATGACAATATGTAGAGAAAGAAGTTTATTTATTCTCAATAAATGGAGTCAAAGTCAAAAATGTCCTTATGTGATTTATTTTAGCCCCCAGTTCTTTGTTGTTGTTGTTGTTGTTGTTGTTGTTGTTGTTGTTTACAGTAGGAGGTTTATGATGGAACAAAGTGAGTTTGTCATTGTACCTTATTTGTTATTAATAAAGACAAACAAACAAACAAACAAACAAACAATCTATGGAAAAAGGCTCCAGAAGATTTATGTCGTTTATTTCTCTTCATCTGTTTTTATTCTTTTATATTAAATTTATTGTTTGCGTTCAGTTTTATATCGTCTGTTTGATCCTTCTTCTCACGCAAACACAAATATAAATGTTCCACTTATAAACTGTGTTTCTGTGAGAGAGAAATCAAAATGTTAAAATAAGAAAAAATTCCAATTATTTTTCTTATTTTTTAAGAATTAAATAATAATTATTAAATATATTCCAGTAAAATATTTGTGGTGATATTTCACACTTTTATTTATTTATTTATATTTTTCTCATGGTTTAATGTTTGTTTCTTATTTATGCCTGAAGATTGTTTTTTTATTGATTATTGATTATTGTTTATATATTATTATTATTATAAATCCCACTGTTTTGTTTCATAGTGTGTTTAATAAAAACAAAAACATTAAAAATAAATTTAAGAAACAAAAACAAACATAAATAATAAAACAAATAAAAATAAAAATAAAAATAAAATAAAAAGGATTGCCAACTTCCGCCAAACACCACAGAAGAAGAGTCTCGTCGCGGTCATGTGATCTGTCAGCAGTCCATCATGGCGGCCGCAGCCTCGTCAGTGTTCCACCGAGTGAGAACTGGTTCTAAACTGGGAACCCAGTTCGACCAGGACGGGAACATCATCCAGGTAGAGACCCGTCCAACCCCTCAATCTAACGGCAGCTAACGGCCGAGTTGTGACGTTTAACGTTTATATTTAACGTTAATTAAACTTTATTTGATCAGAATATTGATCAGTATACACTGTATCTGTATTGATTATATTGATCCCGTATTGACAGTCAGACTGTGGACATATGACGGCCTTTAGCTCGTGTTTCTAGAGTTACGTGTTGTTACGAACACGTTAGGAATTGTTAAAATGTGATATTTCTTAAAGGGAGTTTGGTGCAGGGAGCTTTTAGTTGGATTCAAACTGCTGATATGGATCATTGTTAACGTTTAGTCTCCACTACAGAAACACTAGCTGACTGCTGAAGGCTGATCAGGTTGATTGATGCTTTGATAACGGCAGTATTGATTACTGATCAGGCTGATCAGCTCGATGATGTATGTGGTTCCCAGGTGGAAACCCGAGAGGATGAAGAGCAGAGCGTCAAGCTGGCGGAGATCCTGGAGCTCCTGCTGGCTGCCGGATACTTCAGAGCCCGGATCAAAGGACTGTCCCCCTTTGATAAGGTACTCAGGACCAGACTGTGGGGACGTTACGAGTCTTTATTGCTGCTCTGTAATAATTTAGGGTGTCATCTTCTCCCAATAATCTTCATTTTAGGTCTTTAAAATGTTGTCAGTGTGACTCTATTGATCTTAAATGTATTTTTCAGTCTCTTTTTAAATATCTTCTGGGTAGAAATGGAACCAATATTGATTTGTCTTCATATCCTTTGTACTTTGCGAGTATTGATGTAAAAAAGGTCTTAAAGTCCTGCAGGAACTCCATAAAGGTCAACTTCTAACTCCTCCTCCTCCTCAGGTGGTCGGCGGTATGACCTGGTGCATCACCACGTGTAACTTCGACATCGACGTGGATCTCCTTTTCCAGGAGAACTCGACCATTGGCCAGAAAATGTAAGAGTTGGTTCTGGGAGTCTAAAGCAGTGTTTGTAGGGCAGGGTAAATCTGGAAAAGAAACCGACGTGTAATAAATACTGATCTTCCTCCATATCTGTTGTACTTTTTTTGCCAGTCTGGATGTAAAATCTTAAAGTCTTGAATGTGACCTGTTGAACAGATTCGGGCCGTTACGAACTCTTTCTTTCTCTTTGCAGCGCTCTGACGGAGAAGATCGTGTCCGTGCTGCCAAAGATGAAGTGTCCTCATCGTCTGGAGCCTCATCAGATCCAGGGGCTGGATTTCATCCACATTTTCCCGGTGATACAGGTGAGAGAACCCCCCCCGAACCGAGACTCATCCTGTGATATCACTCAGCATTACCGTCATTAACGCCGTGCTCTGTGTGTGTGTGTGTGTGTCTCCTGCCAGTGGCTGGTGAAGAGAGCCATAGAGACCAGGGAGGAGATGGGCGACTATGTGAGAGCGTACTCCGTCTCTCAGTTCCAGAAGAGCCACAGCCTCCCAGAGGTGAGCAGACAGCGGAGACGTAGCTGCAGTGGCTGGTGGAGTGACCTCCAGATGGTGGCCTCCTGATACCTGCAGCTCAGGAATGTTCTCAGTGACGTTAGTAGAAGTTGTTTGAATACTGGAGCAGTGGCAGGTTTGTAGTTTCTGCTGTGGCTCCAAGACTCGTGAAGATGTGAGTGGAGAGGAGTTATAATTCAAAGATTATACACGGGAAGGGATTTTCTTCTTCTGATACTGGACAGTTGTTCTAATACAGCTTTATTATATAATAAACTCTAATGTGATAAGTTGTTTTCACTTCAGTTTAAGTTACACAAACTCAGTTTTGTAAGTTAAGAAAACTTGATTAAAAACTTTTTTACTAGTTTTTTCCAAATAGTCAGTGTTTTTTAAAATGACTGAAGTTAATTGATCAAGAATGTTTTTTAACTAACAAAATGGAGTTTTTAATTTAATCAGTTTCAAAAAATGTTTTGAGTTACACAGAAATATGCTTTAAGTTTTCTAGTACGCCTTAAAATCAAAAAGGCCTCACAACCCACCTGTGAAGCTTTGATGACCCCTAGTGGGGGTCCTGACCCTCAGGTTGAGAACCACTAAGTAAATAAAGGTGATTAAATGTTATTTTTGAATCACCAATCGTTCCCGAGAGAAGCAGATGTTGGAGTAATGAGTTTGAGACCTCCGGTTATAAATTAAATGCTAAAATATGAAGAAGTAATAAAATCAAAAGTGTGACTTTCTTACACATAATATAACTTACTGTGTGTGTGTGTGATTTCAGTTTAATATGTAAACTAAAGTGTTGTTTGTCTGCATTAAATAAACTGTGAGTGTTAACGTGTGTTCAGGATGAAGAGTTCCTCCAGAGGAAAGACAAAGCAGTGAGGGCCGTTCTGGACGTACTGGTGAGTTTCTATATCAGGAATCCGTTTTTACGTTCACACTCCTGTCCTGTAACTTCCTGATTAAACACTGGTGTCTTACAGGAAGTGTACAAACCCCAGAGGAAGTACAGGAGGCAGAGGGATGCAGGGGAGCTGCTGGACGAGGAGTCCAGAGTTCACTCCACTCTGCTGGAATACGGCAGGTAAGAGTTCATTTATCTGCGTCTCCAAACACAGTCCGCTCAGTAAGCAGCCTCCCACCACTCACTGCGTTCACATGCTCCAGCTCTCACTATTATTCCCAACAGGACAAAATACTGCATCTGATAAAGGTCAACAATTTAAATAAGTTGTACTTATTACAAACACTGAAAACTCAGTTATTTAAGATTCTTAAAATCAGTATTTTGGTCACTTTATTGAGCTGAATTTAAGAATTTGTACCTTCATCTTGCAATAAGACACAATTTCTTCATAAATAAGAATAAAAATAAGTGACTTTGTCTTAAATAAAGGCTCCAGAAACATTTCCAACCCTGGGACCAGACAACTTTCTCTTAAACTGAGAAGTTGTTCGAGTGCTCTGACAATAAGGACAATGATCTGGTTCCTCTGCTGGGATATTACGCACCCACTGTTGTTACTGGTTAAATATAGCTCAATATTAGCTGGAATATCTTATTAAGGACACAGTTAGATATATTTTTATTAAGACAAGATTACTTTTCTAATGTAAAACATGTTTAAGAAGATTATTTTTAGACAGACAATAACTAATTTCCCAGAAACAACACTTGCAAACACTTTTTTGAGTCTCGCACACAAACTGATCGATCTATCTCTCCATCAATCAACACTATTGATAACCTCCTGACACCTGGTTGTAACCTCTTTTAGACGAGTCTGTAAAGAGTTCCCTGCTGTCTTTAATCCACACATCTCATGTCTGTATCTGTCTGACTTGTTGTTCTTTCATCCGTCCGTCCATCTCCACCTCTGTGCTAGAATGTCAGATTTCCTCCTGTAAGTACTGAGTGAGTGTGTGACTCTCTCCCCTCGCTGTGTGTTTCAGGCATGATGGATGCAAACTGTGGTGCTGCTTTCTTTTTACTTTATGTATTTAAAGAGTCGTGACGAGGGGCGGCTGTTTATCCCCTCTGTGTGCTGATGTTGTAATGTGGCATGGTGTATATCTGAACCCTGAAGGAAATACTTTATGTTCACACTTTATTTATGTCACAGAGCTTGTTGTTGTCTTTCTGTCTCCAGGCGTTACGGGTTCAGTAAACAGTCCAAACAGGACGAGGTAGGTGTCTTGTGATTTTAGTTTTTACTCAGAGAATCGTTCTTTATGTGCGACCCAGCGTTTACTGTTGTCCGTCTGTCTCCTCGAGGCGGACGGGAGGAAGGCTTCGCAGGCCGGCGGCGCTCAGGCGGCGCCCCCTGGGATGGGGGAGGTGTCGGAGGAGGACCTGCAGGCTGCGGAGGAGGTGAGACTTTAAGGGGTTGGGTTACTCTATTACTACCTACAGGCAGATCTGGAGTTGCAGTTAAAGACAAAAGTATTCCTCAACAAACATTATAAAAGATAAAAGTGCTCCAGGCTCTAAAAATCTGAACTTGCAGAGAGAAATAATAAAAAAAGAAATAAATAACTACTTGAATAAATAAGGTAACTAGAAGAAATGTCTGTAGCTGTCTCCTAAAGTTCCAGAAACAATCACGTATATCAATATTTACCTGGGAAAGACCACAAATGAAGATATTTAAACTCAGAAACATTAAATTATCACATCAGTAAAACATTGAATAGGAATCAGTATTGTTCTTAAAGTTTTCCAAATACATTGAACTTCAGACTGTTATTGAGTCTAAAATGTGGCTATAACAGATCATTAAATTCATTTTTATTGTATATTTTTATAATGTGCCTAAATAAATGTGCTAAATTCTGTAAGAAGAGCAGTTTATATGTCCTAATATGATTTTCTTTAGTTTAGATCTTTAGTAACTTTATTTTTTAAGGTTTTGAATTTGAGGGTGAAAATCAATCCGGTTCAGTGAAAGTGGTTGAATTTGGATGGTAAAGATTCTTAGATTTTAGATTTTTATTGTTTTACATTTGTGATAAAGAAATCCTCCTCCTGTAAAACCTGCTAGTTCTCGTTATAGAAATTCTCAGTGTTGTAACTAATTAACCAACATCCCTGTCTCAAACTAAACTGTGTCGGGTCCTTGAATTCAAGGGAACTGTGCCTTGAATTTGCTGTTTAAGAAGGTGTGTGAACCCTGTGTAGAGCATGTTTCTGTGTCTACGGATAAACTTTAACATGTGATCTAACTGGTTTTCTTTCTCTCTCAGATGCGTATTAAGACTCTGATGACCAGTATGGCTGCCATGGTAAATGAAGAGGTAGGAGGTCTCTCTCTTCACCTGGGGACTGTTTATACTCGAACCTCCTTCCTCCACAGTAGACTCTCTAGTGTTTGGATTATGAGCCTTTTGTATCGCTGCTGTAAACTGAACAACTGATTCATGAACTGTACAGTAATGTGCTGTTTGTGTCTGCAGGGGAGGCTGACAGCGAGTGCAGTGGGTCAGATAGTGGGGCTGCAGTCTGAGGAGATCAAACAGATTGCCTCCGAGTACGCAGAGAAGGTGAGAAACATCTTCTCTTCCAACTCTTGTACTTGAATAAAAATCCTCGTTGTAATCTAAAGTTTCTCCTTTATGTCCCTGCAGCAGTCGGAGCTGTCGTCAGAGGAGCGTTCAGAGCGTTACGGTCCGCTGCAGCAACACCGCAGGGCTGTGGCTTCAGTCCAAAAACAGATCCAACAGAAGACCAAACAGCTGGAGGAGGTCAGTGGTCCGCTGTAGGGTCCACTTTAGGGTCCACTTTAGGGTCCACTGTAGGGTCCACTGTAGGGTCCGCTGTAGGGTCCACTGTAGTCCACTGTAGGGTCCGCTTTAGGGTCCACTGTAGGGTCCGCTGTAGGGTCCACTGTAGGGTCCACTGTAGTCCGCTTTAGGGTCCACTGTAGTCCGCTTTAGGGTCCACTGTAGTCCGCTTTAGGGTCCGCTGTAGTCCGCTGTAGGGTCCGCTGTAGGGTCCGCTGTAGAGTCCGCTGTAGGGTCCACTGTAGTCCACTGTAGGGTCCACTGTAGTCCACTGTAGGGTCCACTGTAGTCCACTGTAGGGTCCGCTGTAGAGTCCACTGTAGTTCGCTGTAGTGTCCGCTGTAGTGTCCGCTGTAGGGTCCGCTGTAGAGTCCGCTGTAGGGTCCGCTGTAGAGTCCGCTGTAGGGTCCGCTGTAGTCCGCTGTAGAGTCCGCTGTAGAGTCCGCTGTAGTCCGCTGTAGGGTCCGCTGTAGGGTCCGCTGTAGAGTCCACTGTAGTCCGCTGTAGGGTCCGCTGTAGGGTCCACTGTAGAGTCCGCTGTAGAGTCCACTGTAGTCCGCTGTAGGGTCCGCTGTAGAGTCCACTGTAGTCCGCTGTAGGGTCCGCTGTAGAGTCCACTGTAGTCCGCTGTAGGGTCCGCTGTAGAGTCCACTGTAGTCCGCTGTAGGGTCCGCTGTAGGGTCCACTGTAGTCCGCTGTAGAGTCCACTGTAGAGTCCACTGTAGAGTCCACTGTAGTCCGCTGTAGGGTCCACTGTAGTCCACTGTAGTCCACGCTGTAGGGTCCGCTGTAGGGTCCGTTTAGGGTCCACTGTAGTCCACTGTAGGGTCCACTGTAGTCCACTGTAGGGTCCGCTGTAGGGTCCGTTTAGGGTCCACTGTAGTCCACTGTAGGGTCCACTGTAGAGTCCGCTTCAGGATCCACATATAGAACATACAGAGGACTTATAGAGATAATACATGCAGTACTTCCACAGTTACACAGTTGGTATTACGTATAAGCATTCTTTGATTTCAGGGACGGTGAACTAACTGTCAGTAAGAAGTGTTTCTATCTTTCATTAACAGCTACGAGCCAAACACACGGAGGTGAAAACCGGCAGCGACGAGGCCAAAAGGAGTCTGATGGAGGTGAGACGAGGCTTCACTTCCTGTTTGTCTGTTTATAACAAATGATCTGGTTGTTCTACGTCTGCGACACAAATAACTCAGAAAACACCGTCAGAGGTCACATCTGCTGTACTGAAACAAACGATCAGCTGTTGGTCTGAAACAGTAGTTACATTACAGAATAATCAGTCGTTCATAGATTATAACAGGGATCGTACGTACATACATACATTCAGTATAACGGGTGTTTGTGTGTCTGCAGGCGACAGAGATCTCAGAGAAACTGGACAAAGAGCTGAAGTCTTTGGAGGAGATGGAGGAGCAGGCTGACAGCAGGTGAGAAATGATCTTCATACACTCTCAGATGCGTATTAAGACTCTGATGACCAGTATGGCTGCCATGGTAAATGAAGAGGTAGGAGGTCTCTCTCTTCACCTGGGGACTGTTTATACTCGAACCTCCTTCCTCCACAGGCTGACAGCAGGTGAGAAATGATCTTCATACACTTTATATCTTTATATAAAATATAATACAGCAGATTAAAACCTCTGATATCAATAAAGTGTCGTTGTTAAATTACTATTACAGACACTTTTACTGACCTCTTGTGGCAGCTGGAAGCAACTGCAGCTCCTTCTCAGACGTTACAGCACACTGTTTCTTCTGTCTGTTAATCAGACCGAAAGGGACTTTTATTTTGATACTCACACATTTACAGGAAGAGACACAGGCTGCATCACTGGAGGATTTTACCCTTAATTAACGTCTCTCTCACTCATCCGGATACATTTTCATTTAATGTTATTAGAGACACAAATCTGACATCAAAGGGACTATAAACTGAAAAAGTCGTTTCTGAGGGTTGGAGGTTGAATATGTGCTTCAGAAAATCTAAAATGTATGTGAAAAGGAGCAGTGATGAGGCTCTGAGAGGACACTTGTACGTGAACCCTGTGATGTGTTTGATTAATGGCGTGGTCCTGTTGTTGGTGCAGCCTCCTGGAGAAGCTGAGGGCTCTGGTGACGATGAACGAGAACCTGAAGCAGCAGGAGCAGGACTTCCGCACTCACTGCAGAGTGAGTACATCAGCATCCTGTTAATGCTGCGGGCTGTTCGCACTGAACACAGGATGAAAGGGAGGAGGTTTATTTCTTTTGGTAAATTGCTGATTTTCTCTTTAATGTGCAGGAAGAGATGGTCCGCCTGCAGCAGAACATTGAGGAGCTGAAGAAGGCATCAGGACAGAATACAGAGGAGGACGAGGTTCAGTTAGATTCCCCACCAACACATCTTATATCTTATTATAATATCTTAGAATCAGTCTTTATATTAAAGGTTATTAATGTAACTGTCATTAAAGTGTTGTTATAGCGCCTCCAGTGGCCGTTCAGTGAACTGCAGTCAGCGTCCTGTTGACTGAACGCAGTAAAATAACTGACCATCATATTTAATAACGTTTCTACCTGCAATGTTCCTATATTGTAATTGGACCGTTAGCTCCATGCTAATAACTAGCTCGCCGTTTACAAATCAGCCATCAGCCAAAACCACAAAGCATCCAACGCCAGACCCACAATGCAACGCCAGTTATATTACAACCTGTTCACATTCAATAAAAAGTGATCAATCAATAAAATGCTTCGCAATCTAAATATTGTGAGAAACTTCTTCCTCAGTTTGTTGTAACTGTCTCTGCTCCTCTTCCTCTGTTCAGGAGAGGAACCAGCTGATAGACAAACAGTACGACACCGACAGAGAGAAACTGCAGAAGATCCGTCTGCTCATGGTAACGACTGAACACCGAACACCAGACCGAACACCAGACCGAACACCAGACCGAACACTGAACACTGAACACCAGACTGAACACCGAACACTGAACACCGAACACCAGACTGAACACCGAACACTGAACACCGGACTGAACACCGAACACTGAACACCGAACACCGAACACCGAACACTGAACACCAGACTGAACACTGAACACTGAACACCGAACACTGAACACCAGACTGAACACCGAACACTGAACACCGAACACTGAACACCAGACTGAACACTGAACACTGAACACCAGACTGAACACTGAACACTGAACACTGAACACTGAACACCAGACTGAACACTGAACACTGAACACTGAACACCAGACTGAACACTGAACACCAGACTGAACACTGAACACTGAACACCAGACTGAACACTGAACACCAGACTGAACACTGAACACCAGACTGAACACTGAACACCAGACTGAACACTGAACACCAGACTGAACACTGAACACCAGACTGAACACTGAACACTGAACACCAGACTGAACACTGAACACTGAACACCAGACTGAACACTGAACACTGAACACCAGACTGAACACTGAACACTGAACACCAGACTGAACACTGAACACTGAACACCAGACTGAACACTGAACACTGAACACCAGACTGAACACTGAACACCAGACTGAACACTGAACACCAGACTGAACACTGAACACCAGACTGAACACTGAACACCAGACCGAACACTGAACACTGAACACTGAACACCAGACTGAACACCGAACACTGAACACCGAACACTGAACACCAGACTGAACACCGAACACTGAACACTGAACACCAGACTGAACACTGAACACCAGACTGAACACTGAACACCAGACTGAACACTGAACACCAGACTGAACACTGAACACCAGACTGAACACTGAACACTGAACACTGAACACTGAACACCAGACTGAACACTGAACACCGAACACTGAACACTGAACACCAGACTGAACACTGAACACCGAACACTGAACACCAGACTGAACACTGAACACTGAACACCAGACTGAACACTGAACACTGAACACCAGACTGAACACTGAACACCGAACACTGAACACTGAACACTGAACACCGAACACCAGACTGAACACTGAACACTGAACACCGAACACTGAACACCAGACTGAACACTGAACACCGAACACTGAACACCAGACTGAACACTGAACACTGAACACCAGACTGAACACTGAACACCGAACACTGAACACTGAACACCAGACTGAACACTGAACACCGAACACCAGACTGAACACTGAACACTGAACACTGAACACCGAACACTGAACACCAGACTGAACACTGAACACCGAACACTGAACACCAGACTGAACACTGAACACCGAACACTGAACACCAGACTGAACACTGAACACTGAACACCAGACTGAACACTGAACACTGAACACCGAACACTGAACACCGAACACCAGACTGAACACCAGACTGAACACCAGACTGAACACCAGACTGAACACCAGACTGAACACCAGACTGAACACCAGACTGAACACTGAACACCGAACACTGAACACCAGACTGAACACTGAACACCGAACACTGAACACCAGACTGAACACTGAACACCGAACACTGAACACCAGACTGAACACTGAACACTGAACACCAGACTGAACACTGAACACCGAACACTGAACACTGAACACCAGACTGAACACTGAACACCGAACACCAGACTGAACACTGAACACCGAACACTGAACACCAGACTGAACACTGAACACCGAACACTGAACACCAGACTGAACACTGAACACCGAACACTGAACACCAGACTGAACACTGAACACTGAACACCAGACTGAACAGTGAACACTGAACACCAGACTGAACACCAGACTGAACACCAGACTGAACACCAGACTGAACACCAGACACCGAACACTGAACACCGAACACCGAACACCGAACACGAACACTGAACACTGAACACTGAACACCGAACACCAGACTGAACACTGAACACCGAACACCAGACTGAACACTGAACACTGAACACCAGACTGAACACTGAACACTGAACACCAGACTGAACACTGAACACCGAACACCAGACTGAACACTGAACACTGAACACCAGACTGAACACTGAACACTGAACACCGAACACTGAACACTGAACACCGAACACTGAACACTGAATGTTTTTTATCTTTTAACCATTTAAATGTAGATTTACAGTTACTGTTAGATAGAACGGACTTTTAATCATCTTAATAAATATGAGGAATTAAACAAGCTGACGATGTAAAATGTAGTTTATGGATTTGATACACAGAGAAAAGTTGTTAGTTGATCTGTTGTTCGGCTTAAACAGAATATTAATGACAGAAGAAATAAAATGTACATCAACTAGTTTCCTATTTGTTGTGATTGTTAATAAAAACCTACGAGCTCTGAACCTATTAAACTCTCTCTGTGTGTTCAGGCTCGGAGGAACCGAGAGATCGCCATCCTGCAGAGGAAGATCGACGAGGTGCCGAGCCGGGCCGAGCTGACCCAGTACCAGAAGAGGTTCATCGAACTCTACAGCCAAGGTGGGTTGAACCGACGTTTGTTCTCCGACAGTAAAAATGTCTCCAAATAACAGAAACCCATTAAATCGGGTAATTCTTGTGTTTTAGTTTCTGCAACACACAAAGAGACCAAACAGTTCTTCACTCTGTACAACACGTTAGACGATAAGAAGGTTTATCTGGAGAAGGAGGTGAGTAACAACACAGGAAGTAAATGAACCGGTTAATGTGGATTTATCTGTGAGCCCGTTTACTCCCGGTAGTAACATGTGAGATCAGATCAGTCTAAACACTTGCTGAGGACGTAGTTGTGATATTTAACCTGTGAACATAAACAGCTGATGTAACTAATAACAGCAATATCACCAGACTCCCTTTAAAAATCGATCAATTTTGTGAGATATTGAGCGAAGAGAAACTTTATAAACTCAGTGAAACGTTATCTACGACAGATTGTTAAATATTTTGACCTTCTGGTAAATTCGGCAAACGTTACACATTAATTTATTTATTGTTTGTGTTAGAAAACATCAGTTGGCCCCGGTTTGTTGGCTACTGCCGTTGGGCCGCTGGTTACAACTGATTATGCAATCGATCTTTGCAAATGAGAATAATGTTTGTGTTTATTTGCATGCAGAGCGGGGAAGTGAGATCTGATCTGTTCACTGGAGACACATTTTAATATCAGGTGTAAACAGGACCTGTGATTGTCAACTAGGTCCAGTTTGAGTTTTGATTAGTTGACGTCTGTATGTTCTTAATTTTAATTAGAACAATGTGTTTTCATGTCTGCAGGTGAATCTGCTGAATTCAATTCACGACAACTTCCAACAGTAAGTATAACGTCTCTGGTTCCCAATCCCCTCGAGGGGTCAGCAGGTCTACAGCTCAGCATTTGAATTAATTTATGTGATTAAAAACTGAATGAAATTCTCTTTTAAAGTTTAGATTATTTAAATATAAACAGGATGAGGGCTCAGAAGAGCTGAACACAGGTTTTATTCACAGAGCTTCATTCTGATTAACAGCCTCCTGATTTAGAAAACAACCAAAGAGCTGATCGAACAACGAGAACAAAACACTGAATCTGTTAGAAAATAAGCTTATTAAGTCTGTAAGATTGTTAAAAATTAAGAAAATCAATAATACAGACAGAGAACTATCCCTGGTTCTACACAAACTTCCTTCAGTTACAGAGTTCACAGTTTGTGTTGATTGTTCAGTTTATTGTTATATGTTGATTATTCCATAAAATAACGTCAGAGTGATTTCACTGACTGATAGAAGAGGATCCGTCTGTTGTATGTTTTCCTGCCACCTGTTGGTTCAGTCAGTAAGCTGCTGTATCGTTCTCCAGGGCGATGTCGTCTTCAGCCGCCAAGGATCAGTTCCTCAGACAGATGGAACAAATCGTGGAGGGAATCAAACAGAATCGCATTAAGGTAAAACTCATTATTACTTTATTACTCTGCTTTCAGTCATTTAATGTGTGAACAGCAGCGCGAGCAGTAATAAAGCGTGTCCAGAGGCCTCGTTCCGACGAGCTGCCGTTAGCGTTGGCGTGACGTCTGCTCTGTTTCCAGATGGAGAAGAAGAAGCAGGAGAACAAGATGAGGAGAGATCAGCTGAACGACGAATACCTGGAGCTGCTCGACAAACAGAGGCTCTACTTCAAAACCGTCAAAGACTTTAAGGAGGTGAGAACCAGCGAACCCGCCTCGGTAGTTACAGATATAATGTCTTATTTCTTATGTTGGTTGATATCAAAGTGTTAAAACACGTCATTATAACTTAATAACAGTAAATAAACTCATCTGAACATTATGACGTTGTAATGGAGGATTTATAGCTGGGCTGTTGTATTAGACGCCTCCACCAGGGGTCACTAAAGCTTCATAGGGGGTCGCCACGCCTTCTTGATTTTAAGACATGCTAAAAAAATTCAATGCAAATTATCTAATAGAACAATAATCAAACATCACGGAGAAAAAAACACTGAATTTGTCAAAAAAAGAAGCTTATTAAGTCTGTTTGTTAAAAAATATTTAAAAAAAAACCTAATTGTATAAAAAGTTTCTTAAACAGGAAATAATCTTCTCTAAAATCTGTCACTGAAGCAGTTTAATAAATAATAGAAACGGTTCTTTATTTAAAGGTTGGAAGCTGCTGTGTTAAACTGCATTATTATTGTTGGCCAGATGTTTCTGATGATGTGATGTCGTGTGAATATCTGCAGTGAAATGTTGTCAGATGTACAAATACATTAATAAAGTAATAAAACAGATTTTATATGTATACAAAGTAAACTGTAGGACATGTCTTAAAAAGTTTAAAATCTAATAACCTGAATTTAAAGTCTTAAATATAACTTTAACAAATAATTGGATTAAAGAACATTTCTTGTATAAAATTGAAATTTTCAGTCTTTTAAATCCTCAAAGGTCCTTTTTTTATAAATATATTAATGGGAAATGTTTTATTGATAGTTTTATTTTATATTTGTTTAACCATCACGGAGCAGATACTGATTCTCCTTCATAAGTTAAATAAATAAATTAATTAAAGTGCGTTCATTGTCGTCGTAGAACAAACTGTGAACCTCCGTGTAGTAAACTTAATATTAGATAATATATTAATATATTAATATGAGATAATATCTGTATGTAAAGGGACATGGCTGATGATGATGATGATGATGATGATGATGATGATGATGATGATGATGATGTTTGTGTCTGCAGGAGTGTCGGAAGAACGAGATGCTGCTGTCCAAGCTGAGAGCTAAAGGAGCCTCGTAGCTCCGTCTGTTGGTAAACTGTTTATTGGTGTAAATAAAATCTCTAATCAATAATAATAATAATCAATAATAATAATGTTATTAATAATAATAATAATAATAAGAGCGAAACTGATCAACTGTTATTAACATTCCACTCACACGAGCCAAATCAGCTTAATGACGAGCAGAAATGTTTTTAATTGATCCTTCTGAGGCCCCGCCCCCTTTTCGCTCTGCTCCAATCACAGCTGAGCAATCCTCAGTCATTTTGAAGATGGTTAAAATCTTAAGTTAGCTAATGTTAGCTACGTAATTAGCTTCAGATGTAGCTCTATCACACTAATGCTTTGCTAATGTTAGAACTTAAAACTATTTTACCTTTTTAACCATCTTTAAAATCTTTCAACATAGATTAGCTTAGCACGTAGCATATCTAAGTACAGGAAAGCAGGAAGTTGACTGAGGATCGTTCAACTGTGATTGGAGCTCAGTGAAAAGGGGGCGGGGCTTAAGAGGGGTCAGTAGTAGAAGAAGTCCTAACAATGTTCACTGAGCTCATTTTAAATCCTTTAAATCTTCACTAGCTACAATAAATTCCTCCTGTTGATCATAAAGAGAGTAAACCCGAGCGTCTGCTGCTGTTTGTAACGTTTCCTGAGCTCTGGACTCGTGCATCGATGTACAATCAGCTCAGATAGGATCTGCTCGCTCAGACACTGCGTCCTATCACCAGTCGCATGATGAGTGTGTGAAGGAAACATCCTGTTTCACCGGAGCACGTTCACATCTACAGCTGCAGAGCTACCAGCTAATAAACATCTGTTCCCACGCAGCCACCGGGACTCAGACCGGGACTCAGACCGGGGCTCAGACCGGGGCTCAGACCGGGGCTCAGACCGGGCTCAGACCAGGTCCTGGGAAATCCTGCACACTGTGATTCAAAATAAAACAACTGGAGAGGAATCAAAACGTCTCATTTCACATGTTTATCTCTGTTGAACTGGCACACAAAGCTGATCTTATTGTAGGAAACATGTCCAATATCATATTTACACTGAATCTAAGCACAAAGTATTGATATTAAACTCTGATTGTATCAATAATAAAAGAGTTTAAATAAAGTTTTTGAGTTTCAGACGTTTCTGTTTTACTGTATTTCACCGTTACTCATTTTATCCTATAAGAATTAATACATAATAATACTTTATAAAGTGTCCGTGAGCAGATGATCTTTATTCTTAACTCTAAACTAACACTTTGTTTTAGTGGAAAATAAAAGACTGAGAACAACTGAAGCCTCATAGTTTTACTTTCTGTGTAAATTATAAAACAACCGCTGTGGACATTAATAATAATAATAATAATTATTAATAATATAAATAATTAATAACCAACCAGAGGTCTGTTCAGTAGCAGCTGTGGAGCTCGTTCTCACTCCCAGGTCATCAGATAGAGACGCGAGTGGTGTTCAGTTAGTTGTAATCTGCTCCTCCACCACTGAATACTACTCGCGCCTCCTGTCTGATTCACACTGTTAAAGGTAAAGTCCGTTTTCTATTTTCTCAACAACAAACGGAGAGAACGAGTTATTTTATCGGTTTCTGTTTGTTTTCAAAACACAAAACGGGTTGTTTTTTGTTTTCTGTTTTTTCTTATTTTCAAAACAAAAAACAGAATCTGGGTCATTTTATCGTTTTCTGTTTATTTTCAAAATAAAAGCACGTCAAACAGCTATTTTTGGTTTTCTCTTGTCTGTGTATCTGCAGTGTTTTCTTTGTCCGTTCAGGTGATTAAACATGAATATTATATTCCTGACTCGTGTCCTCAGACTTGTGTCGGTATAAAACCAGCGAGCCGGTCTGGGAGCCGGTCTTTGTGTTCAGGAGGTTTTCCTGCTCTCACTATCGGCTCAGCCGCTCTCCAATCTCACTGATTGTGATACTGAACAGACAGTTTGCATGTTTCTCGCCCGTCAGAGGTCTGATTGGGCGACACCAAAACACACTTGCGTCAGCAGGCTGCAGCCCCGTCACCCAGAATGCAACTGCTCTCCGTCCTGCGAGGAAGAGGAACCGCAGACCGGGTCGCTGGCAGCGGGGTCGCCCTGCAGGGACGCCGGCGAGGACTCAGGAGCTTCGTCCTGCAGCTCCAGAGGACAGCATGTGTGTTCAGGCTGCTGCTGGCAGCGATACGCGGCTGATAAGGAGTATCTCGCCGTGGCGCTGTCAGTCAGAGAGAGGCGGCGAGGAGATAAAAGCAGGAAGTGTGTGTGTGGAGGGGATGAGCGGAGAAGGCAGTGGAGCTCAGCAGGAAGAGGAGGAAGAGGAGGCCTGGAACTTGGTGAGCGGACGTCTCTGGCAGCCGTCTGATCGCTATGAAAGCTTCCTCGCCGCCGCTGCTGCTGCTGCTGGTTGTCAGTGTGTGCCGTCGACCAGCGGGAGCCAAGAAACAGGAAGCGGTGGTTTCACCTGAGGAGCACGGCTCTCGACTCCGAGGACTCTGGAAGCTGCACATAAAGGACTCGCTGCTGGACGGAAAAGGTGAGCAAACATCTGGAATCTGTGGATCTGATTTTACTTTTCTTTACTTAAAGTGTTCAGACTGAAAGAACTCAGTTTAACTTGAACTGGTTGGTTATGGTTGAAGCTGTATTTAATATAATTAACATACAGTTTAGTTTATGAACTCACATTGAACCACAGAACGCTGCAGAACACTAAAATACCTTCATAAAATCCATCATATTGTAGAAATAGATCAATAAAGGGAATAAAAAGGTAAAGTGTGTTGGTATGATGGTGCACATACTGCAGGATACGTATACAGAACAACTTTATTTATTATTATCCACATATTTAATGTAATATATAAATAATATATTATTATTGTTGTTTATATTTGACTTTCAGTTGTTACATGAAGGAAACTTTTAGCTTTTAAGCTTCATTGTTTTTAATCAGACATTTAACAGAACTTCTCTTCATTTACTTAAAGACTATAAATAATTGAGCTGCAGTGATTAATCACCAACTATTCAATCAACAAATCAATAGTTTTGAGAGAAATCTCCAAATTTCAGCTCCTCCACGAGACATTCTACCTTTCTCTGACATTTTATGGAGCGAATAACTAATTGATTACTCTAGATAATGATGGACAGATTGATCAGTGATCACTGTAAACACTCATTGTCCCGTCAGTCAGTTATAAACTTATATTGTACAAACTGTGAGACCGAATGCTGAACTACAGATTGATCTGACAAATATTACTAATCATAAATCAATCTGTAATCCATTACTAACAATATCAGTGCACTAAAGGAAGTTTTTAACTAACTCACTTTATATTCACCTTATTACCAGCAGCAGGTTCTGGTCCTCAGCCAATCAGAGACGGGGTCACACAGCAGCTGCTCTACTGCCGCATCGGGATTGGCTACCATCTCCAGATTCTGCCCAACGGCTCCGTGGGAGGCGTCCACAAACCCACCGATAACTGTGAGTTCAGTCCACGTATCCTGGAAAACCTGGAAAACCTGGAAATTTAGAGAGTAGTTTTCCAATTATGTAAACACCTGGAAATCGATTAAAATCACCAAAAGTCTGAGAAATATTTAGATTCTAGCTCCTCACTCAGATTACATAAACCTGTATTTAGTTTTAAACTCGACTGCGAGCCGTTCACACCGCTTACAGACGGTCACATCTACAGACATACAGCCTGTAATTAAAGGTCAGATTCACATTAGTTGTAGATAACGAACACTTATACGTCTTCTTTTAATTGGCTAACAGGTGAGAAGATGACGTTCTGTTGATTATAATGTTGTTTAATGTTAGAGGAAAACTGCAGCTCTGTGTCAGCCGAGCACGCCACGAAAAACAAGCGAACGTGGATAGAGATGAGGATCGAGATCCACACATCCCAAAGATCAATAAGGTCCGAGCTTATCGAGACTAGCAGGTCCGCTGAACGTTATTACAGGAGAGAGTCTCGTTGACAATACGGTCAAAGTTAAAAGCAGATTTCCAAACACAGATTCCTTTACTGGCTTTACATTTTGACAAATAAACTCATTTTAGTTCTTTGGATGTATAAAACACCAACTTCAGCGACTTCTACGCTGCTCAGAACGCACATACAGATATAAATGTTGTTATAAACACGCTTCACATCGTCCACAGTTCAGTCTTTTAGTTAATTTCTACAGAAATCCTGAGCACAAAGTCTCATTCATCCAGATTTACCGGCACAGTGAACAAGAGAGGTTTAAATAGTGCTGACTCCCAACCTTTAGAAACAAAGTCTGAGTATGTGTCTGTTCCTTCATTATTTATATTCCTTCAGTCCCTAAAGGTTCACAGATCAAAAGAATGAAATTGGTTTTTCATAAAAATCAATCCAAGTTATAAATATCAGATCAAATGAACGACTGATAATTGATCTGTTATTCGAAAGCTTTATTTTTATACAATAATGAACAGTTTATAAAGGAACAACCAGCTCAGCTCTGAATAGTGGGAAAGGACCTTGGTCCTGAATAGCAGGTTTGGATAAAGACTGGGATTGTTGAGCAGTCCCATAAACTGAGAGAAAGAGCGGGAACCGTGTTATTGTTAATGTCTCCGTTCTGTACATTAAAACAGTTTCTGACCCAGTTTTAAGTGTTTGTCTGCCTTCACGCACTGATTCCTCTCCGTCTCCTCCAGGCTGGCTGAAGGTGTTCGCTATGAAACACGGCGTGGTGGGAATCAGAGGAGTGAAGAGCGGTTTGTACGTCTGTATGAGCGCCGACGGGCTGGCGTACGGGGCGGTACGTACCTCACTAACATTAAAGATAAACTCACCCACAGAAACCCAAAAGAACAACCAGATCACGTCCAATCTCTTCTTCCAGGAGCGGTTTTCTGATGACTGCCTGCTGAAGGAGAACCTGGAGGAGAACCACTACACCACCTACTCCTCGCTGTCTCACCCAGCCGTCTATCTGGCGCTGTCCCACAAAGGGGAGCTCAGGAAGGGCAACAGCGTGGGCCGCCACCAGTCCTGCACCCACTTCCTGCCCCGGAGGACGGCGTGATCGGTACCGGAGCCACGTTTAGAAAGCGTGTTCGCTCACGTTGCGACTCCGGAGAGAAGAAACAGACTGTTAGCGCCCAGGAGACACATCTGGAGGGATTATTATTACGTCTCAATGCTCAAAATACCTGAAACAGTCTGAGGATCAGTCGGTAAACAGCGGCTGCTCGGGGTGGACGCCTGGAACAGATGCAATAATAATAATAATAATATCTGCAATATAGAGGATTAATCAAAACATAAGATGTTCCTTTATTGATCCTGTGTAGCAGCATCGGGGAGTGTAGTGCAAAAGTAAAGAAAATATAATAAAACATGTACAGCTGCTGATCAATATTCTGATATTAGCAATAGATCACATTATTGTGTTTGTGCTGTAAAAGAGAGAATTATTAGAGTTCCTCCTCAGCGAGTCGACAGTGAAAGAGAAGTTGTTTATAGTTTTATAAATCTGTGCCTTATGAATCTTATTTATTCTTGTTTGTGTACTTTTATTTATTCTTGTTTTAGAGCGAATTGCAGTGTTAAATAAAATATATCTATTTTTTTATAATCACATTGTGTTGAAGTAGTTTGTTGTGAGTTGGATCTTCAAATTCATTTAATGTGAGTGATTTAGAGACATTTGTTAAATATTAAAGGTTATTTTTTTCTTTTAAATCACTAGTTTCCACTAGTAGAGCACCAGAATCTCAGGCCAAAACAATATGGCTACAGCCAGACTCCATTCATAAAACCAGTCATTTTAGCAGATAATCGTAAAAACACATTTCAAACTGGACAGAGACAAAAATAAAACTCACCAGAACTGTTTGTATTAGTCTCTTTAACAATCACCGACTCTGGTTCGGTCAAAATAAATCCTTAAATCACAGAATTACATGTGAAAATATTTGTGAAAAGGGCCGAAACGTAAACTAACATTAATCCTCGGGGACAAATGTCGTCAAAGTTTGTCCACTAACAGTAGTTGTTGTTTGTTCCACTAACAGTAGTTGTTGTTTGTTCCACTAACAGTAGTTGTTTGTTTCACAGACAGACTCAGGTTGTTATTGTCAGTGTCTGACAGCATTATAGAAAGGATCCCTACAGAGATAGACCTTTAGTTTAACCACAAACAGCCGTAATATCACTATCACTCTCCACCAGACTCCAGAGACAGAAACACTCATTTTACCTTCAGATCATCGTAACTTCATTAAAGTGGACAGAAACAGAATAAAACTCATTAAACCGTCTCTGTTAGTGTTTCCAACAATCACCAACTCTGGTTTGGTGGAAATAAATCCTTAATTCACCGACGTAGATGATAAAAACAGCAGTTTCAGTCGGAGCAGACCGGCTATGGAAACAAACCACAGAAAGGCTGCGTCTCAATCCCAGTACAATAAAGGAGAATAGTCCCTGTGAGAACTTTCCTCTGCTTTAAACTGACATTCGTGGATATTCTGGGATAGCAGCAGACGTTTAGGAGCAAATATGTAAAACCGGAACCATTAATTAGCCTTTAATTAACATTTGTATTATACAACCTGTTCATGGGTCTGTTGGCAGACAGCAGCTGGACTGTGAAGCCGCTGGACGTCGTCCAGGCAGTGACCATCCTCCTCCTCTTCCTCCTCCTCCTCTGGACACACGAGTCTGTAATCTTACCCTCTGAGTGGGAGGTGCAGGGTCATCCGATCCTCGCTCTGACCGACTGCACTCACCTGCTCAGGTGTCTCATTGTACCAGAGCACAGGCACGGCAGGAGGGCCATTAGCACGGAGAGGAAGGAGACAGAAACAGGGGATACAGGGAGTCGGGGGGGATATGGTCTTAGATAAAGTTCAGCTGAGTGTGGACGATGGCACGATGACGGAGAACTTCGTGGAGATCAGTACGTTGGACGTAAAACTTTTTCTTTGAGGATTCCTGGTTGTTTTTATCTTTTCTTCATCATTTCTTCTTCCTCAATGTCATCTCCACTTATCTCTGTTACAGATACTGCTGCTGCTGACACAGCAACTCCCCCGACAGTAAGTGGACCAAATACACATTTATTTTTATTTATATTGTAAATTCAATATTCTTGTTTTTCTTTCGGAACAAAACAAGAAATTTTAGTAAATTTTAATGTGCATTTTCAATTATTTTCTGCCATTTTATAGACTGAATTAGTGATTGATTAATAAAACAAATAGATTAATAAATAATGTAAATCAGTGGTGGATATGTGAAGGACGATGGGTAGTTTTCTACCGGGTAAGGGGGCCGATAAAACCTGTGGTATGGCGCTCCTGGGGGTGAACTCCTCTCTTGTGGTTTTCTAGAAGTTGTTAGACACACATAAAAGTTAAAATATTTATTTTTCAGAGTAAGGTACGGAGCCGCTCTTCAACGTCCGGCCCTCCAGAAACACTCCGGTAGCTAGCCGTGCTGTTAGCTAACTAATGAGTCTTCGCTCTGTGTCACTGAACGTTGAAGATTGATTGACGAGTGAATGTCAGGATATGATTGGCTGAAACCGACGGTCGGCCAGTGTCGGTGTATTCAGCACCATCGGCTTTTCCATTGGTAGTTGGAAATCGCTCTGATTGGTTGTTCAGCTTTAGCAAATCTGTGCATCTCTCATCTTCATGTCATCTGATCACTCAGATATTTTAAGTTGCCATTTTACGAAACCGTCTGAGCGAGCAAACCTTAATCCATAGAGCTTCTTTTGTTTATATCGGCAGTCTTCTGGTTCTTGTGTGACAAATACAGACTATCACCTCCTGCTGGTGTTTCATAGTTCATAGAATCGGATTATTCCCCAACTCTTTGTACTCAATGGAGCCACCATCAAACCCCTCGGCTCCCAGACTGACCTGGTAGCTGAAGCACTGGCTGGACTACTGGAGGAAACTCCAGAGTTGTTGGAGAGTCACTAAGCTTCAAGAGGCATCGACGGTCGTGTTGAGTCTTTTTGTTTGCTTCGTTGGATCCAAGATCACTGGAACAATGAGACAGGAGGAGCAGAGGAGGACAACTGACTTAGGCACCTTTCAGGGACACAATTCAGATTAAAGACCAGTTAATTGGGGACATATTGTACAACTGGGGACAAAAAACACTGTCCTCAATTAGAAATAAGCTGATTTTTGAGTCACTGGTGAAGGTTAGGGTAAATCTCCAGTCATAAGTAAACGTGTTGAATGGGGCGGAGGTAGAATTTGGAAAGATGGCCACCAGAGCCCGGCCCACTTCTACAGCGTCAGAGGGGACGAGTGCAAAGGTAATCCCAGAGAGCCGTGAGGTCGAGTTATTGCTCTTTGTGTAAGAAGTAGACGAGGGTGTCCCTGACGTAGACCACACTGACCCCTCAGAGGTCATACTGAACAGCCAGATCCTCCAGGATGGATGACCTTGTAGTCTGCTCTGTTGAACTCCTGGAAGGACAATGCTGAACCACCTTCCTTATCACTGGATCAAACCCAGATTTTACTGGTTTACTGCAATTTATGAGGTTTTGACATTAGAGCTATAAGTACAGATCGGTCTTACAGTCACACCTTCTGCCCAAACATCTCTTTTGGCAAGAAGTTTGATTAGAAACCTTTATTAAAGTCTTTTTCTTGAGTTCTGCTATCACAAATTGCTCAGTCAATGTAGAGGTAGTGCAGTAATGAATCAAGTTGTTTGGATCATTTGTCTCTCTGTTGCCCCTCATTTAGGAACTTAAGGTGCCCGAGCAACCTGACCCCTCCAAGATAGAGGTGGTATCAGTGACGGAGGAAGACCTCCCCACTGTCGAGACCCCCAACACACTGAACGTCAGCCCCCTGGGCAGCTTTGCTACCGATCCGCCGTCGGAGAACGATTCTGCCAAACCTCCGGCCGCCCCCAGCCCCATGATGCCAGTCACCAAGGTGCAGCCGTTCTTCCACGGTGAGACGCTGTGATGGTTGTTGAGGTAACGGTACAGCATGATATGGAGATTGCTGCACACAGGTAGAGTTACAGTGGGGTCTGCTTGAAACGTGAGCTGACCGACACACTGTGGATGAGGATAATAGTGATACATCTGTCACAGATTAACTCGTGTGTTATAGCCTTTAGCTCTTTGTTCTGCTTCACTTTCCCAGGAGAGAAAATATTTACTGAACCAGACAATTCTGAGGTTTTTGGCTGTTTCAGTAAGTTTTACTACAACGAAACTATATATTTGAGTTGTCTTTAGATTAAATAGATTGTAATCTCTTGATGTTTGAACTGTACACTATAAAATACTCAATGTTGAAGTATTTTCTCTCACTAGAGGACGACCTGGAGAAAAGCTGGAAGACCACACTGCTGGCCCACCGCCTCGAGCTGCTGATCGCCTCCTGCGTCGTCGTGGCGGTCACTCTCGTTCTCGGCATCGGCCTCGGAGGTGAGCTCCGTGGCGTGTAAACTTTGTCCATTCTGCAATAATGGAGCCACTGTAGCGTGGACTGACTTTGCTTCTTCAATATTTGATGAGGTTCTTACCTGTTACACAATTCAGGTCCTGCTCACACACTGCAGGCTGAATGCATGCATTTAAGTACCAGCTTTAATTTGATGGTCAGTTATGTTGTGTGAATAAAATAATTTTAAAATTGGACGAGTTAACATGAAGAAAGCCGTCGTGTTGCCAAAGTGTCGCATATCAAAACATTAAAGATTTGAATGGTTCAAAGTAAATTTTTAAGGTTTTAAAACTGAAAAATAGGTTTTAACATTTGAAAATAAGATTTGAATGTCTAAAAAAATTGTTTAATTTACATTTACGTTAGAAATCTGTTTTGAAACTTAAAACTGTTAAATTTAATCTACTCACTAACAATGGCTAATAGCTGTTATGAGATATTCAATATTAACTAATTATCAAAGACGCTACTATTGGTGTGAGGTTTTATTTTAAACATTGATCACTTTCTGATGGCTTCCTGGAAGTTTAGTGGAAGTTCTCACCCAAACAGTTGGCGAGTAACTGGTGTCAAATGTTAGCGGGGTCACAGTGGACACAACTGGAAGATCAGATGATCAAATGGCTTCCAGCTCCCGAACAACAACACGTTAAGATAATGTGATTCCTTCTGATGTAGTATAACTGATTAGAAAGATTAAAATTAAAACCAGGTACACCGATATCCAGGCTTCTGACTCACCTCACAACCGCAGGACTGGCATCGAGTCAATGGAACTTAAGGTGTCGACACATCAGTGAGGAAGTGTTCGAGGTTATTTAGCAGCAGTCAAACTTAACTCCTAAGCTGCCATGCAATATGATTTTGGTTTAAAGCAGCTTTTCTTACATTTTTTACAGCGTGTACCAACTCATAAAATATCTTTCCCAGTGCCACAATTATGACCGACATAAAATACAGCAGCGTAGTCTGACTCTGTTCAGCTACAGACAGTTCGGTTTATTCTAATAAGATTATTTATTTATTGTTGACTGTTATTGAATCCTGAATGAAACTGGTTCAAGAACTAGAGCTGATTTAGTGGAAAATGGTTACTCTTGATCTACGCTTCTCTTTAGTGTCTTAATAACTTAAACATTAAAGTTAAATTATCCATTTTAAAGATCGAAAGGTAAACAAACGCTCATTAGGTGAAGGGATGGGTACAGGCAGTTCCACTATAGTATATGGAGGTCCCCTGTTTGAGAGATACACATGGCATGCCACACTGCGCTAACGTTAATCCTCCCTGGTTGACCTTTTACCTTTAAGGAGAGTGGAGACACTGAGCAGGTACGTTTAGATTGATTGAGGGGTTTGTGTATCGATCTAGTCGCATCTATAACGTTAAAACCGATTTCTGACTCGTATCTGTAAATCTTTACACCTTAAAAAAAAAATATATATATATATTTTAAATGAGCATTAATAGGAGGTCCACACTTTGTTGGTGTAGAATGATATTCCACTGTTGGTAATGTAGACAATAATGTGTGTGTGTGTGTGTGTGTGTGTGTGTGTGTGTGTGCAGTGGGTCTGAGCTGTGCGGGGAAGTTTCGTTGTGGTTCATCGTCTAAATGCATCAGCACCTCGGCTCAGTGCGACGGACAGCCGCACTGTGACCACGGAGAGGACGAACTCGGCTGCGGTGAGACACACACACACACACACATTAACACATTGTTTCTCAAACAGGGGTATGCGTCCCCCTAGGGGCACTTTGGAGTACTGCAGGGGGGACGGGAGATTTTATTTTGTTAATTTAAAAAATCAATCATGCATAAAAAAAATAAGTAAACTACTATATAATAAGTTCAATAAAAAATGTAAATGTGAGTTTGATAAACCACATTTTATATGAATATATTTATATTCTGTCTGTCTGTCAGTGCGTCTGAGTGGGCGGAGCTCCGTCCTGCAGGTCCAGAAAGGAGGAGTTTGGAGGACCGTCTGCTCAGAGGGTTGGAACAACTGGTTGGGGGTCTCTGCCTGCAAACAGCTGGGATACTCCAGGTTTTTATCTTAAGCTCTTATCTTGGATCTGTATCCATCTTTTAGTTCAGGTTCCTGATCTAGATTGTCCCGCACCAATCAGAAGTTCATGTAGCATTAAAGTGCTTCGTATCAGTCCGTCCAGAAAGCTGCGATGTTGTGATCGCAATAATTAACGCAAATTCTACCGCTTTCCTGATTGATAAAGTCATTAAAATCTTAACTTGTTGTACTTCTCCATGTTTCTCTACGATCTGACCTCCGCCCTGTGTTGCTGCAGTAAGACTCAGGAAAGGTGACCAATTGGAAATGTCCCAATTTGACCAATCATTGTAGTTTCCCGCACAAAATGTTGAGTCGTAAGTCATCAAACTACTAGCAATGTTATTGTCACTGGAACACCCTTCAGCTTTGTATGAATTATACAAAGAATTGCAACAGTTTTTCCAAATTTATTGCAAAAAAAAGCTTAAATGTTTTGCAATTTCTTAGAAAAGCTGCCGTGAAAAAAAACAAGCCTGCGAAATCCTGGAGGAACTTTAAGAGGTTCATCAGTTTATAATTAGACTAGTTGCTGTGTCTTCTTATATAAACACCTGTAACATCCTAGTATTTTAAATATATTGTTCTCTGCTTAAAATACTGACACTCTCGTCTGTTGCTGTTTGTCAGGTACGTGGAGTCGTTCTTCGTCTCTCTGACCTCCATTGATCAAGACTTTCAGCACAACCTGGTGTCCATTGACCTGAACCGGTCGCAGGTCATTAAGCTCCAGGACGCCGCGACCTTCAGGTAGAAAGCACCTGTATCATCTGAATGACAATAACTAACAATAATACCATACACTGTATATAGATCATCCAAAGCAGCTCTGTTATAACTGGACTTCTCTTCATCTCAATCTGCAAATAACAGAATCATTTATTCATTTGTTCAAAAGCTGAAGAGATTAAAGGCCTGAAGTGAACATTAACAGGAGTTACAGTTTACTTTCCAGACTCAAATATTTTTTTAAAGGACAACTGGATGAACTAGAGCACACCGCAGACCAAAACCAGTAGGAAATGAGTCCTTGGCTGACCAGACTCCATTGAGAAAACCAGTGATTTTACCAAGCAGATATTTGGAAAACAGTTCAAACTGCACTGAAACAAAATTAAAGTCACCAAAACCGTTCTTGTTATCTCATCATAACAGTAAACTACACAAAACGCTGAGCCAGACGTCACCAAACTACTTTTATTCTCACTGGAACAAGTTTCAGTTTTTAATGAATTATACAGAAACTTGCAAATTCATTTAAAACATTTTAACTTGCTGCCCTCAAATCAGGTATTTTGGGTCTCAAAAATCCCCCAAAAAGCAAAAAACTAAATCCTGGAGGGATTGTTCATAACTGTTTTAAGACATATTGATCTTTCTGTTTCCTGATCAGTAAAGTCACTGGACATTAAAATCTTAACCATGTTTCTCTGTGATCTGACCTTCGCCCTCCTGCAGTAAGACTCAGTGCAGCTCAGGGAAGGTGACCACTCTGAAATGTCTGGGTGAGAAAACTGAGTGTTGACTCTCTTCTTTGTGAGGATTTAAGAGATGTTGCATGTTAAGGGTTCATGCATGGTGTGTTTATTGATCACCCCAATAAGAAGATGTTTCTTGATGTTCAAACTCTTTTTTTTAACTTTGTAAATAACTGATATGGAACCAGTGTGTGTTTATGTGGTTGTCTGTATTTGAGCATGTACGTCTGCATGTGCTGGAGTTCGACTAGGATGGATTGGTGAAGGTTGATACTGATATTTGTGGTCGAAACTGCTCATAACTGATCATTTGGATCAATATTTACAAATTTTAAAAAGGTGCACTAAACCTGTGAAAACATTTGTCAAGTCTAAAAAAATGACCCTGATGATCACCAGCACAGGGAAGTAAGATAATAAATCACTGCAGCTCTGTTAGATCGACCTTTATCGTGGAAATAAACTGAAATTTCAGATGTTTTCAGGCTGATTAAAGCTTCTTAAGACAGTGAAGCCAAGTTAATGAGTCAGTTTAGCTGCACAGCTGACTGACCTAACAGCAGTTAGCAGTTGGCTATTGATCAATCTGTCCATCAGAAACTCTGTAAATGACCTCGGAGCTGTAACGTTATTCCGCGTTGGTCTCAGCAGCAGTTAATTAGCGTATCTGTCCATCAGGAAACCCTGTAAATCTCAGAGAGTCGAAGCTGAGCCGCCGGAGGACGTCAGAGGGAAAACCAGGAAATATTTTCTCCATAAAATCTGATCCAGTTTCACCAAACTCACTGAAGTTATAAAGTTGAGCTTTTGTACAGGAATCAGTGAAACATCATCAGAGAGAAAGTGTTTCACTGGACACAAAATTAGAATTCGTCAACTTTTAAATTATTTTTCAGGAAATAAACTCTAAAATACCATCAAGAATACTTGAAAATACCTAAAGAATTCATGTTTCTGTTATTGTTGGACAGACATTGGAGTATGGGAGATGTTTAACGCCAAAACATATGTGATAAAAACACTAAAGCATCAATTTTGACTTTAATAAAGACAGTATCAGCTGCCGTTAATCATGTTTGAATGTCTGGCGCTGACCTACGACCTTTCCCTCCTCCGCCCTCAGAGTGCGGCTCCAGGCCTCAGTACACTCAGAGCACTCGTATCGTCGGCGGGAACATCTCCAAGCCGGGTCAGTTCCCGTGGCAGGTCAGCCTCCACTTCAGCAGCGAACACCTGTGCGGCGGCTCCATCGTGACGTCACGCTGGATCCTGACGGCGGCGCACTGCGTGTACGGGTGAGTCACTTAAAATGTTCTCATCACTTTACCTCAGACGGACTTTGACTTTTATAAGTCTTTTTGGCGTCTTTATATGAATCAGTACTTTAGTATAAACTTCCTGTCACCCAGGTTTGTGCGCAGCAGTTTTAAATGACTCTGCTGTTTACTGAAGACGGTGTCAGATGAAGACGTCTTGAGCTCCACACACACACACACACACACACAGAGTCCATCATGCGTAGTTAAAGTTGTACAAGCTGGAATCAGATTACTTCCCAGTAACTCCTTTAACCTGGCAGGGTGTCAGTCCTCTAAACTGTCCAATGAACGGGCTGCTTATCGATCATGTGACGCCGCCACTGGCTCCTGTTTAGGAGCAAAGTGCCAAGAAAGACAACTGTCTCTGTAGGTTGGCGGGTTTTAATTTCACTGACACAAATATTCTGTCTGTCGTCAGGTTTGCGGACCCCTCCATGTGGACGGTCCACGTGGGGCTGACGGAGCAGCAGGTCCACGGGGCTCAGTCTCTGGCTGTGGAGCAGATCATATACCACGCTCGCTACCGGCCCAAAGGACTCGACTACGACATCGCACTCATGAAACTGGCCAGTTCACTCAATTTCAATGGTAATGGTAATTTCACCAATCACAGCAGTCGCCCGCATAAAAAGTTGAGCCATACGTCACCTTCCCTGAGTCTTATGGCTGCAACACGGGGCGGAGGTCAGATCATGGAGAAACATGGAGGAGTACTACGAGTTAAGATTTTAGTGACTTTATCGATCAGGAAACAGAGCGCAGGAAGATCGATATTTCTTACAGACCCTCCAGGGTTTTGCAGTTGTTTTTAGGGATTGTTGCTGCCCTAAAATACCTGATTTTGCAGCAGTTTTTCTATAAAAATAAATAAATGTTGCAATGTTTTTAGGCCTTTGTTGAGATGAGGTTGCATAGGTTTTTGTATAATTCGCAAAAAATCGAAGGCAACTTATTTCAGTGAGAATAAAATCACAAATAATTTGGTGACGTACGGTTCAACGTCTTTATGTTTGGTGAAACTCGCAGAAAAGTTGGTGAAATTGCAAGGTTGTGCAGAATTCACTGCATTGGTTGAACAATGAGTTAATTGTTACAGTTGCAACATCGCAACTGCCTGGAGAGACTGAAACCACAAACATTTATCTTCTTACTGGAATAAGTTGCCTTCGGTTTTTAAAGAATTACACAAAAACTTTTAAAAATCGCAACAAATTTTGCAATTTTCATTTTTCTCAGTTTCTTTGCAAAAAAAAGCCTAGAAACAACCTGCGTCACAATTAGCTGCTGCCAAATCAGGTGTTTTAGGACCGCAACAATCCCAAAAAGAACTGATTAATCATCCAGCAAACAAAAAATTGAAGCTCGATCCAGAGACAGTGAAATCTCCAGTAGTTTGGTGACATATTGCTCGACTATGATTGGTAAAACTTGTGGGAAACCACAATGATTGGTCAAATTTGGACATTTTAGAGATCTGCAATACAGGGCGGAGGTCAGGTCAGAACCGAATTTTATAAATTGGGAATGATTGGAAAGTTGAAACATACTTGATGCCCCCATAAGTCAGGAAACTGCTCCTGCACACAGACACCCACCTTTACTTAGTAGGTATAATGTAAATCTATCAGATTCTTGTCTCACCTTTATTCTGTCTCAGTCCTGTGGGGGGGGGCTCTCTCTCCCTCCCTCACTCTCAGGTTTCTTGCTCTCTGACAGCTGAGTGTCATTATGTGTATCAGCTGTCTCAGCTCTCACCAGTCACTCTTCATCACTTCTGCTCCTTTCAGCGTAAAAGGATTCGCTGAACCTCCGTCTGAAAACAAGGTTGTGTCCAGATACTCTGGGAGTTGTAGTTCACTCAGATTCTCCTCCGCAGGCTTCGTGGAGCCCATCTGTCTGCCCAACCACGGGGAGGAGTTTGAGGCAGGGACCATGTGCTGGATCTCCGGGTGGGGAGCGACGGAAAGCGAAGGTGAGTCTGACAGTAACTGTAATAAAAGCGTCGGTTGTGTGTTAGTGACTCTCACACACACACGTATGAATGTGTTCCAGGTGAAACCAGTCTGGCTCTGCGCTCTGCCACGGTGCCGCTGCTCTCCACCAAGACCTGCAACCAGCCGGAGGTTTACCAGGGCCTCATCTCGTCCTGGATGATCTGTGCAGGATACCTGGAGGGAGGAACCGATTCCTGTCAGGTAAAACACTGAGACGTCCTTCGTCTCCGTAACAGTAACATCATTAACTAACCTGTGAGGAACAGTTGGACTTTTACAGCAGCTTTTGGGACACTTAAGGACATAAAACTAGATCTGTTGTTATTGTTGTGATGTGAGAGACCCCCTAGTGGCAGAAATTACAACTACTGACTTTAAAATACCCCCAAAGGCTGAGGCTGTGGAGGTTTGGTGATGTGTGGACTCTGTATTTGTGTCCTCAGGGGGACAGTGGAGGTCCTCTGGCCTGTGAGGACTCGTCCGTGTGGAAGCTGGTTGGAGCAACCAGCTGGGGGATCGGCTGCGCCATGAAGAACAAGCCGGGCGTTTACACTCGCATCACACAGTCGCTCAGCTGGATCCGCCAACAGATGGAGGTCAGTACGCGACGAGCCGGGTCCTGTTAGGACCGGCCTCTTTAGAGGGAGTTGACTGTAACTCTCTTTTAATGATGGAGCGTCTTGGGTTCGTTACGACGCCGAAAAGATCTCTGCGAGTCCGTTCCGCTCCGTGTCCGCTGTGAACAGCTCGATTAACTACATTTTGAAAAACATCTTCCAGGACAATGTAGATTATTTCCAGGATTTTTGGTCATTTTAATTGATTTCCAGGTGTTTCCATAACCGGAAAACTAGTCTCTAAATGTCCAGATTTTCCAGGACTTTTGGGAATCTTGTTGTTATTGTGCGACTTTTGCATTTTAACACAAACTAACCCTTTAAAACACCATAAAGTTTCAGTTCTGTTTATGGTAAAAACAACTTTTAATGGACGAACAACTTTCTTTCTACTTTCTCTACTTAAAATATGTAAAAAATAGAGCCGAGGTTTTTAAAAATACCCTTTAAATACTGACTTTAAATGACGAATCTGAATAAAAACAGCAGTTAAACAGTCCAGTTTCTTCAGTTAAACCTTGACGAATCGACCTCTGCCAGCTGTTGGTGACTAATCGACCTCCGCCAGCTGTTGGTGACCTCGCTGTGTGAAGTTGGACCGACAGCTGGTTCTCCTCCTCTATGGTATCCGAGCGCAGCAGCTGGCAGCGTTGTACGTTGGCCTAATTTCAGCTGCCTTTATATGGTGAAAGCTTTGAAATGTTACACTCGAGTCCACGATACGAGACCATAAAGCGCTCGCCCCGTGTCCGTGTGCTCCGCTGGTTACCGCACACAGAACCTCTCACACAAACTCACTGAAGAGACGAAGGAAAACCTGATTTGTTTCATTCATTTATAGTCCGTTAGTGCTGTATGATACAGGATGAACCAGGTTTTAATCTCCTGTATGATATGAATTTATAACTTACCACTGAAACTCTTCCACAGGCTGCCATGTTGTATCGTGTATTGAGAGGAAGCTGCCAACACTTCTTACTAATAACCCACAACTAACTCTCTTGTCACAGGACAAACACAACAATTAGAGCCAATTCATTTCTTACTTTGTGCAACAGAACATTTTTAAGTATTTTAGGTGAAATCTGTGTTTACCTGATTATTTCATGTCAAAATAGCTGCTGTTAAAAAGGTTTATTGACTACAGCTTAAGGAACATTAAGTTGGCCACAGGCTGTGATACAGTTAACATTCTTCAGGACAACTTAGATTATTTCCAGATCATTTTAATCAATTTCCAGGTGTTTCCATGACTGGAAAACTCTCTATAGGTATCCTGTACATGTTTCCATCTGTGTTTGTGTTAAACTGTCCATTTCTGTTCTCTTTCAGAGGGAAGAGGCTCTCAGTTCTCCAACTTCAGACAACTGAACCGCTTCGTTGCTTCTCACAGGACTCTGTTTGGATGTTTCCACAAACACAAAAAAAACCACAACAACCAGAAACGACGGACACTTTGATCCACAACAAAATCCTGTCTGTGACGGAGCAGAGAGAAGAGACGGTGCACAGCAGAGAGTTAGGCATCGTTTATTCCAAAATAGAAAGCTCTAAGGCAAAACAGACAAGAGAAAAGTGAAGAACGCTTCATAAAAAGCAAGACAGACGCAAGTGAGGAGCCGAGAGCTCAGCGAGGGCCCACCCAGACTCACTACACCCTCAGGCTGCATGAAATTAACCATTTCAAGTCCTTACGAGAGGGTTATAAACCAGGTTACTGCAACTATTGACAGACAACTGTTGTACAGTACAATATTACAGATATTCAAACAAGAGGCACCCCAATTTGTGCAGTAATATCAACATATTGATAAAGAGAATTCAAATCTTTCACTACATTGTGTATGTAGTGGTGGCGGCGGGCGGGGGGGGGAGGGGACCGACGGAGGCCGCAGCGCTTTAGTCCCAGTCCTTCAGGCGAACAAGGAGTTTCCAACCACTCTTTGTTTTCAATGCAGTAGCATGTATGTGTACATAAATAAAAGTTTAATGCGTGCAAAAAGTCCGCTGCTTCTTGGTGGTGATGGGAGTTCTCAGACCCTTTGTGATTGTGTGATTAGCATAGTGTTCTGGATTGTGCATTTGAGGAAAAGTGACGCCTACGCTACTACTGTAAAAGGATTGTTAAAAGACGTAATGTATGGTATACACAATGGGGGTTAAAACTGGAGCTAGGGCCGGGTATCGCACAAGAATGACCACACAGATACCTTCACTTCGATATCGGCTCCTGAACTGAAATCGATACCAACTTCATAAAAAGATCCTGGAGCAGCTGCAGGAACTGTGAGACTGTGTGAGGGATGTTTATGGTTCTGGGAAACGGAGGCAGAGTGAGACCTCCTTACTGTCTCTGTGCTACAGACCAGCTACCCCGGGTCAACGATCCACCGCCAGCTTCGGTGTGTCGTGGTTAGCTGCACTGGCTAACTAACAAGCAGCGCAAAGTTTACCCCCGAAATTCCACCGGCTTTAAGACGGCGCGTCTGCGTGTTGTTGTGTCCTTAAAAAGGAAACAAAAAACAGTGTTTCTCCACTTACAATCTCTGACTGACCGACTTCTGGTCCGGTGCAGAAGGCTGCATCAGGACCCTGCAGGACGCAAAGTGCAAGTCCCGGGATTTATCCATCAGGAAGATGGAAACGGACTCGAACAAACAGTTTAGGTTTAGAGGAAGATTAACGCAGGTTTTTAATAAACAAGAGCAGAGCAAGTCTGACATTTGAGGACATTTCAGACGCAGTAAAATAACATCTTGTATATAAAGTAACACCAGATCTTTATTGTGCGAGAGTGAATGTTCTCCAGGACATTTGATCTGGAGTCTGTGTGCGGTATTTTATTTTGAAAATTCAGATTTCTTAATGCCATTTCTGTGTCTGACTTCAAACGTAGAGCAGCCACGTGTTGTCCGGTGGAATTTGGGGGTTTTCTGTGCAGATTAGCAGCTCGCGGGAAAAACTTTTACTCTGTTGGTATCGATGTTCGGTACCGAATGTAACAGTACGGAGGTTCGGTGCCCAGCCCTAACTGGAACTGTGTTTAAAAACATCCGAGCGCTGCGGTGTGCGAGATAACGCAGCACGCAAAGTAACATTGATAGCGACGCTTTTACAGAACCGCGCACACGTTCTGCAGGTTTTAGTGTCTTTTTTTGACCAATTTCACAGAGGGTCAGACTCTTTATTTTGTGCTTCTTGGCAAGAATTGTTTAGAAAAAGACACACAGGTAAGGCCTTGTTAGTATTGTAAGTTTAAAACCAATTTTAAATAGCAATTTTTCATCAGCATTCAATTCCTTTTTTCTGTTTTTTAGAAAACTTCAAAGAACCCTGGAAAACAGGGTCACTAGCTTTAATTATGAATCTGTACATAAATATTCCTTACAAAACAGGAGAACACAAAAAATGAAACAAAAACACTAATTTCATATGTTTGTATATAAAAATAAGCATCTCTCTTTTTTTTTTTTTTTTTTTTCTTCCTCATTCTCTCCACTCGGGGCTCCGCTCGGGGGCCGCTGAGCGCCGTGGAGTCGGTCGTAAGAGTGCGCACATCTACTCAAAACACAAGCATGCAAAAAAGTGAAGACAAACTCTTACAGATACAACTTTAAAGTGTTGGCATCCAAAATGAGAATTCAACTGGAGGTGGGGGGGGGGAATAAAATCATAAATCAGTCAACATTTATTAACGGAGTATACAAACTTGCTTCGGGTGTTTTAACACTTCTTTTTTTTGTCTCTTCTGTTTGTTTGATTTAATCTTTTTGAGCTTAAATATACAAAAAAAGTGCACTCGCATACGTCAACTAAATAATTATAAAACGGTTTCTGATAGAAACTCCTGATGTACACACACGCAGCATTAAACCGCCGTTCAGCAGGGTGGAGGGTTGGAAGAGTGCAGGACGTTCCTGTTTGTGTCCTGTTGCTTTGTGCTCTGTGTAAACCTGTGTGTGTGTGTGTGTGTGTGTACTATGATTCATTGTGTGTTTGACAACCTATTAACGCCACGTCTTGTGTGTGTGTGTGTGTGTGTGTGTGTGTGTGTGTGTGTGTGTGTGTGTGTGTATCAGTGTGTGGGAGTGTGTGTCCTCTACTGCAATGAGTCGCTGTTGTCCAGGCCCAGCCCGGCCATGTCTGCGTCGTCATCTTCGTCTCCACTGTCCCCCGACTCGTCTTCGCTGTGGCCTCCCAGCATCACCTGCTGTACCGCCAGCGTGGCGCCGTCTGACGTCAGGCTCTGCAGACCCTCCACGTTCATTGTCACCATCGTACCTGAGAGTGGAGGAGGGATTGTTCAGAAGAATAATACGAGTGCGTGTTGAAGAAAATGTGCAAAACAACAACCCAGAGTCAACAGTCGACTTCACCGTTAGTTGATGAGAAGAGTTTTAGTCAACAAACTTTCCATCAGTCAGACAGAAAAACTAAAGTATCAGAGGATTGTTGTAACCCGGACCTTTTCTCTTCTTGAATATGCTTACTGTACAAGCTGCTGTAAGCTACTGAGCGGTCCTATCAGCTGGAAGGACAGGGGGAGTTTAAACACTGCTAGTGTAGCAGCAGAGGGACGCAGCGGCTCCGACCAGGACTCTGACTCTGGGGATGAAGACTGTGGGTTCAGGCAGCGACAGGAGTGGAATGAAACGGAGGAAGAGGAGCCAGTTTGTAGCCAGTTGATTAGTCAGTAACTGTAAACGTTATCCATCGTATGGATCAGTTGGAGGTTATTCCGTGTGTTGAACAACCAGCAACACTGTGTGATGTTACACTGTGTTGCTGGTTGTTCTGACACATTCAGGATCATTACCGCTGTTTTTGTTAGCGTCTAACAGGCCGCTGTTACAATATAGAGATTATAATCATTAGATTAATATAATAAACGTGTGACGACTAGTCTACTAAGACAATCTTTAGTCGGGGGCAGATCTAAAGATCTCAGAAGACTGTCCTCCACACTAACAGGTCAGTACATTGGTTCCATGTTGGTTTGGTTTTGTAGTTGTTGCAGATGTTTCCCTGTGTGCACTGAAATAAAACCTTCCACCAGTGTTACTCTCCATTGAACTCTGCGTACCGTCTGGCATGGTGACTTGCTGGTGAGTGCCTCCTCCTGCGGCGATGGAGTCAGGCCAGAAGCGCTGCAGAGGCCGGTTTTGAGGAGTCTTCTTCTTGGTTTTCGGTGTCTCGGAGGAGCTGGCGTCCAACATGGGCTGCAGGATCCGCCTCCGTGCATTTATAAACCTGCAGACACAAGACAACGCGGGTTGGGGGGGGGTTCTCTCCAACTGGCTGAGCTTTGACACCTTCAGTCGGGTGATGGAAGAAGACGACCACCTACCAGTTGTTGACCTGCAGAAGTGTCAGGTTTGTCTGAGTGGCAATCTGTTTCTTCTCATCCTCTGTCGGATACGGGTGCTGCAAAGAGAACGAGGAGGAGATGATTCAGTGTTTGTTTCTTTTTAAAGTGTCTCTCACACACAGACACACAGACACACACAGACACACACAGACACAGACACACACACAGACACACACACAGACACACACACAGACACACAGACAGACACACACAGACACACACAGACAGACAGACACACACACTCACCCCGATGTGCTGGAAGAGCCACGAACGCATGACGTTGGTGGCGTGTTTGGGTAGAACGCCACGTTTGTTCTTGGTTGAGTTGTCGTCGTGATTGAAGAGGTTCAGGTCCTGGTGAAACTGCAGCTGGAGCTGAACAGACAGACGTTCATTTAGTCACCTTTCATCAGCAACAACAACAACAACAACAACAACAACAACACATCGCATGAATAATAGAATATTTTTGTGAACTACTGCAGAATTATTTCCTGGGTTTAAACGTATGTATATCAATAACTGTATATATTATTTTTCCATTAATTTCTGTTTTCTATGTGTAGCATTAAAGAACTACAAACTCTGTTCAGTACAGACCTGCTAATAGCGCTGTGGGCTAGGATGTAATCTTAAGGTGACTTTCTCTAATAATAATGTGCTTTACTCTCACCCTGCAAACAGTTTCATTAGGACTTAGGACAGTTCTTAAAATGAAAACATGAACCAATAACAGTTTCTGTCCGGGGTCATTTTAGGAACCACTGACTCAGAGTAAACACACACACACACACACCTACACACACAGAAGCACTACCTGATTGTTTTGGACGCGTATTGTCCCGGGAGAAAGAGCCTGTGTTACCACCTGGCCCTGAGGAGTGACGACTGTAACAGGCTGGTACACCGTGCCACCTGGAATTAACACAGAGAGAGAGGCAGGGAGAGAGAGAGAGAGAGAGAGAGAGAGAGAGAGAGAGAGAGAGAGAGAGAGAGAGAGAGAGAGAGAGAGAGAGATTAATATAATCTGCTGGAGTTGCAGAGAAAGCTCCGATCAGAGCGTCCCACTGGTGTGTGTCAGTATCTCAGCTGCAGTCACTACAGTACAGTACCTGAGGGAGCCGTTGTATGCCATGGTGACATACCTGCGACCACCTGGGTGGGGTTGACGGCTGTCACGGTAACGTTCCCTTGCTGTAGGGCGGACGCCGGCACCACGATTTGACCCTGGGGACTGAGGGTCCCCGAGATAGAGCTGGGGGTCTGTGTGACAGAGAGAGCGGGCCTAAGTCACATACGCATGTTTTTGACGTTGACGGCTGTTTTTACCTGATGTTTTTTATGAATCTGCTCAGAGGAATGCATTAAAGGCAAAGAAACAACAGTGTCAGTGTCTAAAAGCCACCGACAGATCCAGCTGTTTGTGATTCTGGTGCTCCTCCTGCCGTCCAATACCTGAGTCTTGGTGGGTGAGAAGCCCTGGACCTGGCCTTGTACGGGGGAGTACGGGCTTCCTGGGTCTCCACTCAGCAGAGTCTCGCTGTTCATCTTCGTCTTGAGGCAGGCGATGTAGCGGCTGCAGAAGTCCTTGCACAGGTCGCTCACCTTCTCCAGCTCCAGCAGGTGGATCCGCAGCACCTGGATGGCTTTCACCATCTACAGATCAACACACAGCGGCTTAATGACAGCAGAGAGAGAGGGAAACTGTTCCTTCTTGAGTCCTCTTCAGAGTCTGACGCTGAGGATTTAGACACTTTGGATATCGAAGGACTTTTGAATACTGGTATCAGATTAACTTTTAAAGAGCGGCAGATAGTTTTCCAACATTTATATAAATTCTTACTGATTATTCTGGATGTTTATTTGCCAACTGCAACATATAAAAGGGAGGCATCAGACAGTGATTGGGCAACCAAGAGCAGAAGCTAACAGAGGTACATGCAGAGATAATAAAAAATAATCCTGTATTTGTGGCTGTCTGAGGTACCAAAAGAATCTGGCAGAGATGTTTTCGGTATTTCTGTCACTCTTGGTGGGCACCAAAGTTCAACTTGCCCCCTTCAGAGAGGTCAGAGGTCAGACTGAGCTACAGCACACTGCCCCAGCTACAGTTAAAGAGTTCAAACACAGATTCACAGGTCGTGGCGTCCAATCAGTCTGAGAATTAAATTTTAATTAATTGGTAAGAAGCAACAGGACTGCTGAGGTTAAAGGTCACTGAGTGTGGGAGGGAGTTGGGAGTTTGTGTTTCTTTGTGAAATATCTCAGGTGCCTGTTCTGGTTTTGTGAAATACCTCCGAACTAAAACCTTCTTTCAGTCCTCGGCTTATGTTAGCAGCCCAGAAAATACACAGTAATGAGTCCAACAGATGAGATTACAACCAGTCAGCTGGTTTTAAGAAGTTATTTAACATCTGTTTGTCCAACGCAATATCATCATAAACCCTCCAGAAATCAATGTCTCTCACCAGGTTGTCGAGTTCGGGGTCCTCGCTGAAGAAGGGTTTTCCCTCTTTCTCCTGATTGCGGACAAAGTTCTCGATGTCCACGTCGAAGCTCGCCGAGGTGATGCAGTCGGAGCTCAGCGTCGACTGTTCGCACTTCTCGAACAGCAGGGCCAAGAGAGGGAACAGGGGGTGCCTGTGACCCACAGAGGGAAGGAAGAGTTGGTAAACTGCATCATTTCAAAGCACAACTGCAGACGGCGGGCAGGATGTGGTTGTTATGTGTCGAGAAACAGAGATCCAATCTGTTCTAGAAACACAGCTCATCCTACCAACAGAATACAGAGTGAGGCCAAAAAGTTTTCCCGGACTACAGAGATTATTTCCAGGATATCTGGTCGTTATAATCACTTTCCAGGACGTGTTAAACCCCGTCTGTGTTAGCTCACTTTTGTGGCGTGCTTGGCTGATTTTTCCGCCTTCCAAAATTCATTACAGTCTTCCTCTAACTTTAAGATTAATTCGGCCACAGCACAGGCAAAAATATGGTAATTCTAAAACATTTCTAGGTGTTTTCATGACTGGAAAACTTCTCTAGATTGCCACGGTTTTCCTGGACGTGTGGAAACCCTGGAGAGTACCAAAAGTTGTTGGTTGTTGGTACTCTACTACTATTTTTAAAACAATCTATATTAGTTGAAGCTTTATTAAGAATATTTGGTACTGAAGCTGTTATGTGGATCTATGCTCTCTCTCTCTCTAATACATTAGTCTGAATCAACAGTCACACAATAACAACTGTATTTCTCAGAGTCATACAACAACTTCTCTCTCTACGTCTCCTCGTAACGCAACGATCACATCCAACATATGTTTTCTGTTTGTACCTTTTCTCTCTAATATCGTCTAAACTAACACAGACTTTTCCTCCATCTCATCCATTCTGCTTTTCACTTTGTGGCGTGACTGTAAGTCTGAAAACAAATGCTGTCAGACACGCCGACAGGGCGAACACTCACAGATTGCTCACTGTCCAATAAATGAGCTTTTTGTGAGTCTGTGTGAGTTGTTTTGGGCCCTGATTAGATTGTAGGTGGGCAGTGTGAACATAACAAAAATGCAACAAACATTTCCATGAGCAACAGAAACAGCAGTAGGTGTTAAAAAAACACCCGTTCACATTTTCTCAAACGCCAGTGAGCAACAAGAAAAGTCACATGAACAAAGGGGAGGACTTCAGAGACATCATATGATATTTCCAAGCGAGGGTTCACTGTCTGGCCAATCTGAAAGTAACGGTGTTAAGACGGGGAAAGAAAAGAAGGAGATGTTGTTCTGTTTTCTCTCTCACAAACACACACACACACACAATCATCAGCTCTACCGATATATGGAGGCTTTGTCCGCGTCCATGGGTGTCTGCGGCTCCGTGGGCGCCGGGCTGGGCACCTCCGCCAACGTCCCCTCGATGAACTTCTGCTCCGAGTCGCTGTCCACCTTCGCCACACCTTGCATCTGCAGGGAGAGAGAGAAAACAAAGAAGTGAGAAACAAAAAGAGAGTGACAGAAACAGAAAAGAGAGAGACAGGCGCTGACAGAAGAGGTGAAGAGAAAGGCGGAGAATGAGGGATATAAAAGACATCATGTGAAGACCGGGAGTAGCTGGGGGGCGAAGCTTAACACAGAGCCTCGCTTCAATATGAACTCTCACGGAAGTCACGAGGACACGGTCTGAATACCTCCTTTAAAAACTATACATTTTAAATGGATTTAAAAAAGGAGTGAACAGAGTCTGCTGGTTGCATTAACACATCTGTGGTGGACAGATGTGTTAAGTTCTCTCGCTTTCTGAGCATCCAGACGAGCGTTACAATGCAGACCCCGACATATCTGGTGTTACGATCTGATTACAACCGAGAGTTATAATCCGAGGCCCGGTGCGTCGCGTACACCTGACACCGGACACGTTTAACCCGTGGCCTCCACTCGAGGCACGTTCATACATCAGGAGCCAAGTATTCTCCTCCTCCCTTTTTAAACGCCAGCCAACCGGAGCACGAATCCCCGTCCCCCGACCATGTGACCGAGCCCAACAATGACTTAGATTGAGCACAAACGAGCTAAAAATAATCGCTTGCTTGGGGTGGAAAATTTCTCATTAGTCATAGATCCTTCTCGGCTCTCGACACCCCCAAAATCTGGCACTGGAATAAAAGATGTTTTGTAAGCAATTTACATAAGCGCAGACACATAAATACTCTTTGCGCCGCATCGGTGCCTCGTACGGTGATTTATTTGTGCTGGCCCGCCAACAGATTTACTAAAAGTGATGTAACAGCATTAACGTTGCCTCTGTTCTAGTGTTACATGCTTAAAGTGTTTCCCTTTGTTTGGCTGCCCGAGCCGACTTATCGCCACTAAAAATAAACCGGGGGATCCACCGGGGCAGAATACGCTGAAGTTACAGCCTGGAAACATTCAGTCGCCGTCTTTTTGTGGAGATTTTTGGTGGTTAATTATCTTCAGTTGGAGCAGGTTGTGCCTCCCCCCTGCCTCCCCCCCCTCTCTCGCTCTCACCCACCTGCTGCTCTCCCTTTGGGTACTTGTCTATGGAAACCGACTGGGCTGCCATCACGTTCACTGCAGATGCTGCAAACACTGGGGCATTATAGAGAGCGGGGACAGGTGGCCAACCTGCACAACACACACACACATTACACACAGTTAGACTGTAACAGATACAGGGTTTCTTTAAAGGGGGGGGGCACGTTAGACTACTGCAGGGGCTGCTTCACTCTTATAAACAAATATAAAGTGATTCCTAAAATAATCAGACTATAAGTTCAATGAAATAATGTAAATGTATGTTTAATAAACAGTATTTTTATATCCTATATTCTTATTTTTTCATGCTGTCATTAACTAGGGCGACACAATAAATCTAAATATTACATTAATATGTGCCAGTGTAGTTTTATTTTGATAAAAAAGGTAAGAATGTGTGACAGCTTTGTAATGAAGAGCTGTAGAGCTGCTGTACACAGGAAAACTTGTTTGTTTGGTTCAGACCCACAAAAGTTAAAATATACGTCAATATAATCACAAGATGTTGTTGATGGTTTTACTGTAACGGCTTTAAATCCTCACTTCGTATGGCACTGCGGTGACGGAGGTCAGTGTGTTTCACGAGGAGGTTTATAATAAAAGTTGTGAAATAAAAGCCTGAGAATTACTTTAAGTGTGTGTGTGTGTAACTGAGTCTCCATGTAAACAACGTAGCCTAAACAATAAAGAGTTAGGGTCGTATTGTGTACTCTGTTCTGAGTGGATTTTAAACATTTTAAATTAAGCATTTAAGTGTTTTTATAAAGACACTGATGGTTGAAAACATATTTTAAACAGGGGCTGTGTAGTTTTAACATGTGTTTACGGTCTCCATGTGTAATAAATAAGACAATAAGGTCTGTCTGTAAACAATAAGCCATAAAACAACAATCTAACAAACAAAAGGAGGTTAATTAAAGCGTAATATTGCGATATGATTCACAATTAGTGCAGGAATTATAATTTCTGCAACAAAAAATTTAATTTTAACAGCAAAAAAATGATTAAAATCAAGTTGATATGATATTTGTTGAAGTCTTTACCAAACAAAAGAGCAGATTTGTAGGCCAGGACGTCTCTGCAGCTCCACAGTGCTTCGTTATAACGCTGTTAGTCACACACTTTATTTTTATCAGACACATCGCAGCCTCTGTCATCTGCATATTGCAGTTTGTATAATATTATAGAATCACTGTGCTGTTTATGGGAGGATGAACATCAACGCTGAGGAATGTAACTTTGCCTGAGTGAGCACTAAACAACAACAGATTGGTGGAAACTAAATAAAACTAAATAAAACTAAATAAATGAACAAAACAAGGAGACATAAAGGTGAAATAAAGACACAGTAAGGTTATTTTACCATGTCTCCATATATATACTGTGAATGAGAAGAGAGAGAGACAGAGAGAGAGACAGACAGAGACAGGCAGAGAGAGAGACAGGCAGAGAGAGAGACAGGCAGAGAGAGAGAGACAGGCTGCAGCGACCCTCAGGCTCTCTAACACACAACAACAGTAGCATGTAGCATGTAGCATGTAGCTTCCCGTTAGCTGCTGACAGTTGGGAGGTGGCGGGAGATAAAAGTCACTGAAAGCGGGGAGCTAACATGAGCTAACTGCCCTCTGGGTGGGGGGGGTAACGGGGCTGTTAATAGCCCCCTCCCGCCGGAGCTCGAGTTAACGCAATATTTATAGGTAGCTGTTAGCCACGTTAGCATTAGCGGTTAGCTCGGAAACACCGTAAGAAGAGAGCGAGAGAGCTACCGCTAACGTTAGCATGGAAGCTAACTGCTAACTATAAGTGTTAAAGCGCCATATTGAGTAAAGCTAACTACAGGCTAGCGTTAGCAAGGTACACACACAAATAAAAAAAAACACGAAGAAGAAGAAGAAGAAGAAGACCCCCGGCCGCGGATTGATACGAAACGAGCCAAATAACAAGCGGTCTCTTTTCCCCCTTCTTGTTTTTTAAAAGCCCCAGTTTTAATTGAATATGCAGTGATTCGGTTATTAAACAGCACCGGGCAGCACACCGAGAGCCAGCCCCGGTTGATCCTCACATCCTTCCCCCATCAGTCAATCAATCACACGGGGACAGCTGCCCTCTCTCTCCCTCCCCTCCCCTCCGCGCTGCCACTGTCGGGCCTCGTTTCTCGCTCTCGCCCTTTGCCTTTCCACAATCCTCTCTGCCCCCAAAACGCAGACATATTTTTTTTACCCCCCTCCTCCTCCTCTCCCTCTCTCTCTCTCCCTCTCTCTCTCTCCCTGTATACAGATATATTGTTTTAAATTCCTCCCGGAGCTCCGCCGCTTCTTGCTTCCCCTTCCCCACCAACCACCACCCTCCGCTGCCCTGTGTCGGTCCGCGCTCCTCGCCCCGGGGCATTTTTGCGTGCGGCCCTAGATTGTTTGATTGATAGGGAACGGAAAAAGAGGGATTTTGAGTGACAGCTTACCTGAGTGCCAATCTTCGTCACACTGACAAGCGGCTGCAGCAATCGGGACCCGCAGTTGTCGCGTTGCGTCATCGCGTAAGGGCACGCAAGGGCGCTCGGCTCATGAATATTCATGAGGTGGGCGGAGACATGACGTCCTGCTGAGTGCCTGTGTTTCCCCTGGCTGGCAGACGCCATTCACTGGCCTCATTTACACATTTTCTGTGCTTCACACTCCCTTTATGTGTGTTTTCTCATCATATGCACCGATGCACCGGTTCCCTGCACGGTTTGTTTCCCTTCAGGGATCCATTTTCTGTCAGGATCAGTGGGAAGAAGCAGGTTTATTGCCCCTGTAAAACCCTGAGAATGTGTTTTAACTCAATAACAAGTGTTCAGACTGGTTAAAGTGAATATTTTATGTGATATTAACTCAGTTTTGTATGTTAAAAACAGCTTTAGTTTTTTTAAGTGACACTGACTTTATTTTGAACTGTGAAAACAAACCTGTTTCTGTTACTTTAAACGTTTGATTTAATGAGTTTATTGAGTTATAATAACTTATCGTATTACAGCGTAGGTTTCCACATATGAACAGTTTGTTTTGGTAAATTGGTGCATTATTAAATATATGAAAATATAAATAAAGATAAAACTAGAGACAATAAATACAGACATAAAGAAAGAGAGATAATACTTATGTAATAAAGTTACATATAATAATACATAAGATAAAATCTGAGATAAATCATTATAGCTATTACTGATAAACTCATATTTTATAGATATTTAATATTATATTGAATAACAATAACAGGAGAGAACAGCTGATAAACTGAACAATAAAGTTAGATAACTCATTATTAATAATAATAGTAATAATATTAGTTACCTCCCCAAAAATAATTAGTTACATTACTTACTGTGTCTCCTCCAGCTGATTTAAAATCAAACAATCACACACAAGTTTCACTACTAGTTACTATCAGTAACTAGTAGTGAAACTAATTACTGTTGGCAGGAAGTAATAAGTACTTACTTTTGAAAACAGTAATAAGTAATAAATTACATTGAAGAGTAACGAGCCCGACACTGTTGATCAGAGATGAGTTTATATACATTTATCTGCCTTTAATATGTGTATTTTATATATTTAACAATCATTAAGCTTTCAGCTCTTTAGTGGTTTGAACTTTTCGGGGTTTCCTGAAAAGCTGCAGTGATGAACTAAATATTAATTAATAATTAATTCCACTTTAAACTCTTACTTTATCTGTGTATCATCAGCTAACCTGATTAATAAATGTTAATAATAAGTAATAAGTTAAACCTCACAAGATAAATATTTGAGGATTAATTTTCTTTCTTAATTATTCGTCTATTTCAACATTTTAAACAATAAAAAAAAACATATTATTATATAAGAAAACTGGGAAAAGAGTCCTGATAGAAACAGTTTAAAATGTTCTTAAATATAAACAAATTTTGCTAAAATTATTCAAACTAGCAGAAATAATCCAGCGACTGAAAGACAGTAATGAGTCTTAAAACTAAAATATAAGCAGGTTGTGATTATTACGCACAGTGAAAACTCAGTAACCAACTAGTAACCGTTAGCTAACAATGAATTTATGAAACAATGAAGAAACTAAACTAACTGGGACCAGACGACTTTCTCTTCAACTGAGAAGATGTGCGAGTGCTCTTATTCTGAAAATAAGGACAATAATCTTGTTCCTCTGCTGGAATATTACGCAACCATTGTTGTCAGTGGTTGAATCAATCTCAATATTATCTGTAACATCTTATTAAGACACAGATATATTTCTATTACTTTCTCATGTAAAATATGGTTGATAAATACAAATAAACTCAGATTCTCTCAGGAAGAAACAACTGTAGTTAAAGCACCTTGTTGTGCAGCATCTGGGGTCAGAGGTCACATAATTAGCCACGATGTTAAAGCTGTGAACGTCAAGAACACATATTTATATACATATATCTATATTTATATATATATATATCTATATTTGTTCCTATAATATTGCCTTTATATGGCAGTATACACACTAACAACAGGAGCTGATTAGTTTCCTCCTGGAACAGCGAATACAGTCGAGATAATTAGGGCACAATGTGCGAGCAGGCAGGCTGAGGGAGTGAAAACAGTAATCATTAAAATAGAAACACAGATAAAACCACTTGCACACTCAGCTCTATTCAAATGACCCCCCCGAGGCACGAAAGAAAGCAGCACAAAAGAAGCGTTTGATCTCCTCCGATCCTTTTATATACGCCTGCTTCTTCCACACGAGACACAACAGCATCACACAGACTGCAGCTCTCATGTGTGGACTTTAATAATAGAACATTTCAACAGTGGAATTTCATGCAGGATGATCCTACGTACAGAGCCACATCATCTTTAGACAATAATAAAGGTTTGCAGCCGAAGTGGGGGGGGGGCTGCCAGGGTCCTCTTAGGGTTTGATGGAGGAGGGCTGAGGGAGACGAAACTTGGCCATCTCTACGTCCAGGTCTGCGAATGTGAAGGGGTTGTAGCTGTGGTGCTGGTTGTTTTTATAAGTGCTGTTATCGAAGGGCTCCTCGGGCTCCGGAGGCGCCGCTGCCGCCGCCGCTGCAGCCGCTGCCGCCGCCGCCGCCGCCTCTGCGGAAGAAACAAAAAGGGCATTTCTTTAGGCCCAAAAGGTGAACATACATCCTGCTCATGCATTAAAACAGAAGTGGGTCAATCCGACGTGCAACAGACGCTTTTATCTTTCTGATCAGCTACAAAATAAAAAATGTTTTTTAAAAAGATTTTGGGGAAAAGGGAAGAGCACATTTACATATTCACACATGCTGATAAAAGGTGGAGGGTTTTTTTTACGGTGGGGGCATTTCCTACGGCGTCAGGCCTGCGTGACCCCCAACAGAGTGTGGAGACACGCTGGTGTGAAAAGCCTCAAGGATCCGAGTTTGTGAGGGGAAATCATGTGAAGGTAAACAGCAGCCCGGCAGCCCGGAGGAGGCACGCATGAAATGGCTTTTTCTTTTTAAATAAAAATCAAAGAGTGCTGGAAACTTCTGATTCAACAAGAGGTGGATTCTTTAAATACCAATTTACTTTTCACATCTAAATCTGCCTGGAAACCCCCGTTCAGCATGCTGAGACATTATAAACAACCAATGAGACAGGGAACAAAAATCACAGAGGAAAACACATTAAAGGCACATTTACAGTTTTTCATTAAAAAATAAAAAAGGTTTTTCGTGTGAAGAAGAGATTTAAAATGAACAAGTGGTGAAATGAAAGACCAGGGTGAGGAGGGGGTTGTTCCAGGAAGCAGTTGGTCAGAGAGGTGTAATAAAAAGGGGCTAAACGCCACAGACACTCACAGCACCCGAGTTGTTGCTGTAATCATTTAACAAACACACATCTTTAATCCTGCTTCCTGAAATACTTCCAGCCTCTCCCAGCTTCTGCTCGTCCGGCTGCTGTCTTCACTGGTGTGCACTTTAACATTACAGTTAACGATAGCATTACCTGGCACAAACAAGACTGCGTCGTTACCTGTAACCTTAACATTAACTCAGGGGAAACCTGTAACCCATACTCCATACAATAAGAAGGAGAGAGACATTATAAATGAGCGATAAAGAAGATGGATTGATACAGCGAGGAGGATGAGCCGTGAGAGGGAGGTTAGGAGGAGTTAGCAGTATGCAACGATCACCATCATGCATCGACGCAAACACGCGTTCACACATGCACCGCCTCCACCCGCCAGATCAGAGATGGCCGTCTGGACTTCCTCCCAGTATCCGGATACGACCGCTGTCAGCTTGTGCATCAGCGTAACAAACACCAGCGAGATAAATGAGTCAATGTGTGTTTGGAGCGGTTTATGGGCGATACTGCAACCAGCCACCAGGGGGCCGTCGTGACATCCAGCCTTTATCTGTCGGGCACTGCCACCCCGAAGCTTCATTCATTATTATGTATAAAAGAAATCAGTTGAACATTAAAGTGTGTGTGTCTAGCAACAGCTAGTGGTTTACAGCGGACGTGTTGAGTCATTTTTAACCCACAAATGCAGATTCTCCAGCAGCACTGATGTGTTTCATCACAGTAAAGTTATATAAATGAGTTTACAGCTAAAAAAAAAAACACGTTTAAGTGTCTTTAAACAGACTTTAACCTGCCGGCGTACAAAGTCTGTCCGTGTGTGAATAGAGCAGGTTATTGTCTGCGAGCCACAAAGACTGTGGAGCAACTATTTATTATTTATTTACTATAGATACGACCTCCTCCTGCACGCTCTACCCAGGCCGACGGAGTTCCTCCTGTTGTGTGCTGCATGTGTGAACTAGTTAGGGTCAAAGACAGACAATCTAAACTTTAAGACGATGTTGAAGACAAAGGAAAATGCAGATAATGTGTAAGGAAGAAGGAATGCAACAGAAAGCCCTGCAAGCAAGCAAGCACGGTTAAAGTAGATCCACAAAACCGGAGCGATGAGGTTAGACGTCACAGAGATCTAAAAACAGCAGCTACTGTATGTGAGACCTGGTTGACACCTTAATACTCAGAATGTGTTAGAGAGAGAAATATACGGTCCTCTGTGGAGGCTCAAAGGTCCACAAAGAAGAAAGGAAGAGGTAGAGATGGGGGGGGGGGGGGTGGTGTAGTGTGTACCCTCAGACGGTTCAACAGGAGCGTCCGCCTGCAGCTCCTCTCCTGCTGCTTCGGCTATGACCGGAGCGGGATCCACCAGCTCCTCGCCGCTCTCCACAGGGACTGAGGCTTCAGCCTCGGCAGCCGCTGCAGCTTCTACGGGCGCTTCAGCAGCTTCTACGGGGGCTTCGGCAGCTTCTACGGGGGCTTCGGCAGCTTCTACGGGGGCTTCGGCAGCTTCTACGGGGGCTTCAACAGGGGCTTCAACAGGGGCTTCAACAGGGGCAGCTTCATCAGCTTCCAGAGTTTCTACGGGGGCTTCAGCAACTTCTGCAGAAGCGTCAGTTTGGGCTTTTTCTGGAGTTGCAGCTTCGGTCACAACTTCCTCTGGAGTTTCTACGTGGGCATCAGGGACAGCAGGAGGTGCAACGTCTTCTATTTCTTCAGAAGTGGGTTTCTCTGCTTCAGCTGCAACTTCTGGGCTGGTCACAGCGCCCTCTAGAGCGTCTTCGGTGGCGGTGCAGATGTCAGGAGCAGAGTCCACTAACTCCTCAGAGCTAACACTGGGTGCTGCCTCTGTGGGTGCTGCTGCTGGAGCTGCTGGAGCTGGAGCTGCCTCCTGTACAGACTCAGCTACAGAGGCGAGAGTAGCTTCGGGTTCTGGGGGAACTTCAGTCGTAGCTTCTTTAACGTCTTCCTTCACTTCTGATGCGACGTCCTGGACTTCTGACACCTCTACAGGTGGTGGGGAGGTCTTGGTTTCAGTCTTCGCTTCTGATTTCTCATCGTCCGAGTCTGAGTCTGAGTCCGAGTCCGAGTCCGAGTCGCTGGATGACGAGGAGGAAGATCCGTCAGCTGCTGGATCACCGGGATCAGAGGAGGCAGCGGCGGTGGGGACTACATCGTCTGTGGCGGAGGCTACAACCGGGGCGGCGTCTGGTGTTGAGGTTTTACTGCTTTCATCAACCAGGGGTTCGGCAGCCGGGGGAGCTGCGTCGACTACAGGTGGAGCTGCGTCGACTACAGGTGGAGCTGCGTCGACTACAGGTGGAGCTGCGTCGACTACAGGTGGAGCTGCGTCGACTACAGGTGGAGCTGCGTCGACTACAGGAGGAGCTGCGTCGACTACAGGCGGAGCTGCGTCAGGAGCTGGAGCCTCTGCGGCAGCGGCGACCGGCTCAGCTGCAGCTGGTTCTCCGGCAGCAGCGACAGGCACCGTAGCTGCCGCAGCTACGATTGTTTCTGCCGCCGGTTCGGTTACACCTACAGACTCTGTTGGGAAAACTCCGGGTTCTGAAAGTTTTAGTGGGAAGGCAACTGCGGTCTTGTAGGCTAACAAGGCTGCTCTCTCATCTGGAGCCTCTGCTGCTGAGGAAAACGGGACAACAGCAGTTAAATAACAAACATTTAGAATAAAGCGGCACGACTTCCAAAAGGGGATCAAAGTTCCCTGAAATCTTGATTTCCTGGAGTTTTTTATATATTTTACTTTAGAAACACACAAAGAAACACTTACTGTTAAACTTTATACTTCCAAAGTTAGACACAAACACTTTATTAAAAACTTAATCTTAAGAGTTATTCTGGATGGATGGCTGGAAGAGAAAACTTTAGACACTGTAAGAAAAGAGTTCAGTCAATCCTTTTAACCAGATATAATATGTATTATTATTAAAGGAAGAAGAAAAGATCATTAATGCACAACAGAAAGCAGCCAGCTGAACTCTGAACTCTACGTTTCAGACATTAAGAGTGAATCACAGACTTACTCTTGCTCGCAGCCTTCGTCTTTTTGGCGGGTTTTTCAGCCTCAGTGGAGAACGAGGCGGCGGAGCGAGCCCTCAGGACGCCCCAGCTCTCCGACTGGAGACACTGCGGAGGAGCACAGACACCTTATCGGTATCAGAACCACACAGACGGCAACTCAGACAGAACAGGGCAAATAAAAAAGGGATCCCTTAAAGGACCAGTGTGGAGGATTTAGTGGCATCTAGTGGTGAAGTTGCAGATTGCAGCTATTTCAATACAGTACGAACGACGACGGAGATAAACACAGCTCGTGCTAACACAACAATTCTTATTTTAAGGTGATTAAACACTATTTAAACGTACCAAAGTTCAATGTTAATGTTTTTTTTCCAGAAGTCTCACTTTTATTTGCCCCGACACAAATTGAAAGCTTTGAAAAACTGTTTAAGTTTATTAATTATTAGTGTCTCGTGGTCCATATGTCTCCTTCTGTGAGGGACTGACATCAGTTTTTATACATAAATTCTTATTTTTAAAGCTTTCTGGGTTGTTTAAATTAAAGCTGACGCCGTGTGGCGGCGGCGGTACGAAGGGGACGATGTGGATCGATATTCAGCCGATAACGATAAGATAATTAAACATTTTTTGTGTTTTAAAAATAAGTTTATAAGCTCTAGTTTTTACCCTTAATGGAGTTTTAATATTCCATCGTTCTGTTTTAACTAAATCTAACTAAACAACAACAAACAACAACAAACAGACTCTTTAAATGTTTCTAGTAAAGTTTAACTTCACAAACACACTTCATAAAGTGAGTCCAGTGCGTTTTAAAAGTATATTTTTTAGGATTATTGTGAATAATATCACAATTATTTCAAGATAATAAGACTTAATGTGTTTCCCATGAAGTGTTTCTAGAGCGGGACAATTAAATAGAATTAAAATCGCAGAAGCTGAAATGTTTTGATGAAGGTAAAATGTGCTTTATATATAAATGTATATTTATATATGAATATATATTTAATTAGCTTTATAATAAAGTTTGCAGAGACGTCCTGGTCCACTAATCCTTTTCTCCAGGTTAAATAAAACATGTCTGTTTGGTTCAGACGCCCAAAAAATGTCACATCATGGTGATTTTAATAATTTCTTGCAGTTAAAATTATTTTTTTATGCAATTAATCAGAAATATCTGTGAGAATAATCTTAATGTTTTTACTGTATTGTGCAGAAACAGGCTTCCACAGGTTTTACACTGTAGATATAACATTTATAAAATAAATATATTACAAGCAGAGAAACTCTAAACCAATAAATATATTTAATCCACTTTAATATCTTAAATTTTTACATTAATTATCACAGAAACAACATTTCTCCTCCACATTAACATTATTAAGGTTATCGATCTGTTTTCACTCTGTGATTGTCTCTCAGACTTTAAATCAACACCTGTCCCATCTAAATGTTTATCGGGTGTTTGTGGCTGTGTGTGTCCGCCCTCAGGTGACTCAGGTGCGGGTAAAGTTAGAGAGCAACCGCCGGTGTCCTTCGCTCCGGTAGCGGTGCGCAGACGGACACGAACCCGCCTCTTGGTGCCTGTTTCTCGGCCTCAGTCTGTCAGACACTGCGCTCGGTTCTTTACGGAGGTTTTTAGTTTTAAAGCAGGACACTTATAAAACGTGTGAGAGGACGTTCAGGTGAGTTTACCTTGAGGGAACCCAGTCGCCCTAACCGCAGGAGGGAGGTCGCCATTTTCTGTCCCCTGTGTTGTGCTCCGGTCGGAAACTGAGAGGCGGAACTCAAAAGTTCCTCCTTTCTTCACTGATGGCGCTCATCGTTTATTTCCTACTGTAGACCTCTGCTCATACCTGCTGCAGTTATATATCATATATTACTGGATTCAGCAGAGTCAGGCCTCTCTAACAAACCCTGGTTGGTGTTTCTGGGACAATCTCAGCTAAAGCTGCCTTAAAGTAAATCAGCACAGAGCCTAAAATGTGATGTTTCCGCCTGTCGTACGTCTGTGTTTGTGGTCCTGTATTTCCTCAATGCATCAAGATATTCTCCTTCTGTTTGTCAGAGCTGTAGAGGAAGCTCCTGCACACCTCCACAGCAAATCTGAGCTCAATCCGAGCTTGTGTTAGGAAAGGACATGAGTTCAGGTGTATCGTCTCCCACCCTGCTTTATTTTTATAATATCTATTTATATATAACCTGTGCTTTCACTAAAGTCAATGATCTTCTTCCTCAGTGGACACATCAGTCTCAAACTGACCTCCAACACCTGAACACATCATAGATCACACACACTCACACCTACACGGTTTATGGAGGTTGTCGTCGTCCGCTTCCTGGTTGTTGAGCTTTATAAGCTCCTTCAGTTCGCTGTGTGGGTGTGGAGGTTTAGCTCAGTGGTTACTTCTGAAACGCTCACTGTTCCTCTAGCCCGCTGGTCCTCAGGGGCCAGGGGTTCAAACCGCGGGCGCTGTCCTCTGCTTTTTAATCCCTCCTTCACTCCTGGATCAACTACGGAAGACAATGTGTGCCAACGGGACTCTGTAAGTTATTATAATGAGACACTTTATTCAAATCTGTGATTATAAATTATTGTTTCTAAACGAGAAAGTTCCTCATTTTATATTTGAATGAAACATTCAGGTGTTTTTATTATACTCTACATTATATTCTAATATCAAATACTTCATAACTGTTGTACAAATACACAAACCTCAGTATAAACAGAGTTCCCATGTGTCCTGGAAAACCTGGAAATTGATTAAAATGACCTGGAATATCCTGGAAATAAGTATTTTATTGTATCAGCTGACTCAGATCACATTTGTTGTTGTGGTTGATAATTATTCATTGTAGCAGTGAACACTTAAAATACTTTCCACATTTATTTTAACAGGTTAGAAGATGAATTCAACCACATTTGAACTCTCTCGAACCACCGCTGTGAACCAAAACCCTTCTTTAAAGGAACCCTGATAACAATATGTTCACTCTGTGTTCACTCTGTGTTCACTCTGTGTGTTCACTCTGTGTGTTCACACTGTGTTCACTCTGTGTTCACTCTGTGTTCAATGTGTGTTCACTCTGTGTTCACTCTGTGTTCACTCTGTGTGTTCACTCTGTGTTCACACTGTGTTCACTCTGTGTGTTCACTCTGTGTTCACTCTGTGTTCACTCTGTGTTCACTCTGTGTTCACACTGTGTTCACACTGTGTTCACTCTGTGTTCACACTGTGTTCACTCTGTGTTCACTCTGTGTTCACTGTGTTCACTCTGTGTTCACTGTGTTCACTCTGTGTTCACTCTGTGTTCACTCTGTGTGTTCACACTCTGTGTTCACTCTGTGTGTTCACACTCTGTGTTCACTCTGTGTGTTCACACTCTGTGTTCACTCTGTGTGTTCACACTGTGTGTTCACACTGTGTGTTCACTGTGTGTTCACTCTGTGTTCACACTGTGTGTTCACTCTGTGTTCACTCTGTGTGTTCACACTCTGTGTTCACTCTGTGTGTTCACACTCTGTGTTCACTCTGTGTGTTCACACTGTGTGTTCACTCTGTGTGTTCACACTCTGTGTTCACTCTGTGTGTTCACACTGTGTGTTCACTCTGTGTTCACTCTGTGTTCACTCTGTGTGTTCACTCTGTGTTCACTCTGTGTTCACTCTGTGTTCACTCAGTATAAATACTGTATACGATCAGTGGTTCACACACTGAGACTGTGTGTGGAGACCTTTAAGATCCAGTAGATGGCGCACTGCACACACTGATCACCTCCTGAACGAGTCTGCAGGCTTCTTCATTAACACACAAAAAATATAATATTTGTATATGTTGGCCCCTTTTTTATCTTTATTTATATTTTTCTAGCTTTATTGTGATTCTTATGCACCAAAGTAAATTCCTCGTATGTGAAAACTTAAACCAGATTCAGATTCTGATTGTTGGTTTTTAATATGTTGTTGAAAACAAACGTGGAAAAACTTCTTGTTTTCACACCTAAAGAGTAATAAAAACAGGAATAGGAGGTTTTGAACTGGTCTGGAGGAATATACAAAGAGCTCATTTGTAAATAAACTGTAAAATAGTTAATATTTTTAAAGTTGGTGCAGTTCCCAAAGAACAGACTGTACACACAAACAGACAGTAATGAGATTGTTGGTCAACTGAGGTCTTTAATGACGTTCTGCAGGTGATATTGTGCATTAATGGGCTGTTTGTGTTGCACTTTTTAGCACTTTATCTTGTTTTAGCACTTATTTTTAGGTTAAATAAAGTTAAATATTGAGCTTTTATCCATTAAATGACTTTATTTAACTCTAAAACATGAAACGTGTGCAAAAAAAACAAAGAAAATACTATTTCTCAATCAAATTTAATCTTGTAAGTTACCCGTTTCTGCAAATGAACTCTTCAGATTAGTTAAATTAAAATGCAAACTGCTAATTCAGAGTGATATTCGACATAAAAAGGACTTGTACTCTAATGCTGACCATTAAAATATCTAAGGCACAGAGCCGGAGGCGGTGAGGGAGCACAGATGTTCAGGAAGAAGGCGACGGTAGAAAAGTTCATTTACTTCGTCAATTAACTAATGAATGAATTAACTCCACAAGACTCATATGAGTGTGAATTATATTATAGAGTAACTCTATATTAAAGATGACTTTGAGTAGTTTATCTGAGCTGAACACGTCATAAACCAGATAAACGCGTCCGCTTCCTGGTTGTTGAGCTTTATAAGCTCCTTCTGTTCGCTGTGTGGGTGTGGAGGTTTAGCTCAGTGGTTACTTCTGAAACGCTGACTGTTCCTCTAGCCCGCTGGTCCTCAGGGGCCAGGGGTTCAAACCGCGGGCGCTGTCCTCTGCTTTTGAATCCCTCCTTCACTCCTGGATCAACTACGGAAGACAATGTGTGCCAAGTTATTATAATGAGACACTTTATTCAAATCTGTGATTATAAATTATTGTTTCTAAACGAGAAAGTTCCTCATTTTATATTTGAATGAAACATTCAGGTGTTTTTATTATACTCTACATTATATTCTAATATCAAATACTTCATAACTGTTGTACAAATATTGATTGTGATTCTGGGCGGCTGTGGCTCAGAGGCAGAATTGGAAGGTTGTGGGTTCGATCCCCGGCTCCTGGTGCCACATGTCGAAGTATCCTTGAGCAAGATACTGAACCCCAAATTGCTCCCGATGCTGTGCATTAGTTGTGCATTAGTGTATGTATGAAAAGTGAGTTTCTGTTTGCCATCACTGAGTGAATGTGTGTGAAAAGGTGAATGTGTCTGTAGTGTAAAAGCGCTTTGAGTGGTCGGAAGACTAAAAAGGAAAGTATACAAGTACAGGTCCATTTACGTCAGAGAGTCTGAGGACGGTATCATCCACCTGCTGAACAGAGTCTTGTTCTTTGACTTCTCCAGTGCTTCCAACACCATCCGTCCGGCTCCACTGGGTGAGAAGGTGGCTGGGTGCAGGTGGAGGCCCCCGTCGGCTCCTGGATGCTGGATAACATCCACTGTGACGGGTCAGCTCTCTGGAGGTTAACCGACCAGCGGCTTCAACAACTGGAGCCGCTTTGCAGTCAGAGTGGCCCCTGGAGGGGCGCAGCAGGTTCTCTCAGTTCCTCGTTGATGTCCTCGGCACAGAGACCCTCACTTCACCCCGTGAGCTGGACCGGGCGCACCGGAGCCTCGCACCCAAACCTGCGCCGGGAGGCAGACCACAAAGACTAGGTGATCCGCGGGGCTCGCAGACCAGGTGATCTGACCTACAAAGGTTATTTATTTATTTATGTTGTTTATCTTTTGTCTGTTTGTCTGTATCTGTGTGCTGCTCCTGCAGCTTGGCATGCTCTGTCTGCTCAGGCGCCACGCCCTCTTTCATCACGCTGCTGGCTCTTGGGCAGGGGGCGCCGGTCATGGGGGTGGAGGTGTACTGGTACAACATCCACCCAGGCCCCCTAATATCACTGTATGTTTAGTTCTAACTCCTTGACAACACCTAGGGGTGCTTTAAGATTCAGTAGTTGGAATGTCAGGGGGTGAACTCTCCTGTAAAGAGGTACACAGTGCTTAACCATCTGCAACAGCTAAACACTAGAATGGCCTTTCTACAGGAAACTCATCTGCAGCCATCAGATCACCTCTACGGAGCGGTGGGTAGGCCAGCTCTACCACTCCTCCTTCTCAAGTTAGGCTCGTGGTGTTGCAATTCTTGTCCATAAATCAGTCCCGCTTTCTGTATCCAAGGTCATATCAGACCCCAATGGGCGCTTTGTTATCATTTCAGGGAAAATTTATGGCAACAATGTGACTTTGGCGAATGTGTATGGTCCAAATTGGGACAATGAGGAATTTTTCAAAACCTTTTTTTTCTCCCTCCCTGATTTACATTCCTGCCAGCTCATCCTCGGTGGTGACTTTAACTGTTGTCTTGATCCCTCACCTGACCCCCTGTTTCCATCCAGGGGGTCCCTGTGGACACTGTGGAGGAGTAGAAGTACCTGGGGGTGTACTTCAGTAATAAGTTGGACTGGACCAGAAACACTGAGGCGGTCTACAAAAAGGGCCAAAGCCTCTTTTTCCTAAGGAGGCTGAGGTCCTTTAACATCTGCCGGACGATGCTGAGGATGTTCTATGAGTCTGTTGTGGGCAGTACGATCTTCTTCACTGTCACATGCTGGGGCAGTGGGCTGAGGGTCGCTGACAACAACAGACTAAACAAACTGATCAGGAGGGCCGGTGATGTCGTGGGGGAGGAGCTGGACACCCTGACGACCGTGGCAGAGAGGAGGATGCTGTCCAGGCTTCAGTCCATCTTGGACAATGTCTCTCACCCTCTCTACGACACACTGGCCCAGCAGAGGAGCACCTTCAGCAGAAGACTCCTCTCACCCAGACGCACCACAGAGCGCCACAGGAAATCATTCCTGCCTGTGGTCATCAATCTCTACAACGCCTCCCTCAGAGAGTCAGACACCCCCCCTCTGTAATCTGACCTCAAACACAGACAAACACTTCTTCACTTTTTGCACATTTTACCTTAATATATATTTATACATATGTTCTTAATATATTAAATGTATATACGTTGTATGTATATCTGGAGTTGTAACAAAAGTAATTTCCCCCTGGGATTATTAAAGTATTTCTGATTCTGATTAGTTAAATTAAAATGCAAACTGCTAATTCAGAGTGATATTCAACATAAAAAGGACTTTATTGATGTTGATGCGTCAGAAAAAGGCGACAAATATGAACAGGATTTTATTGTTTTTTCCTCCACATTCAGCTCAGCCACAGATCGATCTACACAAAGCTTATTCCACAGCTCAGTGTTCACTATGTCTGCCACACATGTACATCTAATGCTGACCATTAAAATATCTAACGCACGGAGCCGGAGGCGAGGGATTGGTTGCAGAAGCAAACACTACGGAGCACAGATGTACAGGAAGAAGGCGTCGGTAGAAAAGTTCAGTTGGAAAGTGCCGATGTTCATTTCTGGGAGACTTCGTCAAACTTCGGCTCTAAAAAAAAAAAAAAAAGACACAAAGAAGAGTTATTAACATTTACATTGTCAGGTCAGTAGCATTAATATATCACACACACACACACACACACACACACACACACACACACACACACACACACACACACAGAGACACACACACACACACCATTAATAGTCGATTAGATTGATCACCTGTGAATTTGAACTCTGGGAAAGATGTGAGGTCTCCGCTGCCGTAGAGTCTCTGGAGCTTTGAGATCTCCTCTGCCAAAGTCTTTTCATACTCTGAACCTGCATCCAGCAGCCCGCCAGCAGCCCTACAGGAGGACGAAGATCAATAATCAGAACTTCACTTTCTACCACAAATTCAAAGACACTGTTCAATCAGCACAAATCAGTCAAATTATTACTGATTTCTTCAATAATTCTGATGGATCCAACGTAAATCAAATGGTTTATTTTCATTGTTAATGTCAGAGAGGACCAACTGAAAACTTACAGATTAATAACATTATATACAATAATAAAATAATAATAAAGTAAATTATTGGTGTTTTTTACACTTTACAATTTAATAATCGTCACTAAAGTGGAGAATTATATTATTGATTTTTGTGATATAAACATTGAAACAGACTAGATATTGTGTGTGTTGTGAAGCTAGTTAGTAGCATGGAGCTAACGGTCCAAATAAAATATAGGAACTTTACAGATAGTAACGTTATTCTAAATATGACTGTCAGTTATTTTACTGCGTTCAGTCAACAGGACGCTGACTGCAGTTCACTGAACGGCCACTGGAGGCGCTATAACAACACTTTAATGACATATTTTTAGACTTACTGGCTTCTTGTGGAGTACTCTCGTATAGAGTCCAGGAACAACTTCTGAATCGGGTCGATTTGAGCTGAGAGAGAAAGAAACATAGATTAATTTCTCTCCACGGACCAATCCTCCAGGATCAACCAGCATCATGCGTTTGGATATCATCTGTCCATTTGGCTAGAACATAATAAATAAAACCAATCCAGTCTTAACCATAACCCTCATGCACAACACAGCACCGGAGTGGCAGACAGAGGAGCCGGCTACAGGGGTCAGATAGGACAGAACGTCAGACCAGGTTAAAAAAAGGTTGCCGTGATGGATTCATGCTAGTTTTAAAACATTTAACAGTGAAGTCCAAAAGAACTTCTTCATCTCTGACTCCACATGCAGCAACCAGGGAGCAATCTCACCAAGTTACCATGGAAGGAAAAAGGTGGGAAGGAAAGTTTACACATTATCCATTAACAGAATACACCCGACCAGTCGGATCAAACACGTAGGGATCGATTACTTTAACCATGAGACTCCTCTATATGTGTGAGGAGTGTAAAAGGGAGGAGGAAGAGGAAGAGGAGGAGAGAAGTTTGAGGTAGAAATATAAAGAGAAATAAGATGACAGGTAAACCTTTAACATTATCTTTAGTGTTTAACAGGACGAAAATCAACAACAGCTCCGTAAAACAACACCAGGAGGATTATTTCTATCATGTTCTTAGCAAAGAAAACTGGGAGTTAAACCAAAGAAAAGTGAACTAAAATAATAAAAACAATGAGTATAAATGTGGGAATAACTGATGAAATTATAAAAGAAATGATAGAAAAGAAAAGAGTGCAGTTAGCAGGCGGACATTAGTGTGAAAGTTGAAAATAAAATAAACAGAAATAAGCCATGCCAAACATCTCAAAGCAAAACAAACATGCACCATGTAAAGAGTGGAAGCAGGGGCGGATCACGAGGGGCCACAGCTAAACTAAGACTGGCCACCACAGTTTGGTGTCAAAGGCTTTAACATTTAACTCATCTAGATTTAAAAAACAGATTTAATTCAATGATCTGTTTTACATTTTAGACAAAGCTTAACTTCCTCCCTTCCTGTATTATTTTTCTAGCGTTTCAGGTTAATATTGACTATTATGTTTACGATTAAATCAGCATATATTTCTGCCACACTATGAATATTTCTCCGGATCCGCCCCCGAGTGGAACTAAAGCTACATGAGAGATGCCCGAGCCACATGGGGGCAGGGTTTTCATGGCATGAAGAAGAGAAGATTTGAGGGTTAGGGGCTAAAATGCGTCACTAAAACGACTATTAGGGACAAACTGTGAAAGTTAGAACAAAAAGAAAACGTGTGTTTGTGATGTCGAGTATCTTTACAGTTTATCCTTAACAGTCATCACAAACGACTACAGTATATTCAGAGAAATGGTGATGAAAATGACTGCTGGTAGACTGCAGGGTCCACAGAGGTAAAGAGAAGGATTGTGGGGGAGGGGGGAGGTTGTGGTGTGTACCCTCAGTCGGTTCAACTGGTTCAGCCAGCAGCTCCTCTCCTGCAGCTTCAGCCACGACTGGAGCCGGGTCCACCAGCTCCTCGGCGCTCTCTACAGGGGCAGAGACTTCAACTGCAGCCTCGGCAGCCACTTCAGCTTCTACAGGGGCAGCTTCTACAGGGGCAGCTTCAGCCACGGGCTCAGGGGCAGCTTCTACAGGGGCAGCTTCAACCACGGGCTCAGGGGCAGCTTCAGCCACAGGCTCAGGGGCAGCTTCTACAGGGGCAGCTTCAACAGGGGCAGCTTCAACCACGGGCTCAGGGGCAGCTTCTACAGGGGCAGCTTCAACCACGGGCTCAGGGGCAGCTTCCACAGGGGCAGCTTCAACAGGGGCAGCTTCAACAGGGGCAGCTTCAACAGGGGGCTCAGGGGCAGCTTCTACAGGAGCAGCTTCGGCCACAGGCTCAGGAGCAGCTTCTACAGGGGCAGCTTCAGCTTCCACAACTGGTGCAGCTTCTGCAGCAGGGGCTTCAGGCACAGGCTCAGGCTCTGGGGCAACTTCAACAGCTGGTGGAGCAGCAGCAGCTTCTGCTATAGATGCTGCAGCTTCAGCAACAACTTCAACCACTGGTGCGGCTTCGGCAACCACTTCTGCGACTGCTTCAACAATGGGTGCAGCTTCGGCAACCACTTCAGCGACGGCTTCAACAATAGGTGCGGCTTCAGCGACGGCTTCAACAACGGGTGCGGCTTCAGCGACTGCTTCAACAACGGGTGCGGCTTCAGCGACTGCTTCAACAACGGGTGCGGCTTCAGCGACTGCTTCAACAACGGGTGCGGCTTCTGCGACTGCTTCCACTGCTGGTGCAGCTTCGGTGACTGCCTCAACAACGGGTGCGGCTTCAGCCACTGGGACTGCAGCCTCTGCCGCAGCCTCAGGTGCAGCTGCAGCCGGCGTGGACTCTACAATCGGTTTTGCTGCAGCTTCAGCTGCTGCGGCGACGGCTGCTGGAGAAACATCTTTCTTGGGAAAGTTATACGTCTTGTGCTGGACAAGTTTCTCTATATCGAAGTACGTTTTACCCTTGTCTTTGTCTAGGACGGAGGAGTGCAAGCAGACAAGATGCATTATTTTTTTTTTAAAAACATAGTATTGTATGGTTGAATGACAAAATGTCCACATTTAACAAAACGTATATCCAGGAAGGTGGCGTCTGGTACCGGTTTACAGGGAAATAAAAAGAAAAGCCTGTGCGTTAGCCAAAAGGGACACAGCAAACTTATTACTGAAAGAAAAGAACAATTGTAACCTTGAACCATAGCAGCTTTATATGGAGATAAATTGACTATATTGTTATAAAAGGGATCTAAAACTGCAGCTGATGGGACAGTTAGTCAGAAATAATCTTTCAAAACCTGTGGAAGGAAATCCAGAAGTGAATATGATGAACTGTGGTTCAGACATCACTGAATAATACAATCTAATGTCATCAGCATACAACAGTGGTCTTTTTGAGGTTTTTAGTAAAAATCACATCCACATAAATCCGCCACGGATACCAAACCCTGCAGGAGCAGCTGGTTCTGGTATCAACAGGTTAGACCAGCTTCTATTTACACAACTGCTCTCTGACCCTGCAGCTATGACCTGGCAGCTGCTGCATGTTGTGTGTTTTTACCATGACACGGGACATGCGGGCTGGAATCTCCCTCCATTAGGACTACATAGCTAATACACAGCGACCCGGTTAACTGAGCTCACTGGTACATTACAGGTTCGATATTATGGACGGTCCTAATAAATTTAATATTGTGTCCCGCTCATCGAGGTGTTTCATGTGCATTGTTAGTGATGCATTAGTGTGATAAATGTTTTTAATGTCCTTTTTGTTTTTCTGATATTATATAGGGCGGCGTCTGTCGCGGGCTCAGGGCGGCTCGTGAAACTGATGTCTTTGCGTCTCGATACAGTTACTAACGCAAGTGAAGTAGGACGTCAAACAACAGTTATCCAAAGTATATAGCGCCCTAATTTTTCATCTCACTGATCTGAAGCTTCACATATTTGTATCGTGATTTAACCGTCTCGATATATCGTTATATTCTTACTCAGAACTGTAAAAAAAAAAACTTTATGAATTAACAAAAAGTATAATGCTGCCATGGTGTCCGAGAACAATCGAGCTGCATTAGCAACAAGTATCACGATACAGAGGTTACGATTCAATATACTGTGATACAGTAAGCAGGACGATATATGGGACAGCTGTCATTATGTGTCAATAACACGCAACCATATGCATCAAATTGGAGTTCAATGTTTACCTGTAACAACGTCACAGCTCTCAGTTTACATCACCGCAGTCAGGCAGTTGGAGGTTCAAACACAAAAGTCTATATAGTTTTTGAGAATTGCACATGAGCAGCTTTTGTTTGTGCTGTAACCAAACATTTACAGACAATTACTGGATGGCTTTTGATACAGAGCTTTTGTAAAGTAAGAGCCCCGAGGCTCTGGAACCGCCGGTCAGAGGAAATACGGCTCAGACTTCTTTCAAACCAAAGTTTCTATATTCTTTTATGTGTTCTTTGCTTTTTATGTGAAGCTCTTTGTAACTTTCTCATCAATAAAGATATTATGATGCTGAAGAATGATCATTGTTGTGAGGCAGATCTAAAGTTATATAAAGTGTCTAATAGTACGTTGACTTTCAAGCTGATTTATGAAGGTTTGTCCTTGATGGACGTGGTTATACTGTGAAGAGTCAGTCATTCACACACTGCTGGAGTCAGTGTGACCTAACAGATTAGACTTTATAGGTAGAAAGATACATCAAGTAACAAGTGAAACTAAATCAACTAAAAAGTCTGGACCGGTTTACTTTTACGTCTTTAACACTGCGTCCTTGTTGTTGTGGGACATTTCAGACGAGTTAGTGTCTACATAGCGGACCAGTGTTGCAGACAACAGATGACGGACTGAGTGTCCTCTGGAGATAACACTGTGCCCTTTTATAATCTGCCAATAGGCAAAGACACAGGAGGCAAATGTACAGACATTCCTCAGTCAAGTAGCAAAGATATGGGTGTAAAGAAGACTCAAGTAAAAGTATAAAAGTACTCTTAAAGCTAACTGACTCTCCCTCTCTCGTCTGTTTAATGTTTTATGTCGTTTTTGTCGTGTGCGATATGCAGCAGTCTTGATGTTGGGAAGGCGTGCAATGATGCAAATAATAAAACCACTGATAATAATTGCCTGTTTTTAAACTGTAAAGAGTTTAAAATACAAATATTTGTGTAAAGAAACTGAATGAATTGTCAGTCTTGTACATATATAAAGTTAATCAGCTCTTCCATCAGGTAAAACACACTGAAGAAGACTGTTGTAATGAATCAGTAAAGACCTTTAATGGCACTGAAGGCCGATACGTTTGTTCATTGAACCAGATCAGTGACGCCTGTACCACAGTTCATCATCAACATGATTAAAGCTCAGCAGCAGAGAAACCTACCCGAGCTCGGCTTTTTCGACGACTTCTTGGATCCCCCCGATTTTGAGCTGAAGGCTGCAGCTGAAGGAGCTCTTCTCAGAGTGCTCCAGCTCTCAGCCTGGAAACACTGACAACACACAAACACACAAACCATTACATTCAGCTAAAAATACAGAATACAGACAGAACTGTATAAAAAGTTCCCTACCAGGGCCGATGTTCATTAATTAAACACTTCATATCCATTTAAATGTGCCGGAGTTACAAAGAAAACACCTAAAGTATTGAATATGCATCTTGATTTGGAAAAGCTGCTGTGAAATCATCAAGTTTTTACTGGTACTGTATCTTATTTATTCATTTATTTGTTTTTACCCCATTACAACAGTCTGTTTTAGTCTTTTAATCCATCTAGAAAATGTTTCCCCTACAATTAATAATACAGTAATCTGTAATAATTAGGAATATATTAAATGAAATAAGATTTTTTTAATTTATTAATAATAATTAATAAAACTCTAGTGGCGTTCAGGTGATTTCTGCAGCTCAGTTTGAACCCGGGCGTCTGCAGACACAGCGGGATGTCGAAGAGATCACGTGATTTTATTCCAGACAACACAAAGCGTCTTAATCTGCCGCTCAACTAATGACCTCGCTGCTCCTCTGAAGACACTGCAGATACATGTGCACAACTTTTATAACTTCCTCTGCATGTTGACTTTAATACTGTTGATTCTTCATCATCAGATCAGCAAATACTAACCACCAGGTGACACTGGAGCAGACTTTAACTCCATACTGTACTGGTGATTATAGAATATAACATTTAGTTTTCCCTTTAGGGTTGAAAAACAACAGCCACGCTGTCGGACAGCGTCATAATTCAGCTTGTGTCTGCTCTTTTATTGATACTACAGTGAAAAAGTGTTCTCATTAAAGCAAAATCGATTGATTTTTGAGACTTATACTGATTTTAGTGAGAGAAATTCACAGATTATTGATATGGTGGCTGATAAAGTGAAATATCTGACCCGGAATCTGTGGATTCTGCACCGATACGACTACAGAAAGCAGCTGTTTAAAGTTAAATATTCTTTAAAATGTTAATAATTTAACATAATGTACATGTTAAAGCAGTGGTTCATAGAGTAAACTGACTCAGTGACATATTTTATGGATATTTAATATTATATTTAATGTTTAACAATAAGAGTAGAGAACAGTAAAGGTTTTATTAAAGACAGTTTTGACATTTTTAAGCACTTTTTCCACAATTCTCCGTCTATATTATTTAATTTCTAACAATCATATTAACTTTATAAGCTTCTTTTTTTGACAGATTCATAGTTGACATATAGGTTTGTAGGATTTAGTGGCATCTAGTGGTGAAGCTGTAGATTTCAGTTCAATATGGAAGTGGACCTGCTCCCTCTGATAAAACCAGCTCATTCTGAGGTAACGAACAAACAATAATTCTTATATTCAGCTGATTAAACACTAATGAAAACATACTTATGAATATTATATTACATTTCTGACACTAGATCCTCCTCAATGTGACTCACTGGAGCTTTAAATATTCTTTAATAAAAGTTATTTGTTTAAGGAAACAGCAGCTTTGCAGTCGTATCGATGCAAATTTCTATTCTAATTTCCATGTCTATTTTCATTCCAACTTAAAAACTCACTAAATCAGCCGTCATATTATTTTATAAATCAGTGAATATTTCCCTGTAAAGTCTCATAAAGCTCCAGAACAAAGTTACATATTCATAGATTCTGACTTTTAGAGGATTTTAATGTGGAATTTATACTTTTAATGTAAAAAAAACACACATCATTTGTGTCTGAATGCAAGTCTGGAGGAGGTCTTTTAATGCAGTTTTAACACACAAAGAGTCTCCAGGTGAGCATTTTAACGCGTGGACAACCTCCAGTGTAATCATTGACTCTATAGTGGGGAAACTTTGCTCATATCTCCACATGAAAATCAACCACAAGCACCGTGCAGACACTCACTGAGCTCAGAAAGTCAGATTCAGGCCTGTGAGTCTGGTTCAAGCCTGCTGCACTGGGGCCATGCAGTTAGCTGACTGACAGCCTGTCACCAATTCAAGGGTCCGTTTAAAAAAACAGCAATTTAACGAGCATGAAGCTGGGGTTCATAGCCAGCTCCAGACAGTGGATTATTAATGCTGACTGAGTGCAGCCATGAGGTTTACATAAAAGTGAACACGGCTCAGATAATCCGGTGACAACCAGCTCCAAACTCCCTCAGCCCCCCCCAAACATCCCCAAACAACGGCTCTAAAATACAGAAAGAAATGAACCGAGTTCAGGCTGGAATTTTCTTTACCTTGACACAGCCCAGTCGTCCTATCCTCAGCAGGGAAGCCGCCATCTTTCTGTACAGTGTCTGCTGTGCATCAACACACACACACACACACACACACACACACACACACACACACGCACACGCACACACACACACGCACACACGCACGATAAATAAACAAATATCTCCAACCTGCAGTTTCATATAATGAGCAAGAAAAAACCTTTAAACCAAAAAGCAGCTGCGACACATTTCCAAGCAGGCAGACGATTAAAAGAGCAAACAAACAGAAAGAACCTGTTGTTGTTGTTGTTGTTGTTGTTGTTGTCGTGCAGCTGAGAGAGTAAACACAAACAACGTGTTGTTCAGATAAATGAAGGTGTGAATGGTGTGAGTCCTCCAGGAGCAGCTCACAGCAGCATGTCTGTCCGAGCTGTGCAGCTTTATGTAACACACGAGTTAACGCCCCCCCCTCCACACACACACACACACACACACACACACACACACTATGTGCTCCTCTGTATTAACTCTTCTATATTACATGTGTTTGAACGTGTTTGTGTCTGTTTGATATTAAAGTGTTTTATAGTCTTTATTGGAGCTGCAGTGTGACTGAAGTCTCTCTGTGACACTGTGATGATGTTTGAGGAGGTTAAAGGTTATTCTGCACATTAATGTCTCTCTCCCCCCCCTCTCTCTCTCTGTCTCTCTCTCTCTCTCTCTCTCTGTCTCTCTCTCTCTCTCTCTCTCTCCCCCCCTCTCTCTCTCTTTGTGTACATTCTGTACTTTCTGGAGGGGGCGTGGTCTTTTTTGACGTCATTGGAGCGCGACGGAACTTCTCTCTCGTCCGCGTGCGCCGCCGTCGCGCGTTACACGCACACAACAACAGAGATGGCCGCTGCGGGTTTCTGCGGGAGCTGGTTCGTGTTCTCCTGCGACAGCAAGCTGGTGGCGGTGCACAGTAAACAGAGGCAGCGGTGGGTTGTTGTTGTTGTTGTTGTTGTTGTTGTTGTTTACAGGAAGGGCCAGGGTTAGCTCTGTTGTGCTAGCACGGTTAGCAGAGAGCATGGGGAAGAAGGGGGTTCTGGGTAATATCTAGAGTCTGTATGGGAGGACGTTAATCTTAATTTAGCCTTCATCTTCATCTTCATCTTCTTCATCATCTTCTTCATCTTAATCATCTTCATCATCATCTTCAACATCTTCATTATCTTCATCATCATCTTCATCATCATCTTCAACATCTTCATTATCTTCATCATCATCTTCATCATCATCTTCATCTTCTTCATCATCTTCTTCATCTTCATCATCTTCATCTTCTTCATCATCTTCTTCATCTTCTTCATCTTCATCATCTTCATCATCTTCTTCTTCATCTTCTTCATCTTCATCATCTTCTTCATCTTCATCATCATCTTCTTCATCTTCATCATCTTCATCTTCATCTTCTTCATCATCATCTTCATCTTCTTCATCTTCTTCTTCATCTTCATCATCTTCATCTTCATCTTCTTCATCATCTTCTTCATCTTCTTCATCTTCATCATCTTCATCATCTTCTTCTTCATCTTCTTCATCTTCATCATCTTCTTCATCTTCATCATCATCTTCTTCATCATCATCATCTTCATCTTCATCATGTTTGCTGCTGTCTATAGTCTCTCTATAGGATCATATTTACACCTGTAACATAACAAATATTAATGTTAAATTGAATAAATCAGATTAAAGTTGAATAAATCAGATTAAAGTTGAATTATGAGATTAAAGTTGAATAAATCAGATTAAAGTTGAATTATGAGATTAAAGTTGAATAAATCAGATTAAAGTTGAATTGTGAGATTAAAGTTGAATTATGAGATTAAAGTTGAATAAATCAGATTAAAGTTGAATAAATGAGATTAAAGTTGAATAAATCAGATTAAAGTTGAATTATGAGATTAAAGTTGAATAAATCAGATTAAAGTTGAATTATGAGATTAAAGTTGAATAAATCAGATTAAAGTTGAATTGTGAGATTGAAGTTGAATTATGAGATTAAAGTTGAATAAATCAGATTAAAGTTGAATAAATCAGATTAAAGTTGAATTATGAGATTAAAGTTGAATAAATCAGATTATAGTTGAATTATGAGATTAAAGTTGAATAAATCAGATTAAAGTTGAATTGTGAGATTAAAGTTGAATTATGAGATTAAAGTTGAATAAATCAGATTAAAGTTGAATAAATCAGATTAAAGTTGAATAAATCACATTAAAGTTGAATTATGAGATTAAAGTTGAATAAATCACATTAAAGTTGAATAAATCAGATTAAAGTTGAATTATGAGATTAAAGTTGAATAAATCAGATTAAAGTTGAATTATGAGATTAAAGTTGAATAAATCAGATTAAAGTTGAATTATGAGATTAAAGTTGAATAAATCAGATTAAAGTTGAATTATGAGATTAAAGTTGAATAAATCAGATTAAAGTTGAATTATGAGATTAAAGTTGAATAAATCAGATTAAAGTTGAATTGTGAGATTAAAGTTGAATAAATCAGATTAAAGTTGAATTATGAGATTAAAGTTGAATTATGAGATTAAAGTTGAATAAATCAGATTAAAGTTGAATTGTGAGATTAAAGTTGAATAAATCAGATTAAAGTTGAATTATGAGATTAAAGTTGAATAAATCAGATTAAAGTCGAATTGTGAGATTAAAGTTGAATTGTGAGATTAAAGTTGAATTATGAGATTAAAGTTGAATAAATCAGATTAAAGTTGAATTATGAGATTAAAGTTGAATAAATCAGATTAAAGTTGAATTATGAGATTAAAGTTGAATAAATCAGATTAAAGTTGAATTGTGAGATTAAAGTTGAATTATGAGATTTAAGTTGAATAAATCAGATTAAAGTTGAATTATGAGATTAAAGTTGAATTATGAGATTAAAGTTGAATAAATCAGATTAAAGTTGAATTATGAGATTAAAGTTGAATAAATCAGATTAAAGTTGAATTGTGAGATTGAAGTTGAATTATGAGATTTAAGTTGAATAAATCAGATTAAAGTTGAATAAATCAGATTAAAGTTGAATTATGAGATTAAAGTTGAATAAATCAGATTAAAGTTGAATTATGAGATTAAAGTTGAATAAATCAGATTAAAGTTGAATAAATCAGATTAAAGTTGAATAAATCAGATTATAGTTGAATTATGAGATTAAAGCTGAATAAATCAGATTAAAGTTGAATTATGAGATTAAAGTTGAATAAATCAGATTAAAGTTGAATTGTGAGATTAAAGTTGAATTGTGAGATTAAAGTTGAATTATGAGATTTAAGTTGAATAAATCAGATTAAAGTTGAATTATGAGATTAAAGTTGAATAAATCAGATTAAAGTTGAATTATGAGATTAAAGTTGAATAAATCAGATTAAAGTTGAATTATGAGATTAAAGTTGAATAAATCAGATTAAAGTTGAATAAATCAGATTAAAGTTGAATTATGAGATTAAAGTTGAATAAATCAGATTAAAGTTGAATTATGAGATTAAAGTTGAATAAATCAGATTAAAGTTGAATTATGAGATTAAAGTTGAATAAATCAGATTAAAGTTGAATTAATGAGATTAAAGTTGAATAAATCAGATTAAAGTTGAATAAATCAGATTAAAGTTGAATTATGAGATTAAAGTTGAATAAATCAGATTAAAGTTGAATTGTGAGATTAAAGTTGAATAAATCAGATTAAAGTTGAATTGTGAGATTAAAGTTGAATAAATCAGATTAAAGTTGAATTGTGAGATTAAAGTTGAATTATGAGATTAAAGTTGAATAAATAAATTTAAAGTTGAATTGTGAGATTAAAGTTGAATTGTGAGATTAAAGTTGAATAAATCAGATTAAAGTTGAATTATGAGATTAAAGTTGAATAAATCAGATTAAAGTTGAATTGTGAGATTGAAGTTGAATTGTGAGATTGAAGTTGAATTATGAGATTTAAGTTGAATAAATCAGATTAAAGTTGAATTATGAGATTAAAGTTGAATAAATCAGATTAAAGTTGAATTATGAGATTAAAGTTGAATAAATAAATTTAAAGTTGAATTGTGAGATTAAAGTTGAATAAATCAGATTAAAGTTGAATTATGAGATTAAAGTTGAATAAATCAGATTAAAGTTGAATTATGAGATTAAAGTTGAATAAATCAGATTAAAGTTGAATAAATTAGATTAAAGTTGAATAAATGAGATTAAAGTTGAATTATGAGATTAAAGTTGAATAAATCAGATTAAAGTTGAATAAATCAGATTAAATGAGATTAAAGTTGAATAAATTAGATTAAAGTTGAATAAATCAGATTAAATGAGATTAAAGTTGAATAAATGAGATTAAAGTTGAATAAATGAGATTAAAGTTGAATAAATGAGATTAAAGTTGAATAAATCAGATTAAAGTTGAATTGTGAGATTAAAGTTGAATAAATCAGATTAAAGTTGAATTATGAGATTAAAGTTGAATTATGAGATTAAAGTTGAATTATGAGATTAAAGTTGAATAAATCAGATTAAAGTTGAATTAATGAGATTAAAGTTGAATTATGAGATTAAAGAACTCTTGAAGACGTATTTAGTTGAAAATATGAGATTTTTTCTGACCAACATTTGAAAACCTCCAAAAACTATTAAACTCACTTTTATATAAAACACAGAAATTCTCACATTTTAGAAACTGGAACCAGAATATTTCTGATCAATAATCAATAACTTGCTGCTTAGAAACTAATCAGTTATATATTAATATATAAATATATTGAACTCCTCGTAGGCGGAGACTGAAACAAACTTTATTAAACTGTAAACTCGTGCTGAGACGGGCGTCGTTTAAATTAACCATCTCTTCTTCTTCTTCTGTTTGTCTGCAGAGAACCGTTTGTGTTCGACTGCGGCGCCGCCGAGCGGACGCCGAGGAGCACGAAGGACGATGACAACAGGTAAACACAGGTGGTGAAGAAAGTGCTGACGTCTGCAGAATGATAACCACCAAACATAACTCACTGTCACAGCGCTCTGTCCTCAGTGGCGGCGGCGCCCCGGAGGAAACAGGAAGTGACAGAGTCCTCGCCTTCACCGCGTCTCCATCTGGAAAGCTGGTGGCGCTGACCGACGACAACAAGAGGCTGGTTCTGCTCCACTGTGAGCCTTCGTGGCGATGTATCAGCGTCAGGTCCGATTCAGCCTCGCGCACGGTGCAGACGGACAGCAGACAGATGTGTTAGTAACAGCTGTGTGTGTGTGTGTGTGTGTGTGTGTGTCGCAGGTCCGTGGCGAGGAGGTGCACCTCTCTGCTCTTCAGCCGCGCCGAGGACGAGCTGCTGGCGGCGGACAAATCAGGAGACGTGTACTCCTTCTCGGTGGCGGAGCCGCAGAGGGAGGGCGAGCTGAAGATGGGCCACCTGTCCATGTTGCTCGCTGTGGTAAAGAACAAAGAGCGAGCGCCCACCAGACTCCATTCACAAAAACACTCATTTTAACTCCCAGATCAGGAAACACACTTTAAACTCAACAGAAACAAAAATAAAACTTAACTCACCAAAACTCTCCTTTTCTTTTAGTCTTTCCAATGTTTCAACAACAATCAGCAACTCTGGGTTGACTGAAATAAATTCTTAATTCACAGTTAGATCAGAAAATAGCTGCAAATAAAGGCTGCTAATGGCTGCCAATCATCCTCTGGGACCAATGTACCCGTCAACATGTGTCCATTAACAGTAGTTGTTGTTTGTTCCACTAACAGTAGTTGTTGTTTGTTCCACTAACAGTAGTTGTTGTTTGTCCCTAACAGTAGTTGTTGTTTGTTCCACTAACAGTAGTTGTTGTTTGTTCCACTAACAGTAGTTGTTGTTTGTCCCTCACAGTAGTTGTTGTTTGTTCCACTAACAGTAGTTGTTGTTTGTTCCACTAACAGTAGTTGTTGTTTGTTCCACTAACAGTAGTTGTTGTTTGTTCCACTAACAGTAGTTGTTTGTTCCACTAACAGTAGTTGTTGTTTGTTCCACTAACAGTAGTTGGTGTTTGTTCCACTAACAGTAGTTGGTGTTTGTTCCACTGACAGTAGTTGTTGTTTGTTCCACTAACAGTAGTTGTTGTTTGTTCCACTAACAGTAGTTGTTGTTTGTTCCACTAACAGTAGTTGTTGTTTGTTCCACTAACAGTAGTTGTTGTTTGTTCCACTAACAGTAGTTGTTGTTTGTTCCACTAACAGTAGTTGTTTGTTCCACTGACAGACTCAGGTTGTTATTGTCAGTGTCTGACAGCATTATGGAAAGGATCCCTACAGAGATAGACCTTTAGTTTAACCACAAACAGCCGTAATATCGCTATCACTCTCCACCAGACTCCAGAGACAAAAACACTCATTTTACCTTCAGATCATCGTAACTTCATTAAAGTGGACAGAAACAGAATAAAACTCATTAAAGCGTCTCTGTTAGTGTTTCCAACAATCACCAACTCTGGTTTGATGGAAATAATTCACTGAGTTTCTGGCTTTCAGACGATGTCGCCGGACGACAAATACATCATCACAGCCGACCGTGACGAGAAGATCAGAGTGAGCCACCGCAGGTCTCCGTACAACATCCAGTCCTTCTGCCTGGGGCATCAGGAGTGAGTAACTGCCCCCCTCATCCTAAACTGCCCTTTATAATACACTGTATATACAAACAGTTAGACTACAGCTGTCTGAGTTCCTGTTTGCTGTGTCTCAGGTTTGTCAGTGCTCTGCTGATCCCTTCAGGTCACCCCCGCTGGCTGCTGTCGGGATCAGGGGTAAGGATTATAATCCACAATAAAACCATAAAGAAATTTAAGGAGAGATTAGCAGGTTTAAACGTTTATTCTTTACAGTCTGTTCTAACTTACTAAAGCACAGATTGAGGTAATATACTCATTTATTAATTCATTACACAAACGTTTGAGTATAATTGTTGTTTCTCTGCTCTTGGACCTTTTTAATGTTATTTAAAGCAGCTTAAAGAAACAGAACGAGCAACTTCGTCCTGAATGAAAGTGCTTTTGTAATCTTCTATGTTTATTACAGTAATCTAGTTAATACGTTCACACTAAGGAGGGTTTAAAAACCTTAAAAGCACTAAAGACAGTGCAGGTTTGAGCGTTAATGTAGAAATAATAATCAGTGGAGAACATTAGATTGATGGTTGTTGTGGTCGGTCAGGACGGGACCGTGAAGCTGTGGGAGTTCGAGTCCGGCCGTAAGCTGCAGAGCTGGGACCTCCGAGAGCTCGAAGAGACGCCGACCTCTGAGGCCGACAAACAGAAGGTAACCATAGCAACGGCAGCAGAAACAACCAATATCGATGCCGACGATGGGCGCCGCCGCGAGGTCGACACTGTCGGCGTTTACTGAAATATTTGAACAACCTTTGTTGGGGTTGTCGTGAGATTTGGGTCAGATATACTCGCTGTCCAGAGGAGGAACCTGACAGACTTTAATATTTGTCCTCTAGCGCCACCAACAGGTCGAAGTTTTTAAGAGCTTCTTCTATAAAATATCCACCTGTTTGTTCCCTGCAGATCAATGACTAATGTCCAGAGATGGATGGATGAATGTCAGGACGGCTCCAAACGAAATCACATTTAATGGTCGTCCAACTCAATAAAACGTCCACCGAACGATAAAGAAAATGTGATTAGTTTGATCTGAAAGGTTAATATTGTTTCTCTATCGGACTGTTGACCTCCGACCTGCAGTCACATCTAAAGCTTATTGTAGTGAATACATAGATTATTCTAGAGACTGAGAGAGAAATAAAAGCCTCTCTCTCTCTGTCTGTCTGTCTCTCTCTCTGTCTCTCTGTCTCTCTCTCTCTGAGAAGAATAAAATGTGTGTGTGTGTGTGTATTAAACAACAACAACAACAACAACTAAAACAATTATTTTATACATTTATCTGAGTTTCCACTGGTCGTCCTCAGTTCGTGGCATGAGGAGACATATTTTGCTGCAGTAATTTGATTTTTTGGCATTTCTCCCAGTAAATAGGGGAGTTTCTGTGTGTCTGATAATAATTTGAATTCGGGGTATATTTGGGAAATGTTTGCAAATTGTTTTTCTCTTAAAGTTTAGAATTTAGGGCATGAGGTTAGAAAGTGCAGCTCTGTCTCTACCTGTCCTCTGTCACACTGGGAGCAGAGTCTCTCCTCTTCTGGTAGCCAGTTCTGTCTGTGGCGACCCGTTTCTATGGCCAGGCTGTGTTCACTCAGTCTGTACATTGTCAACATTGTTCTTAGTTTAGGACATTTTATTGTGCTCAGGTAATTTGCCAGTGTGAATTCTCTTTTTAGGGTCAGATAACATTGTAATTTACTTTGTGTTTTGGTCGTTTCTTTCCAGTATTCAATATATTTTTCTTTTTGCTTGTTGATAATTTGGTTTGGTCTGATTGAGTTGGTGTTGCTGTCCTGAGGCTGTTGTCTCTCTCTCTCTGTCTCTCTCTCTGTCTCTCTCTCTGTCTCTCTCTCTCTCGTCTCTCTCTCTCTCTCTCTCTCTCTCTCTCTCTCTCTCTCTCTCTCTCTCTCTCTCTCTCTCTCTCTCTCTCTCTCTCTCTCTCTCTCTGAAGGTTACACAACCTCCTCACACTGGCAGGGAGGTTACATTCACAGTTTGAGACAGCTTTTTTGTTTAAAGTTTATTGAACCAAAATCAGTGAATGAATTAAAGATATTAACCCATTGGTTCCCAAAAACTACATTTAGTATGATAAGAAAAAACATTTGCTCTGATTGTTCATATCTTTGATATTTAATTTGTTTGTCCTCCGTCTAGTTTCTGAGATAAAGACAATTTCTTAGACTATATTTAGTCTTTGAGCACATTGGGTTAAACTGATTTTATTATTTTCAGTACACATGCAACCGGCTCCTATCTATATATTCCATATAAATAAAAGTTACACACAACTGTTTTTAGAGACGAACTGAGTTTATTCGGGACATTCAGTCCAAAAACTATAAATATAAGAAACACTTTTCCGTCTGTTTGTTCGGGGTTAAGGTGGTGGAGTGAGGATGGGTGAAGGTGTGTGTTATATAACCTGGGACACACTGGGACCCTCAGGTGTTCCTTCAGGTGTTGCAGGTTACCTTCACACTGATAGTGAGAGCTTCCTCTGTGTAAATGTCTGTTTTATTTCCCAGAATCCAACAGTGTGCAGAATCGCCAGCTCTCCTGACGCTCGCCACGTAGCTGTACAGTGTGAAAGGTGAGATATTTTTCTGTGCTTTCTTTCTTGATGAAAAGTTCATCCACTGCTTTAAACGTCCTTACACAGCGACGACAGCACACCCATCTGTTTATAACTTCCACATGCCGCCGGCTCCTCTGCTGGCTTGAAGCTATTTCTGCTCACAACTGTTCAATGTATTCTGGGATGTATGGAGACACAAGGTCAGCGCGGAGGTCAGTTTGCTGTATGCTACACAGGCGACTGTACAGTAGGTGACACTTAAAGTGGGTCAGAGGCATGAGACTATAAATAGTGGAGGTTGCATTAAAGCTGCAGCAGCGACACGAAGCTCCTCCTCCTGATCCATAAACAACCAATCAGAGCAGAGGAAGATGTTTGAGTCTCTGATCGTTTCCACGTGTCCTCAGGGTTTCGGCGGTTCAGTTCTTCACCGTGGAGCAGGAAGGGGAGGAGAAGCTCGTTCCACACAGCCGGCTCGCCCTGCCCCACTGTCCCCTAGACGTGACCTTTGACCCGGAGGGCCGACTCTGGGTGCTGATGGACTCCAGTGAAATGCCGCTCCGAGTCTACACACACAGACGGGACTCCTGGGAGGTACAGAGGGACGCAGTTACACTCTGAAAATGTGTAACTGATATTTATTAAAGCATCAATCAACCTGATCAGCCTTCAGCAGTCAGCTAGTGTTTCTGTAGTGGAGACTAAACGTTAACAATGATCCATATCAGCAGTTTGAATCCAACTAAAAGCTCCCTGCACCAAACTCCCTTTAAGAAATATCACATTTTAACAATTCCTAACGTGTTCGTAACAACACGTAACTCTAGAAACACGAGCTAAAGGCCGTCATATGTCCACAGTCTGACTCACTCAGCTCAGATTGATCTCATGTGAACAAAATAAATAAAACAACAGAGGAAAATATGAAACAGTAAACGTTTGTCTGTCGTCACATCACACATCCATAACATCAGAGAAACATTTTTACTCTTTCAGACCGTTGCAGAGGCTTTTACACACTTCTGTCCACTTTAATGAAGTTATGATGATCTCCTTATCTCCTATTCTATATGAGCCTTTTGTTTACGTGTCGTTGCACAGATGGATCTGATGAAGAGCGCTCTTCTTCTTCCTGAGTGTCAATAAAGGTTGAATTCACCGAATAACAGCAGAACATCTGTGGTTGCCATGGTATCCGCCGCGTTACTTCCTGTTGTTAAAATGTGTGTTTTTTTAAGTGAGGTTTGGTGCAGGAGCCGATCGCATCATCACACAGCGGCTGAGAGAGTATTGATTCACTGTGACTGACCTCTGACCTCTGACCTCCCTCTAGTGCGCCGCTGAGAGCCCTGAACTCCACACAGTGACTGAAGCTGTCAGGCCGCACTGGGAGACACTCGAGGGTGAGTCACACACACACACACACACACACACACACACACACACACACACACACACACGCCTCCCTCTCTCGTCCCACTCGCGCCCTCTAGACAGAAATAACCTGCAGTGTCATGTGACCTCGCACGCCGTCTCCCCCAGGATGACAGGGAGGATCAATTCAGCTGGTTTCTGTTGGATCAGTGTGAACTTTTATTCTATTAAACACTCTGTTTGTTGCTCTGGCTGTTGTTTATTATCAGGAAAGTAAAACAACAACAACAACAAAAACAACAACATGTGTTCAGTTATGACAACTTCCTGTTTCATGGCGATACGCTGATATTTGACACCACGCCACGGACACGCCGTTCGACGCACACTCGCCAAGAGGACAACTTTTAATCGTGATGGTCTTTAGATCACGCCGACCAAATTTAAAGTCGATCCGATTAATTCTCCAGAAGAGTTCGTTAAAGTCTGATCGTGATACACGTGGGTACCGATTGTTATTATTATTATTATTATTATTATTATTATTATTATTATTATTCTACATCTCCATCATATGTGTCTACTGGACTGAAACGAACATCTGTATGTGTTTAAATCCCTTTGTACTTAATAATAACTATAACTTGAAATAATAAGAGTAATAATTTTATGTTGTCGTCCATTTATTGTACTTTGTTGTTTTTATGTTAATATGAAATAAAGTTAAATTGAATAATAAAAATAGTTCCAAGAGTCACTAAATAAATGAAATTAAAGGAAGAAGAAAGTAAGTTACTTACTGCATATAAAAGTAATTAGTTACTAGGTAAAGTAATGCTGCAGACCACCAGAGGGCAGCAACGAGTAACACTAGTAGAACCTACAGTGGCTGTGAGTGTTTGGTTTGTCCCTCCTGAGCTACTGTAGAAACATGGCTCATTATACACTAATGTTAACATAGCTATGAATCCACAGTGAAGAACTAATCAACCAATAATCAACCAATAATCAATCCTCTCCCCTCCCAGTCTCGGCGAGGACCAGCAGCCGCTTCGAGCACCTGCACAAGGTGACCTTCGACAACGTGACTGCGTACCTGCAGAAGAAGCAGCAGCGGCTGGAGGAGCAGCAGCTGAAGAGGACGAAGGCGCCCAAAGCCAACGGCAACAAGAAGGCGAGGAAGGAGACGGCCGACACCCCCGCGTCCACCTGAGAGGACCCCTCACACAGAGCTCGATTATTGATTATCTGTTATTATTATTATTTCTTTATTGGATGATGGATCTGAGTTGATTTAATTTGTCTGATTTATAAAAATAAACACTGCAGCTGAACATTTGTGTTTATCACTGAATGAAACATCAGTCAGTGAACGCACCATATGTCCCCTTCCTCACATCCACTGCTCCTCTTCCTCCTCCTCCTCCTCTTCCTCGCTGTACGTGTTACTTTGGCTTCCTACGCCACATTAACAGTTAGCATCTTTGTGACGCAGCGTGCCCATTTGACGCAAACAGCAGCTGTTCGGAGGAAGAGGAGGTGCAGAGACGAAGGTCTTTCCCACTGCAGATATTATTATTATGAATTTGAGCTGTAAATAAATACAAAGGATATAAAGAAGAATCAGTATTGGTTCATTGTAGTTGTTATAGTGCGTCAATCCCCCAAAAGTCACATTTAAAGAGTGAATAATTAAACTTTATACAAATAATGTTAATTAACTTTATTTGTATTATTTGACAAAAACAGGATCATCAAGAGTCCTGCAGATGTTTAAAGTTAATGTCATTTTAAAGACATTTTAAGGGCTAAAATCCAGATTGTTGTAGGTTAAACTTTACACTGTTCACACTGGGACACAGAATAATTAATGAAGTGCTGATGATGATGATGATGATGTCCCACAATGAGGGAAATAATAATAATAAACCAATAAACAGAAATAAGCCTGCAAGTAGTCAAACTCAACCCAAAAGGTTGCCGGTTTAAGTCCAACATGAACCACAGTGTTTCCGTGTGTCCTGGAAAACCTGGAAATGTAATAATAGGTAAAGAAAGAAAAATAAAATAAGTGAATAGTCTGATAGAACAATGAGAAGAAAACACTGAATTTGTCAGAAAATAAGTTTATTAAGTCTGTTTCATTGTTAAAAACTATAAAAAAAAAAATACATTTTACATAAAAAGGTCCTTAAAGAGGAAATAATCAGCACTCCTCAGTGTGTGGTTGATTCTGGGTTCATTAACACTTCCAGCTCCTACAGATAAACCCGCTTCAGATACCTTCAGACTGACTCTGGACAACAAACTGAGCCTCAACCAACTCGTCCTCTGCTGCGTATAGAGATCAATCTGTGGGCTGCAGCAGATATTTCTCAGCACAATAACGTGTAAGTGTTTGATTCCTCGCCGCTCTTATGCCTTAAAGAAGGGGCGTCGTCCCCCTCTGATTGGCTGAGAGATCAATGACCAAGCTGCTCTCCATCATTGATTAAAAGGTGATCCTCTGATCCACTCTGATCATTATTAAACTGACTCAGTGACATTTTTATGTTTATTTAATATATTAAAACTGTACAATGAACACAAACAGTGAACTCTAACTGCAGGAAGTTTGTGTAAAACCAGAGATTTTGATGAATTTTGAGCAGATTATTTCCTGTTTATGGAACTTTTTATACAATTCTCTGTCTGTATTATGTTTTTATTTATTTTTTATCATTTTTAACAACCAAACAGACTTAATAAGCTTCTTTTTCTTCTCATCATTCGTATGTTATTCTATGTATACGATGTTTTCTTCTATGTGTCAGAATGAAGTAACAGCAGACTTTAATTCCCTATACAGCCTTATGTTGTAGAACGATGAAAACATTTCCTTTATTTCTTTATATTGTGTATATTTAAGTTATCTTACATCCCTTAAAATCAAGAAGGTCTCCTGACCTTCGCTTTGGCGACCCCTAGTGGGGGTCCCGACCATGGCTTTAATCCACCCAGAGAGAATTTTGAGATTGAGTTTAAATTAATTATATAAATAATTAAACAGCAACAGAATACAAAAGAATGAAGAACAACAACAAGATTATTATTAAATTATACATTATTATTCTATCAGGACCAGTGTCCAAAATCTTTTATTACTCATTTACGAGTCAAGTCAGAATTTGGGGAGAAACGACACAATTAAGTAGCAGAAAAGTAATGTAACTGGTAATGTAACTAATTACTGTTGTAACATTTGTAATGTCTGTTATTGCTAATGGCATACATTATATTGATGTTCATTAACGTGCTCTATGTGCTATTATAATAATATTAATAATAATAATTATAATAATAATGAGCAGAGACATTAACAGTCCAGACAGGATTTTTTAATTAAAGTAATCCTTTTATTTTTTTTATAGGAAAGAACAAATGTCACTAAAAATCTGTACAATCTGTAAAAAACAACACATTTCAAATAAAAAACGATATATAATGTATCTAAATATTGTTCACTGAAGTAGTCTGTGCTGTACAACGGTTCCTGAAAAGGGCTTTGGATTGTCCGTCTGGTCCTCGAGTCCGTCGGGAGTTTTTTGACGCCGTCTTAAAACCCGACTCCGCCGCCGTTCTGTGACAAATCCCGATCACACATCCCGCCGCCGCCGCCCCTCCGCTCTCCGACCGTCCGACGGGACGAGAGGAGGCTCAGCAGCCCGCCACGGACCAACGTGTCTGACAACTTTACTTTACGTCACACTGCTTCACTCTGGTGCTCTAACGCTCACTGGTGCTGCAACAGAGACGCTAGTGTTAGCCGGCGTGGACTCAAATACACCGAAAAACAAAGTGTCTCCAGAAAGTAAAAAAAAGTCTAAAAATAAAACATCACTTTGTCTTTATTACAGCTGATATTGAGCTAGATTTGACTTAAATTAGCCTTCAGATGTAACTCGCTAGCTAATGATTGTTGTAGATTATCTATTATATTTTAACATTAGACGTGTTTCTAGAAGTCCTCGCCTACCTTTTCACAACATTTTACTTCTTCTTCCCTCCAATGGTCAAGTTCTCGCTCTTCTTTTTCTGCACCTGGAGGGAAACATGAGCGCTCGTCAGTCACATTCGGTACCAAGGACACGTTAAATGCCCCGCCGCTCTTCTAGAAACCCCGTTCAACAACCTCGTTCATGGCGTCATCGATCTGTTTCAGCTCTTCGTATCGGTCTCTGGACTCTCTCAGCGGCTGCACCATCGCCTCCTCGATCTGTGGGAACAGCTGGGACACAAACACACAAACATTACATTAAATATTATATATTTAATATATTATATATATTTAAGCATTTATATCAGCCGTGGAGTCGCTGCATGCTCACCTTCATCACGGTCTCAAACATGGGGATGAGGACGAACTTGATGAAGCCGATCTGAGCTGTCGGCTTGGTGACCTTTTCTCTGTCCATGAACGGAGCCACGGGAAGCCCCTCGGTCTTCTCCCTGTCGCTCTGCACAGCACAGACAGACAGACAGAACGACAGACAGACAGGTAATTAACATCAACATGGTGTTCAATAACAGCAGGGAGAAATACTGCCTTAAAGCTTATATATGAGATTATTAACATTAATATAACAGCAAACATTATATTCTCTATATACAGAGTCACATGGTGTCTCTCTCCCTCTGCCTGTGTTGTATCGCAGCCTCTCTGTGGTTTGTTTCCATAGCCGGTCTGCTCCGACTGAAACTGCTGTTTTTATCATCTACGTCGGTGAATTAAGGATTTATTTCCACCAAACCAGAGTTGGTGATTGTTGGAAACACTAACAGAGACGCTTTTAATGAGTTTGATTCTGTTTCTGTCCCATACTTTTGGTCTGAGATGCTTTAGTGCAAGATCTAGTGGCAAGTGAACTTTGTGTATATATAACCTTTATGGTAGGATGTTTTTAAAAACATGAGATAGTCTCATCATAATAGAGTCTGACGATAGATACAGAAGAAAAACTACAAAATGTTTTTTTGTGGTTAAAAACAACACAAATGGGCCAAAATGTTGATTATTATAAGTAAAAGTTATTTATACCAAATATCCAGTCGTTGAATTGGACCAAACATGGTGCCGGTACTTGAATTCAACCCTAATTCTTTTGCTGTTTTTTATCCTTCTTAACGAGGACATATTCACTGTAGTAGATGCTGTGTGTACAGAGTCGAACAACGTCAGTAACTCCACTGATAGTAGTTGTTTTTAGCACTCTGGTGGCCCCCACCTGCATGAAGTACTCCTCCAGCAGGCAGTCGACCCACGGCTCAGCCACCTCCATGGGCCGCACCTCGTTGGAGATGTCGCAGCACTTGATGAGCACCATCTTCAGCTGCAGGGAGGGTCCGAGGGCAAAGGTCACCATGAACAGAGGGTTATTATATTACCAGTAAACGCTGGAAACATACAGTAGTTTCATAAAACTGTTGATAGTGAACAGCAGTTAGCGTTATCTGCAATGTTCCTATATTTTATTTGGACCATTGACACAGTTAGCTGGATGCCCCTGCTTCGCATCGCAAAAATATACATCTCATGTTTTAAGTTACGTTACAATCTGTTCACTAATTGGCAATAAAAAGACGTTTTTTTGTGATTAATAAATAAAAATCTACATCTCAGAGGGAATTATTGTACTTTTTACTGCACCAAAAGGTGAAATGGACAGGAAGTGGCGTGCAGGTGTTCTTACACAGGTGAGGTGCTCCTCGTCCGTGTATTCAAAATTGTCGACTTTCTGCTTGAAGGAGTCCAGGATCTCACCGTGTCGCGCCATGTCTGTGGCCAGGATCAGCGTGATGGTTCCCTGAAAGCGTGAACGGGGACGGATGTTAAACTCTGGACCTTTAAACACCTGCATGGTCACCTGCATGGTCACGTGGTAAAAGGCGGTAAAAGGTGCGGCCGTACCTGTCGTATCTGTTTGAAGGCCTCGGGGTCAAAGTTGGAGAAGATGTTGCAGTCGGGCTGTGAGAAGATCTGGAAGGCCACGGCGCAGTGGTGGTTCTCCAGAGGGGAGATGTCGTTGTAGCGGACCGCCAACTCCGTTCTGGCGTTGATCTGGTACCTGAGAGCGAGACAGCGGGAGAGAGAGAGAGAGAGAGAGACAGCAAGAGAGAAAGAGAGACAGCGAGAGAGAGAACGAGAGAGAGACAGCAAGAGAGAAAGAGAGACAGAGAGAGAGAGAGACAGCGAGAGAGAGACAGCGAGAGAGAAAGAGAGACAGAGAGAGAGAGAGACAGCGGGAGAGAGAGAGAGAGAGACAGCGAGAGAGAGAGAGAGAGAGAGAGACAGCGAGAGCGAGAGAGACAGAGAGAGAGAGAGAGAGCGACAGCGGGAGAGAGAGAGAGCGAGAGAGAGAGAGAGACAGCAAGAGAGAAAAAGAGACAGCGAGAGAGAACGAGAGAGAAAGAGAAAGAGCAAACCAACAATTATAAACCATCAAAAAGAAAAATTACAAACTGAGAAATTACATTGAGCTCGTACGAACATATTTGTTCTTAAGTTGGTTACGACGAGAACTTATGAAATGAGAAAATCAAACCGAGAAATGAGCTGTTTCCCGACTACCACTAATATTTATAACATTTGAAAATAAAAAACAGAGACGAGAACAAATTTTTTCTTTAAAAAAAACAGTCAGTTTTCTTTTTTTGCTTTGAAAATAAAAATGAAAACAAAAAAGTTTTCAATTTTCTTTGTTTTTAAATAAAAACAGAAAACAAAGAACCTGTTTTTGCTTTTTTGCTTTTAAAAAAGAAAAAACAGAACCAGTGAACCAGTTTTCTTTTTTAGTTTTTAAATAAATACATAAAAAGGAAAAAAATAAATAAATAAAATTCACAGAAAAATTACCTTTTTTACGTTTCTTTTTTTGTTTGGAAAATAACATTTTTTTTTTTTTTTATTTATAAATGTTTTTTTTTCTCCATTTTTTTCATTTGAAAAGTAAAACCCTAAAAAGACTTTTAACCTAAAAATGTTGCTGTAAGTAAAAAAGAAGCCTTTGTTCGCTCTGTGTCTGGTAAACCAATTCAATTTTAATTTATTTGTATAGCGCCAATTCATAACAGAAGTTATCTCAGGACACTTTTCAAATAGAGCAGGTCTCGACCGAACTCTTTAAAACATTAATTACAGAGACCCAACAGTACCACCATGAGCAAGACCTTGGAGACAAGGGCAAGGAAAATGTCTTACGTGTTGTTGAATCCGGGGTGATCGAGGTCGTGACACACAGCAGCTGTCATGAGAATCAAGATGTCGACCTGAGTGAACTTCTCCTAGAAACAAACACAAACATATTTATATTAATTAATGCATCAATTAAGTCTGTAACTCAGAAATCGTGTGTGTGTGTGTGTGTATGTGTGTGTGTGACCTCGTTAGCACGTTGCTGGTGCTTCGTAATCAGTCTGTGATAATTAAACCTCCAGTGAACAGTCGTCTAACAACAGAGGGAGACTCTCTCTCCTCTTTTTCCCCTTCATCACACCCCGTCCTCCTCTTCCTCTCAGTCTTACCCCGAGATGCCCCAAATCCCCCACGTCTCGTCCCCTCAAACTTAGCACAAAGACTGGAGACAGGGGGAAACTGTTAGCCCCCTTTTTACTCTGTGCTCCAATCACAGTTGAGCAACCGTCGATCAGTTTTATAGAACAAACGACTAATTGATTAATCAATAAAATAATCTGAAGTGCCGCACTAATTAACTCCTACAGTTCCATAAAGTCTGGGGACATTACGAGCGACAGATAAAAACACCCCGACTTTCACTCAAGCTCCAAAAACCTCTGGATCCTACACTACATTTCCCATAATGCACCTCTGTGGTCATACGACTCCTCCTGAGCAGTAGATTAATGGTGGACGTCTACATGCTGTTAAATGTCACGACATTTAAGCCTCTCAGCATGTTGACCTTTCAGTGCTGTTAACTCCAGAATGAATATGCAGCCCGTGTGACCACGAAAGGCCACGGTGTCAGTGGGTCGGTGTTTTGGCGTTACGGTGGACGCCATGTTGGTTATTGGCGGCTCGTATTCCAGATAAACACTAAAAAAATGTTTGTGAAACCATTTGAGGGAACAGATTATTGTTCTGAAATGAGAAAACAAAACTATTTATAAATATGGGGAACAAAACGGGTTGTTTTCATACAAAATAACAGAAAAATAATTTAAAAAAAAAAAGGCAAACAAGTTTTTTTTTTCACATTTTCATGTTTTTAACAAGTCAATGTCAGGTTGTTTTTTTTCGTTTCCTTTTTTTTTTTTTTGATTTTAAACAAAAGGCTCATTTTCCAATTTTGGTTTTCTCATTTCAAAACAAAAAAGTACTCTGGATCTGGATCCATATCTGATCAGCACTGTCTGACAGTTTGATCTGAGTTTGGTTGAGCTGGACGGACTCACTGAGAATGAGCTGTCAATCACAAGGTAGCCCCGCCCTAAAGCATACCCTGCTTTATGGTCTGTTTTACTCTAAATGGGACCATCAGTTACTAAATGAACATCATGCTGTATGGAAGAAGACTGAAACTAGAGACTGAGACCAGAAACTCATCAGGAAACTGTTTACTGAGCTCATTAATCAACTGAGAAGTCGACTCATTTCTCCATAAGACTGAATGGTATCAGTGTGTTATTGCCCCCTGCTGGCCGAATGTGGACTTAAGACGCGTTTATGACGTTGGCTTACAGCCGTCATTGAGTCGAGCAGCTGGGTACCTGCAGGCTGCAGAGGCAGATCATGCTGTACATCATCTGGGTGACACAGAAACAGTGGCGGAAGTTGTGGAAGGGGTTGTTCTTGTAGTTGTCATGAATACAAAGCTACAGAGAGAGAGAGAGAGAGAGAGAGAGAGAGAGAGAGAGAGAGAGACAGGAGGGGGTGAGACCTGCATCAAATCAGTGACATGTAGTTTATGTAGACCGGGTCCAGGTCTCACCAGCCATCTCTTCAGTGTGATGGGGTTGATGTTGAAGTCTCTGACCAGGCCCAGGTCGTGGTACATGTGTTCCAGACAGCTCAGCATCTGTTAGAGCAAAGGATCAGTGGGAGGTGATGAGATAAGGTTTTAAATTCACTACAAGCTGTTTCTGTGCAGCGTAATGATGGATACAAAGCTGAAGGAACGGGCTGGTTCTGAGGCGCACTGCACAAGATTAAAGATACTAACATACGAACATAATCTCTGTGTGTGTCTGCAGCCGGTATGTTCTCTTGCTGTTGGCTGGTTTGATGTCACATTTAACACATTCATTTTGAGTAATTCTTTAATTAACGTGTTAAAGGTGCGACTCGTCTCTTCAAACTTCTATGTGAACATATATCACACTCGTACATCTACCTAACTCATGACTTTTATCTTCCGTACTGTGGGATCAATAGCGTCTCTTTGGAACAATCTATCAATACAATCAATATCTACATTATCTTTATTCACAAATCATCTAAAAAGGTCTACAATTCATAACGTAATAACATAATTCATAATAAGATTCATAACTCTTCATGGATATCGATATAAGGAATTTTACCTGGTAAAATAATTGTATTATTATATTATTGATTATTTCCATCAATCATGTATTTTAGCTGCTTGAATATTTATATAAATAAATATAATATATATTTATAAAGGGGAGGTACCTCACCTGCACACTGTTGTATTATAAACTGAGTTATATATAAATATGTATATGTATATAAAGTGCAAGTGCAAATATAAATAATAACATAATACAATGTATTGATTTCTAATTCCACCTTTAGATATTTATATCAATACTTATGTGCCACAATAATAGTTTAAATATCTTCATTTGGGCGTTTTTACAGGTAAATATTGATACAATATTGATATAATATTGATATATGGGATTAAATCAGATAATATTTCTCTGTTTCTTGAATATTTTTTAAAAGTTGCTAGGCTACATTAGCTGCTAATAGCACAACACACAAGTCTCTGACCGAACAGTCGGCGGTGGAGTTGCATTGTGGGTAATGTAGGGTAGAAAATGTGGAATAAACAAAAAGACAATGGGCCTCATTCACTAATATGTGCGTATCACGGAGAATCAATCAATCAATCAATCAATCAATCTTATTTATATATATAGAACCTTTCAAACTAATCGACGCCAAAACACCGAAGAAATTAAACAATAATGTTCGAGGTGGAAGCCAGAAACGGTAAAAACAGCGTTCCCAGGCATCCTGGAAAACCTGGAAAAAACAGAAATTTTAGACTAGTTTTCCAGTCCAACCTGAATATTGATTAAAATGACCAAATATCCTGTAAACGTTATATTTTAGCTCCTCACTCAGATCACCTTTATAAACCTGGGTGTGTATTTAGTTTAAATCTCGACTGTTGGTTGAATATTAGATATTATAGATTATGATACTTCAATATCTACGTGCATACAACCTATTAATGATCACATATATTGATTAGAACTGTTACTTACGGGCTGTCGTCAAATTAATGCAAATTTGCCTGAAACTGCAGCTTTTATGAGCGTTTGTGAGCAACTGCTGTCCTGTATTGTCAAAAAAAAACTCCTGAAAAAGGTCCTGGAAAGGTCCTGAAAATTGATTTGTTAAAAAGAGTGGGAACCCTGAAACCTCTCCTGTGTGTTGCAAACAAATTAATGTTAGAAAATACTGTTGAATCCCGTTTTTTGTGTGTGAAACGTTTGTGAATGAGGCCCAAAATCAAACCCGTTCATTATTTTACTTGTTATATTTAATTATAAAGTTTCCATCTCCGACTTCTGTTCGGTCAGTTTAAAGTCGGCAGCTCTCACTTAAAAACACATTTTCTGACTTATAACTTAAAGACATAATATTGAACAATTAGGACATTATTAACAGCACATACACTGATCAATAATCAGTTGATTAATCAGCAATAATTGACCTTGATGAGGAGTTAATCAGTGCATTAATCAGAGCAGGAGTCTCACCTCATTGGGCTCCCACTGCCAAGCATCGAATGTAGGTAATCTAAGAGCTTCTACTGTCTCCTTGGACAGGTGGTACTACACACACACACACAGGGCAGCGGGGCAGACGGGGGGGGGAGAGAGGGGCATTGTGGGTGAGACGGGTTAAGCAAGCTGGTCAGTCTTACCTCGTTGGCCTCCCACAGCCAGACGTCGAAGGCGGGTTTTTTGAGGGCGTCTATGGTCTGTTGTGACAGCATGTACTGCAGGCAACAGAGCGCGCAGTTAACCCTGTCCACCTCCGCCTGGCTCGGGGGCACAGCTACTGTACAGCTACTGTACAGCTACTATACACCTTTATATACCTACTAAACACCTTTATATACCTTTATATACCTGCTCTACAGCTACTATACACCTTTATATACCTTTATATACCTACTATACACCTTTATATACCTTTATATACCTACTCTACAGCTACTATACACCTTTATTTACCTTTATATACCTACTATACACCTTTATATACCTGTATATACCTACTATACACCTTTATATACCTTTATATACCTGCTCTACAGCTACTATACACCTTTATATACCTTTATATACCTACTATACACCTTTATATACCTTTATACACCTACTCTACAGCTACTATACACCTTTATATACCTTTATACACCTTTATATACCTTTATATACCTACTCTACAGCTACTGTACACCTTTATACACCTTTATATACCTGCTCTCCAGCTACTATACACCTGTATATACCTTTATATACCTACTCTACACCTTTATACACCTTTATATACCTTTATATACCTACTCTACAGCTACTATACACCGTTTACACCTTTATATACCTTTATACACCTTTATATACCTACTCTACAGCTACTGTACACCTTTATACACCTTTATATACCTTTATATACCTGCTCTACAGCTACTATACACCTTTATATACCTACTCTACAGCTACTATACACCTTTATACACCTTTATATACCTTTATATACCTACTCTACAGCTACTGCACAGCTACTATACACCTTTATATATATATATAGCTGTATATACCTACTATACAGCTAATATATATCTACTATACAGCTACTATGAAGCTACTGTACACCTTTATATACCTTTATACATCTTTATACAGCAACTATACAGCTTTTTACACCTGTATATACCTTTATATACCTACTATACAGCTACTGTGAAGCTACTGTACACCTTTATATACCTTTATACACCTTTATATACCTTTATATACCTACTCTACAGCTACTGTACAGCTACTATACACCTTTATATAGCTTTATATACCTACTCTACAGCTACTATACAGCTACTATACAATTATATACCTTTATAAACCTTTATATTCCTGTATATACCTACTATACAGCTAATATATATCTACTATAGAGCTACTATGAAGCTACTGTACACCTTTATATACCTTTATACATCTTTATACAGCAACTATACAGCTTTTTACACCTGTATATACAGCTTCTGTATACCTGTATATACTTTTATACACCTTCATATACCTCTACACACACCTACTGTAATGTTCATGAAGATTTGATAATGTCAACCCACTATTTCACTTTATTTTCCTAAATTCTTGTTGTATTTCAGTACTATGGAAGCCCTGAAAGGCAAGTGAAATACATTTTTTTTTTATCACAATTCACTTTCTACTTTATTTCATCTGTGAAGTTAAAAACAGATGAAATTTGTTTTCAATACTATACTACAAAAACTATTAAAAATAAATATATTTGTAACAAATTATAACTTAGAAGCTCTTGAGGAAATTAAATTCACCTATTTTCATATATAATGTTTATCAATGTTTAAATATTGTTCAGTTGTTAAATGTGTAACACTGAAGGAAGAGATGTATCTGTACTCTTTTATCTCACAGTGACCTACTGTACTGAACCTGATCTATAAAACAATGGATCTCCCAACTGCACAAAATCAAACATTAATCAATCACATTTGTTCTCTGCGGGTTCCTGGAACCACGATGGGTTGGTATTTCTGATCACACCTGACATCAACAACACCTGGTAGGAGCCTTACCTTGGGGTAGGAGGGCACGTCTCTGCGAGGAGTCAGCTTCTTATTGTCCTCCAGGAAGTTACTGGAAGAAGAAACAAAGAAAAATAATGAATAAAACAAAGCCACTACTACTGTTTCTTAAGTAATAATAATGAATATATGACATTTAATGATATATAATACATATATAATCAGTTATCTGTTACCTTTAATACTGCTGGTGCATGTTCTCATGTTTAGGTCTAATACTAGAACTATCAATTACATTTAAAGGGGCTTCATCAGCAGAGAAAACAGACGTTTACATTGACAAAACAAGTGTAAAATACACGTTTATACAGATTAGAGCTTTGATTTTCTGCCCGATTGGACCCAATAGGAGCTGCTGGGTTCGGGCCCAGAACTGCTGTCGTAGGTCGGGCTCAAACAGAATTAGATTTAAACTATATATACTGTATATGTGTAATATTTTATTAATAATCCAACTACACTTTTACTTCTTCCAATGTCAGTTCAATTTATAAAGTATATATATTTCTTTATTACTTTATTTTATGTTTTCTTTTACTATTGTTATAATAATAATAGTTTTCATTTAAAGCTTCTACAATATGTGAGACAGACAGTCTGTGCTCACTGGTATAAATATCTGTCTGTGTCTGTCGTCACCTGTTGTTTCTTGACGCCATCTCCTCGCGGAGCTTCTTGATGTCGTTGCGACATTTCTCGATCTCCACCACCTTCATCCCCTCCACTGCAGACAGACAGAGTCGCTCATTAGCACCCGGCGGCCCCATTAAAGCTAACACCCTAACTGCTGACTCTGTACTGAAAGTCAAACGTAGTGAAAGCATTAAAGTGAGTTCAGTAACCACACATCATTCAGCTCCAGCTTCAGTAAAGGTGGTGTCTTTGTTCTGTTTTACCTTCGTTTAACCAGAGAACCAATTCTCCTTTACAGTGACGACCCGATGGAGAGGCAGCTACTTACAGTTCAAACAGTAAATACACAACAGAGAGGAACGTACTGTGTTCCAGAGAGGAAGTGATCAGAAACTAATTCAATTATTGAGTTATTAGAGGAGGATAATGGAGTAAAATGTGCAGTTTCTGTGACTTTTGCAGCTGGTCCCAGGAGTCGAGAGAGCGGAGATATGGAGGGTTTTTTTTATAAATGAACTGACACCAGAGGATATATATCAATATATCAATAACAATGAGCTCAATAACAGCTGATCGGTTCTGATCGATCAATAACAGCAGCTATCAGCCCTCCTCCTCCTCCTCCTCCTCCTCCTCCTACTGAAACTGACTGAGGTCGACAACACTTCAGCTCCCACTGAAACAGGTGACCATGGCGACCAGAGCGATGAGAGGACGGAGATCTGTGTGGGCGCCACGCTGTTTCCGTGGCGACCAGGTATCCAGGCAGTCGGCGTGCTCGTGTGAAGTGTGTGTGTGCGTCAGATCTCAAACTACTACTACACTATCCCGCCGCTCGGAGAGAGGAATCTGTTTTATTTTAAATTATAATCAGGAAACTGATCTCTCTCCGTTTATGTGTTTATCTTAGTGCCTGGAAATAACAACAACAACAACAACAGTTTACTAATAACTATGTTAACATACTAACATAACATATAACTGCTGAGGGGCCTTTGAGCAAGGCACCGATCCTCGAACTGTTCTTAGGGAGCTGCTCCCGTCACTACAGATGATTATTGATACCAATGACATAATCAGCCGATTCTTTATCCCTTATTGATCCCTGATCGTTTTTCTGAGTGGAACAACAGTGTGGAGAGTTGAAGCCAGACTATTATTGGATGGATTAGGATTAAATCTGGTTCATACGTTCACGTTTTCCATAGGATGAACTTTAATAACTGACCTTGTGACCACAGAATTAAAACTTGGCTTTTCCTGCTGGACAATGTTCCCGTATATTAGCGATGGGTATTTTATCCTTTTAATTTTGTATCTTTTAATTGTCAAACTATTAATTTTATAATATGTTTTATTTGCTTTACTGTTGGTTCTTTTATTCTCTTAAATTAATTAAGTCACTTCGGTGTGATTTTATTTCTCTGACTTTATTTCCTGTAACGTTTTTAATCCGTTTGTTACTGTGTTTGAAAAGTGCTGTATAAATAAAGTTTATTATTATTATTATTATTATTATTATTATGGTAAACATTATACCTGTTAATCATCAGCATTGTGAGGATCTGAGCTGCTAGCATTGAGGCTAAGTCATATTAATCCAATAACATCAGATATAGCCGTAAAACACTCACATTTATAATAATAATGATAATGTAGATGTAAGAAAACAACTCTTATTCATTAAAATAACATTTTCAGAAAATCTGCAGAAGAAAATGCTAATTTAAGCATTTACTCATCCATACAATAATAATAATAATAATAATAATTCTGCTTCTTGTTTACTATTTAACACAGACTCAGACCTGTTGATCAGTTCACCATCACTCTGCTCCGAGAGGAAGCTGCCTACAGTAGAGTCGGGGGGGGGGGGGGATCGCCATGGTGACCAAAGCAGGTCGTGTTGTCATGGTGACAAACGGGGGTCAGTTCATAGAGAAGGCTATTATGAAATTGCAGCAGCCTTCATCACGTGTGAAAGCTCATGCAGTCAGAGCGGCTGTGAAGGCTGTAACATGTCAATCTGATGCAACGCCGTACGGCACGCCTAGACGTGGCGAGGTGTCACAGGGAACGCCGCCTGTGTTAGGTCACGTGACATCAGAAAACAGACTGACGTTTTATTCAGCTTTCTCCAAGTTGAACCTGAATGATTAAATCATTTGTGTGTAGGGATCCTTTCCAGTTACGTATTTCCACCAAACCAGAGTTGGTGATTGTTCGAGAGACTAACAAAGACGGTTCTGATGAGTTTTATTTAGTTTCTGACCAGTTTGAAGTGTTTCATGATTATCTGAGCGGTACAGTTACTGCTTTTTTCTATGGAGTCTGGCGCCCATTGATTTGGTCTGAGATGTTGATGCTCTAGTGCGACATATACCGTAGTGGCAACTAGTGAATTTCAAACATATATAACCTTTAACATTTGTTTAGAAGGGACTAATTTAAACAAACCCACAGGTTCTCGTAAGATTTAAATATTAAAGATGAACTTTTCCAAGCGGGTATTTTCCCAAACGTATCCGGTGTTTTTAGAACAAACTTCCCTCTTTGGAACAGTTTTTGAATGACAGTTTTATACGACAGCCAGGACAAAGTGTTATTTCATTAATATAGACATAAAATCTGACCCCATCCTTTATTTATTTTAATATTTCTGGGTGTGTACTGCCTGTTGCAAAACACACAAAAAAAGGAACCGCTCTGATTTATGTCAATATTGGATTTTTTATTGATTCATAAATCAATGTTTAACAGTTTAGATTTATTTTTAAATATTCCATTACATTCCTGTCTGGTTATATTATCCACAAATACTTAAAATTACCTGTATTGTCACTCACACCTACAGTAAGTCTGCCATTTTATTTCATTATTTAACAAAAATCCATAATGTCTTCAATTTAAGAACAAATAATGTGTTAAAGTGAACTTAAGGAGGTTTTCTGCAACCTACAAGGGTTATTATGTGATAAAATGTTGTTTTTATTCACTGTTTTCAATATATAAGTCACTAATTTTAGTCTATTTTACATTTAAGTGTAAGAAGTTATGTCACAAAACACCAGTTGAGCAGTTTGTGCTGATTTCTAATAAAAAAGACTCGATATACAACTCACATATTCAACTTGACCTTTAACTTTAGTCGCAGCCTTACTAGGAAGGATGTAATGATTGCAAAACGATCACTGATTAAATGTTCCTGTTGGTAATTACTATAACAGCTGCTCCGTCTAGAACACTGAGACCTATATTAAATTAAAGAAACCCTGACTATCATAACACCTTTATTGATCGTATTTTATAGCTGGCTCTTATCTCTGGACACGCACTGAGTGCCAGGATGCCATCAGACATCAACAATGTGAACTGCAGTGGCGACGTCAGAACAAACGTTAATAAAAATCCTAAAAACCTGGAGCCTGATAATGGTCAGCTGAGTGCGCGTTGCATAAAGCGGGTTAGTGCGTGGTCAATGTTCAGCAGCTAATAACAGGTCAACAGCCTCGACAGGTGGGTTAGCAGGACCACATCACCTGTGTGACTTCAACTTATCTAATCACAGCCTCATAAAACTGTGGAGGAACACAAGTTCAGACAACACGCACTGAAGACGTGCAGGTATCTCTAATGTCGACTGAAACTAATATTTAAAGTCGCTATATGTACGATTCTGGATTCTGTTATTTTATGTTATATTCTCTCTCTCCGCTTCCCTACAGTGCCAACAGTGTGCAACGACCGACACAAACAAAAACATCAGGAAGCCACAATATTATGATGTTTAGGCTTTAGCTGGCTACCATAAACTGTTTCTTATTACCGGTTGACAGAGGTGTGTAAACATGACAGTGGCATTGTGGGAACAGACTCACGCTCTACTCTCTTCTCCAACATGGCGAGACGGTTGGTGACCTCGGTCTTCAGCTCGTTGATCTTGAACGCCCTGCGGACAGGTGAGCGCAGGTGGGAGAGAGGTGAGTTAAGACAGTCGCTGTGTGTCTGCTACAAACAATAAACTTGTATATTTACTCTCTCCTGCAGCAGGAGGATATTTACAGCCGACGGTGGCATTTAAACATCTGATTTATTGGCCAAGTATGTGAACACAAAGACGTAATCTTCACAGGAAGATAAAACAGAAATACAGCAACAAAGAGAACGAAACTATAATGAACATACAAATAGGTGAACATATTCTGTTCTTAAAAAACAAAACAATTAATAGATTATAAAAATAGTCGGCGATTAATTTTATATTTGACAACTAATTGACGTTTATTCTCTCTCCGCTTCCCTACAGCGTCAACAATGTGCAACACTAACTAACGTTAGCTTATAAATGGAGTCTGCTAACGTCTACAAACAGCCGTCACCACAAAGTCAACGCTAACATTACTGCAAATGCTTGTGGAACATATTGTCGTATACATATTGGACAATATCAGCTAATTCATCCAGACTCTGTGTTGCTAACACAACTTTGCGTTATTACTAGAAAAATACTGAGTGGATATTTTAGTTGGCAAACATTGGCTTGCAAAATTACTTCCTCAGGTAACTTTCTATAAAACTGGACTTTCCATCCATCCGTACTCTGGATACATTGAACATTTCTGCAAAACACACAAAACAAACTTGCTGTAAAATCTAATAAAACTGCAGAAATTAGCAGATTAAATTTATCAGGAAATCAACAACAATCCATTTTTCTTTGTTCTCACAAAATAAGAAACTGGAATCACAGCTAATCAGCTGCTCAGTCAATAATACTAATTATCGCAGCCCTGCAATCTCTGGTAGTTTATATAAGTGCTCCAACAGTGCCAACACCTCCGTTTATCAGATTATGTTATACAACTTTATATCTGCGTCTGTCAGTGGCTGCACTGACACACAATTAGAAACAGCACATTTATCTCCAGTCTAACGTCGTGCTGCACCGTTCCCCTTTGGACTGTCCTGAACACATCTGCAGAACCACAATTAGCAACCTGATTAATCAGGAGGTTAACGGTAATTAATACAGAAAAGAGAGAGACTCTTACCTTGAAAACTGCTCTGCTACTTGCGTCAGTACATTCTGAAAGAGTTCCTCTTTATCTGAGGAGAAAGCAAAAGAGTGGCGTTACATATATACATCACTCACCCACCCACCCACACACACACATACATACATACACATATTACATAGATTACATACATACATACATCACATACAATAGCAGCTACAAGTGCGAGTGCAATAGTCCTGATAAACACACTCACAGACATACGCAGAGGTTATGTAAGCCAATCAGAGAGCGTCAGATGGCCCGAAAGCAACAGATGGCGGAGGAAGAGAGGAGATAAATAAAACGTGCCCCCCTTTTCCCTCTGGATGGCGAGCAGCAGAGCGTCCGACACGAACCCGGCTGACAGCTTGATGTGTTAACCACTTCTGATTCCTCTTCCCACACACACTGGGAACGGGGTTGGACTCACAAACAAAAGCCCTGCCATTGGCTCAACGCTCCACTGTTGTGGGCAAAGTTCACGACGCCGCGGGCCAATAAACTAAAAGCTATGAGAAATTGTAAAAAAAAAAAAAAAAAAAAAAGAAGAAGGAGAAAGCTGTTGTAGTACATTGTGTCACTCACATTCCATGTTTCATGCGGGAGGTCAGAGGTCAACGCTGACTACAAAAAAAAAAAATTCCTCTCTGTGATTAATTAAGCTGCTTTCAGCTGGAGGGAGAGAGAGGAAGTGGATTCAGGGCTTGAAGTAGTTTAGAGCTCAAAAGTATTAAAAGTACCAGAAATACAAAGTCTTCATTATGCAGAATGTAATTATATTATTGGATTATAATTATTGATCCTTTTAAAAGCTCCAGGGTTTAACATTGAGGAGGAAATGAAATTATATATTTATAGTTTTCATTAGTGTTTAATCACCTGAAAATAAGAATCGTTGTGTAAAATCCAAAAATATATGTTAGTTGGTTAACGACAATCTGTTCCTAAACCTCACTAACCTAACCTGGTTTTTGTGCCGTCACAGAACGCAAAGTAGAGTAAAGCGACATAACGCAAAGTAGAATAATGTAACGTAACGTAGAGTAACGCAACATAACGCAAAGTAGAATAATGTAACGTAACGTAGAGTAACGCAACATAACGCAAAGTAGAATAATGTAACGTAACGTAGAGTAACGCAACATAACGCAAAGTAGAATAATGTAACGTAACGTAGAGTAACGCAACATAACGCAAAGTAGAATAATGTAACGTAACGTAGAGTAACGCAACATAACGCAAAGTAGAATAATGTAACGTAACGTAGAGTAAAGCAACATAACGCAAAGTAGAATAATGTAACGTAACGTAGAGTAACGCAACATAACGCAAAGTAGAATAATGTAACGTAACGTAGAGTAACGCAACATAACGCAAAGTAGAATAATGTAACGTAACGTAGAGTAACGCAACATAACGCAAAGTAGAATAATGTAACGTAACGTAGAGTAACGCAACATAACGCAAAGTAGAATAATGTAACGTAACGTAGAGTAACGCAACATAACGCAAAGTAGAATAATGTAACGTAACGTAGAGTAACGCAACATAACGCAAGGTAGAATAATGTAACGTAATGTAGAGTAACGCAACATAACGCAAAGTAGAATAATGTAACGTAACGTAGAGTAACGCAACATAACGCAAGGTAGAATAATGTAACGTAACGTAGAGTAACGCAACATAACGCAAAGTAGAATAATGTAACGTAACGTAGAGTAACGCAACATAACGCAAAGTAGAATAATGTAACGTAACGTAGAGTAACGCAACATAACGCAAAGTAGAATAATGTAACGTAACGTAGAGTAACGCAACATAACGCAAGGTAGAATAATGTAACGTAACGTAGAGTAACGCAACATAACGCAAGGTAGAATAATGTTACGTAACGTAGAGTAACGCAACATAACGCAAAGTAGAATAATGTAACGTAACGTAGAGTAACGCAACATAACGCAAAGTAGAATAATGTAACGTAACGTAGAGTAACGCAACATAACGCAAAGTAGAATAATGTAACGTAACGTAGAGTAACGCAACATAACGCAAAGTAGAATAATGTAACGTAACGTAGAGTAACGCAAAAGTAGAGTAACATAACGTAGAGTAGAGTAGCGTAACCCAACATAACGTAACCCAAAGTAGAGTAACGCAAAGTAGAGTAACGCAAAGTAGAGTAACGTAACATAACGCAAAGTAGAGTAACGCAACGTAAAGTAGAGTAACGTAACATAACGCAAAGTAGAGTAACGCAACGTAAAGTAGAGTGACGCAATGTAGAGTAACACAACATAACGCAAAGTAATGCAAAGGTAGAGTAACGTAACAGCGTCCTAATTTGGTCACTGACGAAGCTGCTGGGTTGACAACAATCATACAACATGTGACCCGTGAAACACAAACACTGAGCTTCACACGTTGAAGTATTTCTAAACCAGTGAATGTGTTTTATGATCACGGCTCCTGTTGTTTACTCGTTGCACTCTTTCCTTTAAACAAGTGGAAACAGTCTCAGGGACTCGCTGACTTTAGACCCGATCTTCAGTTTGAGGAGGTCAGTGCCCGAGTTCAGCTCACAGATGTGATGTTAAGTCTCCATAAAACCAGTTATATGGCTTTGAACTATTGAAGTTACGAGATCCGGAGCTTTTTATAGATGTTTACCACAGTGTGTGTGTGTGTGTGTAAACCACAAAAAGCAAGGTGTTTAATGTGAGTTCGATTGGATATAATAATACTCTGCCCTGTTTTTACTATAATGTCTGTTAAGAGCTGCAGGTGTGAGACCACATCCTGTGTCCGTTTGGGTCGTTGTTTGTGAACATCCTCACCTGCACGCTGTCTATCTTTAAAGAGGTACTTCACCTTAAAATGTGTTTAAAATGTGTTTTTTGAGCTGTAAACTAAATTATATGACGATATATATATATACGGTGATAAAACATCAATGCTGGTGTTAATATTCGTATCAAATGTATGAAAATCTGCATTTTGTGGGTTAAAAATAGCTTCAATGTGTGTCTTTTCTAATGTTTCTCCTCCACCAGCAGTGACTTCCCGCACTGCTCCAGTGACTGGTTTGGTATTTATAGGTTAATTTATTGTGTTAGATATACAGGACTTCCCATAATATAACATCTGTTAAACCTGCTTTAATTGATTCACTTGTTTTCAGCAGGAACACATTTTAAGTTGATATAGCACATTTCCACATCCAGCAGTTACGGAGCAACGCAATTATTCATTTAGAGTCGTTTAAAGTCCAGTATTTACTCTCTTTTAGCTCTGGTTTTGGTCTCCACCACCTCCTGAGGGAAATATCCGGCTCTTTAGCTGCTAAATGCTCCACGATGCTCCATTCGGGACGTTGTCACCGAGATGAAAGAATGAGGGGTTTGTTGCAACACGGACCTTTTCCCTTGTACCACAGGAAGTCAGCTTGTTGTTTTCTTTTTTGTTTTTCTGTGACTATTTGACTAACGATGACATTTACTCGTGTATTTTGCCCTTAAAAGGAAACCAAACAGATTGTTTCTCTGCCTCAAATCTCCTCTGACTTCTGGTGCCACAACGCTGATCTAGCACACGGTATTTTATTTTGAAAATTGACCGGATTCTCTATGCTGTCTCTGTGTCTGACTTCTTGCCAGCGCTGGTTGACACGACTGGGTCGCGACTTCCGTCAAAAATAGCAGAGAGATGCTTCTGGTATAATTTCAAGTGTTGTGTAGAAGGGGAAGAATAATTTCTGCTTTTCCTGTCAGCATCTAACCGGCGGCTGTACTTAATAATTAAATAATTAAATTAATATAATTCGACAACACTCATATTTAATGTGATTTAATGGCTCTCTGGGTGAGTGTGTTCAGTCCCTGGAACTCACCGGCGAGCTGTCCTCCAGTCATTGGCACCACTCGGTATGGTGACCTTCAACACAACAGGAAAACACACACACAGGTTAGTTCTGAGAGGAGGTTCAACGCTGAAATAAATCCTCTGAGCCGACACGCTGTACTTTTCCTCCCACTAACACACAGACGTCCTGTTTACAAGGAAAATTCCCAACACTCAGATGATGTTTGTCAAATAGAAGGTTTCAGATTTTACCCTGAGATAAGATGGCAAACACACACACACACCTATTTTAGTGTCCTCTCTAATCAGTGTGTGTGACTGCAGGTGAAACAACCTTGAGACTGGAGTGTTTTGTCTAACGAGAGAAGGGCAGTTATCATCGTTTATGTTCCTCCAGCTTTAGTGAAGTGAGTCGGGTGTTTTTTTGCTAACACTGGGAAGACCGCTGCACCTTCTTGTTCGACACTGGACTGACGCCTTTGGGAAAATTCCACAAATCAAACTGGACGCGTCGTCTTCGGATGAAGATTGCGTCACTGCCTTGAAGCTGCTGCAGCAGAGAAGATCTTAAATATGGCCGACGCAGCTCTTATCTAAATGTCAATATAAATACGTTGTTTTTTCCCGAATGTAGGCCCTCGTTCACCAGCTCTCTTTTATGACAGTTGTAGTTCTGTCATGTGCTGTTTATTGCTGCTACACACAATCCATGATCTCTGGGGGCTAAATATAGATTTATTTTAAATATAGCCCTCACTGTCAGCGCTTAAGATTAAAAATGAACAATGTGTATGTTAGAGTTTGTCAGTATAGTGTTTGTTAATCCCACAAAGTGTACCAGATTAGCTGAGCAGCGGTTGCTTTCAGTAAAAGTGAAAGTGAAACTGAGGACATGTTTACTAAATGTTTGCAGTGGTAATCGTGTGTGTAAATAAAAACAACAGGTGATGATTCATTCAGCCTTTCTCCTCAGTGTGGATTCATCCTGAGAGACAGAGCTGACAGACAGCTAACAGTTACTGATGCAGATCTGAAGGAAGCTGCAGTATTTTATAAACACAATTGTCAATACAAAGACATCAGACATTTTCTTTTTGTGCTGTGATTTAAATATAATACATAACATGTTGTAAGTAAATTAATCTACAAATTAAACCCCAGACAAGGACAAGTTATATTACTTTATGTTATGTTACTATATGTTATGTTATGTTTCGATATGTTACTATATGTTAAATGTTACTATATGTTAAGTTATGTTATGTTACTATATTTATGTTATGTTACTATGTTATGTTACTATATGTTACTATATTTTATGTTACTATATGTTATGTTATGTTTCGATATGTTACTATATGTTAAATGTTACTATATGTTATGTTATGTTTCGATATGTTACTATATGTTAAATGTTACTATATGTTAAGTTATGTTATGTTACTATATTTATGTTATGTTACTATATGTTACTATATTTTATGTTACTATATGTTATGTTATGTTTCGATATGTTACTATATGTTAAATGTTACTATTTGTTATGTTATGTTTCGATATGTTACTATATGTTATGTTATGTTTCGATATGTTACTATATGTTAAATGTTACTATATGTTAAGTTATGTTATGTTACTATATTTATGTTATGTTACTATGTTATGTTACTATATGTTACTATATTTTATGTTACTATATGTTATGTTAGTATATTTTATGTTACTTTATCATACTGTATGCAGTCGTACTGTATGCTGTGTTATATTACTGTATGCTGTTATTTTATGTCGTATTATGTTGCGTATGCTATGTTGCTGTCTGTTATGTGACAGTATGAAATGTTCTGTTCTGTTTCTGGCTTGACAAACAAAACTAAGGAATAACAAATAAACTGGTTTGGTTCAATGTGTGATGAGAACATAATGTTAATTAATTTAGTTAATAAAGAGAACCAAGAAGCGCTCTATGGCCTCTGTTCACAGAAATACGCTGAGTAGAGACTGAAAGCAAACTGCTCTTACGTAAACATTATACTTCTGCATCACATTTCTGTCCGAACAGATTTATGGCTTCTGGGAATACTATTATTATATATTTATTATATTACATAAATGTTTTAGCAAATGCAACACACTTGACTGCTTATAAAACATGATGTATTTATCTTACTGTCCCACTTATGTGCATGAATCCCACTTAAAGGCTCAGAGTGAGCTCCACACAAGCAGTCTGGGTCTATTAGTGCCTCTGCCGCTCTGCAGGTAAATCAGTAGCTCAACTGAGACACGATGAACTTTTTAAAGTTTAGCAGCAGGTAAATGTTTAGTGTGCTTGTCAGGAAAACACTTCATTGCATCATTTTGCCAAGAAACTGCACATTCAGTCTGTTTCTGGTTCTCTGTCGTGTCCTGATACAGGTGACACGAGCTGGAATAGCTGCACACAGTCATCCATAACATCGGGTAATCAGAAAGGAGCACGCTGCCAGGAATCCTCTCTGCGGGAAACACCGGCTGCACTCACACGAAACCTTTGTGAGTTTGGCCGTCGCTGATTCTGAGAAAAATCATTTTATGAGCCGTAATGAAACGCTGGAAAATAAAATGTTCTGATCTTTTCACATTAAGTCAAGAAGAAGCTTTCTGAAAAGTACAATACCCAGAATCTGGAACTACTGGAAGACACAGATTAACATCGAGTGGCGGCGGCATAAGATTTACTCAGAATAAACTTCTCCTGCGCGCTCCGTGATTCACAACCTCCTGGACACGAGTAAATGTCACTTTACCAAACATAGTTCATGCAGTTTTCAATCTAATGAGGCCTTTTTTTTTACTCTAATTACATGAGAATTAAAAGGCTTTATCGTGGAGAAATATATGCTGATTTAATCACAATCACATACATCAATGTTTGCTTTGAAAATCTCCCAAATGAAGATATTTGGACCATCGTCAAATAAAACAAATTACAACATAACAGCTCTCCGAAAGCGAAGCCAAAAACATCTCTATCGCCCCCTGGTGGCTGACTGCAGAGCTGCAGGTTGGACTCGGACTCTGGGCTGCTGGAGCAAGGACTCATGGTACATGGGGCGCCAGCTCTACCAGGAGAGCTATCCGGGCGCCCCTTTATTTAGTTAATTAACTACCTTTGGTATTTTGATACCTTGGCACCAACCCCAAAGCAACTTTATCGCTTTATCTGGCTCCAAATGCCCCAAGATGGCTGCTGTCGTATCCTGGATATTGTGGCTTAATTTTTGTATGGTGGGAGGAAACAGAAACGCAATGTTCATCTTTTATACGTCGATGATTTGAACTCAAAAACATTTAATTATTGTGTCACATTAGTTAAATAAACTCATTGAGTTGTTTAATCATTTAAATTCATTCACGTTTTTTAACACATTATTTTTTATAATTGATCTAAATGTGGTAAATTTGACAGCATTTGGGGTGGTCGGGCATCTCGCCACCCCTCTATATCCGGCCCTGATGGTAGCAATATGTTAACGGCCTGGGGGGGCGGGGGAGGACACTGTGGGATTTACAGCCAATCAGTGAATGTGTCTTTCAGTCAAACAACCAGCTGGTGGATTGAACAAACGTTCTGTCAAACAATCAATTAATCAATAAAGACATCAGTGGGATGCAGGGGTTTTCCGATACCTGTCTGTGTTGTGCGGCATGGTGGGGTCGATGGACACCATGGCTCCGGACGAATCCAGCAGGGACAGATTAGTGTTCCTGCACGAAGACACAAACACAAGTTTTACTGGAAGTCACCTGTAAAATCCTCTAAAGTCTTATTGAGCTCATATTCAGGCCAAACACATTACAACATAAAATCTATTTCATTAAAAAAAGCATTAAAATCATATAACTGAACTAATTAATCTAAAGGAATATTGTTTCTTACTGGACCCAAAGCTTCTACTGCTGGGCTCATACCCAGAGAGACATTATTATAGTAAAATCTAACTAGCATTTACAGAGTTCCTTTGTTAATTAAATAACAATTCAGCATCTGATCTTGTTGAAAACTGTATTTTTCTTCTAAATATTTGTATCTATTTCAATTATTATAGTCCATTTCAACAGATTGCTGTTTGTTAAATCAGGAGGAGCTTTCTGTGTTTGAGTAAATGCAGTAAAGTGATAATAATCTTAATATTTATTGACTTTAAATATCAATAAGTTTCTGTTCCATCATCCCTCAAACACTATGACACAGATAAATAAAGAGCAACTTACACACAGTACAGGGATTTCTAAAGCTATAAAAAGCACAGTTTAATGAGTCATATGGTGTTTCCAGATGTTTCCTCTTACAGTTTGCAGCTGTGCCACTTTATATATCACATCTACAGATTACACAACGCAGTAAAGCACGACCTGAACGGGGCGAGTTCACCTAAACTTCAGGTAACGGCTGCAGTGTGAAATCATAATTAAATATAAAGCAGCGCCGCATTAATCACACATCACTAAATATGGTGTTAAATGTCAAGTGGAAGAGGAAGAGTTCTTTAATGGGAGCTAATTATCACTCAAACTATTAAAGCTGTGTGTGTGTGTGTGTGTGTGTGTGTGTGTGTGTGTGTGTGTGTGTGTGTGCGTGTGTGTGTGCGTGTGTGTGTGTTACCTTGGCACACCCAGCGCTGTACAGAACAACTCCTTAATGTCACACGGGCTGCAGAATCTACTGAACACCACCTGAGGGAGAACAACGCACACACTATCACACATTATAATCCAACAGGACAACAGAAACTTAAAATGAGTGTTTTTGTCTCTGGAGTCTGGTGGAGAGTGATAGTGATCTTAGGGCTGTTTGTGGTTAAACTAAAGGTCTATCTCTGTAGGGATCATTTTCAGACACTGACAGTAACAACCTGAGTCTGTCAGTGGCAGAAACAACTACTGTTAGTGGAACAAACAACTACTGTTAGTGGACGAACTTTGACCGGCGCTTTTGAAATAACTTATATTTGCAGCCTGTTTTGTGGCTATTTTCTCATCTAACTCTGTGAATTAAGGATTTATTTCCACTAAACCAGAGTTGGTGATTCTTAAAAAGACTAACAAAGACAGTTTTAGTCAGTTTTATTCTGTTTGAATGAAGTTTTCTTTCCTTTCTAAAGCTCAGATTATCTGCTAGGTAAAATAAGCGTTTTTGTCTATGGAGTCTGGTGGAGAGTGATAGCGACATTAGGTCTATCTGAATCCTTTTAATAACGTTGTCTATTTTCACAACTAACGTGGTGAACTTTGGGTTGATTTCCACCAAACCAGAGCTGGTGTTGGATTATTGTTGAGTTTTAATAAATATTTGTCATCTCCCTGCAGAATCTTTCTGTTGAACGCAACTAAATTCAAACTCAGCTACTTTGTGCAGATGTTGCCAACATGTTTGTGTCCTCCTGCAGCAGGATCTTCCAGCTCTCCTTCCTCCTCCTTCCTCCTCCTTCCTCCTCCTCCTCCTCCTCCTCCTCCTCCTCTGAAGTGGAGCGATCCTCCACTGGGGAGAAGCTCGGGAGTCTGAACGTAAAGGCTTCCCAACGCTCCGGGCTTCTCCTTCTTCCTCTGATTAAAGAACGTGCACGTTGAGGCCGTAAATATTCCTCCTCCTCCTCCTCACGCTTCATAAACAAGGTCGAGTGCCGCCACTGAACGTGACAAATGATTTGTGTCATACGGAGAGGGATGACCCACATAGATAACGCTTTGCATGCGATGGCATCGGAGGCGAGAGATGACACGAGGAGGCCCGGCGGTGTCAGGGAGGCAGGGGGGAGGTTGGGGGAGGTCTTAACGAGTGGAGTCAGGAGGGCGACTGAAGAGAGGAGGACGAGAGAGGTCGAAGAGCACTTGAGCGGTCTGGCGTTGGCAGCCTGTCACAGGTGGAAGCGACAGAGAGACCATCGAACATACAGCTGCTTTTTATTTCTGGACGACTTTATTTGATTCACTGAATTTAAAATCTACAACCTGTAACGATTAAACACATTAATTAGAGCAAATGAACTCTGAAATTAGTAAAAAAAAATAACAATGTGTTACTATTAAAAAGTTGCTTAAATTAATATAAGTGAATATAATAAATATTGGTAACAAGAGTAACACAGCTAATACAATAACAAGTGTCTCTAATTATTTTATGGTTTATTGCATAACACATTTGTAAATAAACAACAACAAATGATCAAATAAAATGTTGACGCCTAAATTATCCTCCAGTTCTGGAAAACATATCATATGATGAGAGAGAGAGAGATTATATTGGATTTGGATGAATTCTGAGCAGATTATTTCCTGTTTAGGGAACTTTTTATACAATTCTCTGTTTGTATTTATGTCTTTTTTATATTATTTAACAATCAAACAAACTTAATAAGCTTCTTTATTGACAGATTCAGTGTTTATTGTCCCTGATGGTCTTTGTTCTATTAGACAATTTACTTTTATTCACAGAAGTGAACAAACACTGAGATACTGTGGATATCTCCATCCATTAAAACCAAGAAGGCCTTGCGACCCCTCATGAAGCTTAGGCGACCCCTAGTGAGGGTCCCGACCCCCAGGTTGGGAACCACCGATCTGTAGATATTTTATTATATTTATTGAGTATAAAAAGTTGTTTCCTATCGTCTTCATTGAGCTATTTAAATCTATTTGTTTTTAGTCTCTTCTAGAGTTACATGTATATTTACTGGATAACCGTTTGTAACACAAATAATTCCCCAGTTTAGGATCAATAATCAATAAACAGGGAACCGGCTGAGCTACCAGGATTCTCCAGAAGTTATTTGACATGTTGTAGTTTCTGAGTGGCTCTTCTCCACCAGCTGGCGCCACCGAGCATCGTCACCACGATTTACACGTAACGTAAAGTTAATGTTAAAGATCGCGACTTTAGAATGAAGCTAGTTAGATAGTTTTTATTTCCTATTGATTTAAACAGGATGACGCTAAAAATGTTAGAGGGTTAAATTAAAGACCAGAAAGAAGAGAGATAAATCTGTTTATCAGAGAGAAACCAGGAAGCAGCGAGGGCAGGAACATAATGGCGGCGAGTGCCAACAGCTGCTGGTTGGTGCGTTAAACTGAATCAATCTGACGAGTTAAACACTCCCGAGTGAAAGCAGCATTATTAATAATGGCTGTTAAATAAATTCACGCTCTCGCTTTAAGATGCTGCGACTGATTTCAATAACAAAACCCACTTTAACACAATTACCCCCCCCGCTCATAAAGACGCCATATTAAAACCTGATCACGTAAATCAGGATGCGCTGAGCAGAATCTGATTAACCTGAACGAGGACTCGAGACAATGGGAAACAATGAGCGCAGAGCTCACGACGTACAAACAGCGAGCTGCTGGGTAAAGAGCAGCTGAATATGTAACAGAGCTTTAATATCTGTGTTTATACGAGGACCCTCAACCAACATCCATCGTACCTGTCGCTTATTTATTCTCCTTTACTTAAATACAAACTGTTTATAGACTGCAATTTACATAAAAGTGCTCTAGAAATAACAAATATTGTCATCATTAACAGTTTGTATGACACATACTCACCATTAACCTGCTTATTAGTATATCTATTAGTACAATATTATTATTAACTTAACTTTTTATTAATATTGAACCCAACTTAAGATGAATTGTTGAAGTAACTCAGTTGTTTTGAGTGAACCTAAATGTGTTCAGTATTTAAATTATTGGTGATTTAATTCCAGTTTGTTGACTTTATGTCATTACAGTTCCTCCAGGAAGTTGCGATGTTGCAGTGATTAAAATGATTAAGAAATGTGCGACACAAACGTTTCCCCTCCAAACAGTCAGACTTTATTCTTCCATTTTTAATGAATTACACCAAAAATGTAATTTGGACACAACAGACTTCATTTATTAAGTGTTATTAAAGCTCTAATATGAAACACTGCTGCATTAAAATGTGTATAAACACCAGCTCTATGTCCAAACTGTCATTTTATTCAGGTTCAATGTGCCTGCGTCAGCGTTGTGGTTGTCTGCCAGAAGCTGTCATACATTGACTGTTGATCCAGTCTGAAGCCACATTGTTACCATCCACTGTTTAGATCTTGGTGCTTTTTAACTCTAGATTTGAACCGGATGAAGGATTTTAGTCATCGGACGTCTGGATCTTAAGTTATCAGAGAAACAAGCTGAGCTAACGTTAGCAGCAGCTCGGCTCGCAGCCCCTCCGGGACGTCCTTTGTCTGTCCAACAGCGTGGGAGAAGCAGTGATTGTTAAGGTGGAACTGCTTTATTCAGTGTGTTTAAGGTGGAACTGCTTTATTCAGTGTGTTTAGTGGTTTTAATCAGCGGGTCTGTTTGTGTTGGAGAGGAGGAGACCTCTGTGGATCACTGGGCTCCCGGTAGAAACCTCCTGAACCATGAACACTGAAGGAATCCTAACCGGGAGAAGCTGACTGCAATGGTGGTGAAGACAACAACTCCCATGATCCCACGCTGCTTCACCTCATCATCACACTTCCTCTTTGTTTTACATGCAGAATAATTCATTAATAAAGCTTCATAATGAGCTAATTAATGGTGAATATGTGCACTCTAATATGAAGTGTTCATCTTCAATCTGTGAGCCTGAAACTGACCGAATATTAAACCCTAAATCAGCTCCCGGCAACAAGTGACAGCGAACAAACAGATCAATAATATCGACAGGTTGATATTATTGATCATACAACCTCACAGAGGAACATCCACACATTGAACCGGGAAAAAACATCCTCAAATCTGTCTATAAAACGTTTGATAGGAAATATAATCTGTATTTAATCCAACAGGAGGAATCCACACACACACACACACACACACACACACACACACACACACACACACACACACACACACACACACACACACACACACACACACACTCACACACACATACACACACACACACACACACACACACACACACACACACACACACACACACACACACACACACACACACACACACACACACACACACATACACACACACACACACACACACACACAGACACACACACACTCTCTCTCTCTCACACACACACACACACACACACACACACACACACACACACACACACACACACACACACACACACACACACACTGTGTGAAGTCCATAAAGAAGACAATAAAGTGCCGGTGAGACATAAACCTTGTTATACGGCCTTTTTACGAGCCGTCACTCCTCCTCCACTCAGTGTAAACAACCTCCTCCTGTAAACCTCCAGCTACAGATCCGTTCTTTTACTGATCAATACGATGGATGATTGATAACGTTAACAGTTACTGACTAATTAACTGGCTACAAACTGGCTCCTCTTCCTCCGTTTCATTCCTCTCCTGTCGCTGCCTGAACCCACCGGGTCTTCATCCCCAGAGTCAGAGTCCTGGTCGGAGCCGCAACAGCAGCTAGTACAGTTAGCATATGCAGCAGTGCAGCAGTAAGAGACTTCCTGTGTTACAAGAGTAAAGGTCCCTGTTGCAACAATCTTATAAAACTTAACTGATAGAAACTGTGTCAAGAATTTTTTACTAAATTTTTTACTAAATTTCAGTACTTTTGTCAGTAATTCTGGTTTATTGACTTTTATTACCTTTTAGTTTCTAGGTTTGTTCAGATTTTAGGGATATGAATAATTTCACATTAAGTAAAGTAAATTCACAGT